ACCAGCGAATTCGGGGACCATGGTATTTGCGATGGTTTTGGAAGCAGCGAATTCGGGGACTATGGTATTTGCGATGCTTTTGGAACCAGCGAATTCGGGGACCATGGTATTTGCGATGCTTTTGGAACCAGCGAATTCGGGGACCATGGTATTTGCGATGGTTTTGGAAACAGCGAATTCGGGGACCATGGTATTTGCGATGCTTTTGGAAACAGCGAATTCGGGGACCATGGTATTTGCGATGGTTTTGGAACCAGCGAATTCGGGGACCATGGTATTTGCGATGGTTTTGGAACCAGCGAATTCGGGGACCAGGGTATTTGCGATGGTTTTGGAACCAGCCACGGAAGCTCCTTGCGATGGTTTTGGAAACAGCGAATTCGGGGACCATTGTATTCGGATGCTTTTGGAACAGCGAATTCGGGGACCATGGTATTTGCGATGCTTTTGGAACCAGCGAATTCGGGGACCATGGTATTTGCCATGCGTTTGGAACCAGCGAATTCGGGGACCATGGTATTGCGATGGTTTTGGAAACAGCGAATTCGGGGACCATGGTATTTGCGATGCTTTTGGAAACAGCGAATTCGGGGACCATGGTATTTGCGATGCTTTTGGAACCAGCGAATTCGGGGACCATGGTAGTTGCGATGGTTTTGGAGTGTACTACAAATAGTCGACTTTCCAGCCACGGAAGCTCCGCGTGTCCGCGGCGTACTACGTTTGTACGATAAAAAGTCGACTTTCCAGCCACGGAAGCTCCGGGTGTCCCCGGCGTACTACATTTGTACTACAAAACTCGATTTTCCAGCCACGGAAGTCCCCGGCGTACTACGTCTGTAACGCAAAAAACACTACGGTTTTAGCAACGCGACCACGCGAAAACCCGCAGAGGGGTTACGTTTGTATGTCAAGAAACGCAAAAACACTACGGCTTTAGCACCGCGACCACGCGAAAACCCGCAGAGGGTTTGCGTTTGCATGTCAAGAAACGCAAAAACACGACGGTTTTGGAACCGCGCCAACGCCGAAACCCGCAGAGGGTTGTCTGTGCCCACGAAAAAAGTGCCCAAAACGACGGTTTTAGCGCCGCGACCCGGCGATTACCCGCAGAGGGTTGTCCGCGGACACAAAAAAACATAAAAAAACGACGGTTTTGGCACCGCGACCACGCTGAAACCCGCAGAGGGTTGTCCGCGCACAGAAAGAAACGTAAAAAAACGACGGTTTTAGCGCCGCGACCACGGGGAAACCCGCAGAGGGTTGTCCGCGGACACAAAGAAACGTAAAAAAAAACGACGGTTTTAGCACCGCGACCACGCCGAAACCCGCAGAGGGCTGCAATCCCGATTGGCGATGTCAACCCAGCCCGCCGCCTTAGAAAGAGTAATTTTAATTAGGAAATCTAAGACTGGGTAGTAAATCTTGTGATTTCTATTAACTTGTACTAAATTCACTTGACTCTATGCACTTCACTCTATGCAATTCACTCTATGCACTTCACTCTATGCACTTGACTCTATGCACTTGACTCTATGCACTTCACTCTATGCACTTCACTCTATGCAATTCACTCTATGCACTTCACTCTATGCACTTGACTCTATGCACTTGACTCTATGCACTTCACTCTATGCGCTTCACTCTATGCACTTCACACTATGCACTTCACTCTATGCACTTGACTCTATGCACTTCACTCTATGCACTTCACTCTATGCACTTCACTCTATGCACTTGACTCTATGCGCTTCACTCTATGCCATTCACTCTATGCACTTCGCTCTATGCACTTCACTCTATGCACTTCACTCTATGCGCTTCACTCTATGCACTTCACACTATGCACTTCGCTCTATGCACTTCACTCTATGCGCGTGAACTTCACTCTATGTACTTCACTCTATGCACTTCACTCTATGCACTTCACTCTATGCACTTCACTCTATGTACTTCACTCTATGTTGTTGGGTCAGAGCCTTCGCGATGCTTTCGGGAAAATTCGTAGCCATCATGCCATTGTACCATTAGCGATTCGCGCACCCCTCCTTCGGTCCGGGACGCACGGCCTGGTGACTGGCCCCGGGCTGGCAGTTTCGCGCTTCGCGCGCTCGCGCCGTAAATTTCTTTCGCGACCGCGTGCTACTGCCCTGGCGCCCGCCCGCAATGCAGGCCCTGTCCGGAAAGCAAGCGGCTGCGTAGCTCACGCTTCGCGAAATGCGTGCAGATCGCCCTACGACGGCACGGTGTGCTGCCCTCTGACCGCCGACGCCTGGACATGGTGGTGTACGGGGCATCACCGCCCATGCTGCGAGGCCACATCTGTAAGCCCCATCAACGCCGTGGGCGAGCCCACTTCACGCGGCGACACAGCCGGGTTCGCCTTGCGCACTTCGGAGAACCGCAAACGTGCGACGTACCCCAAGCAGTCCCCCAGCTGCAACAGGGCGGGGGTCAGAGGCTGTGCGTCCTCGCCGTTGAAGTTGGCGGCTGTTGGAGCAAGAACGCACATGACCTCCGCGCGCGCTCCGCGCCCCCCCCCACCCTCCGGTCCTCTGCGGGCACGCCGCTGGTGGGGCATGCTCTCCGTCATCGTAAAGCGTGGGGGGGGGGGACCTTGGCGCTCGCTGAGCCCGAGGGCCCGAGTCACTTCCTTTGGCACTGAGACTTGCGGGGGGGAAGGAAAAAATATCCAGGCAGGCTCGGCAATGGCAACACACCATATCGCGCTGCACTAGCTCCGTGCCTTCTGGAGGCAAGGCTTTGGCCTGGTTTGGGGCCGGCGTTGGCCTGGTGCTGCCCCCGGGGGCTGGCAGTTAAACAAAAAAACAAAAAGCCAAGTTAAAGGGCGTCGCTCGAGCTGGGTAGCGGGCCACGTGTGCGACTGGGTGTCCTTGACGAGGACTGCCTCGAAAGGAGGAGCGGGCTGTGATGCTTTGTCTGTCACAGACGGGACCTCCATACCGCAGCGTTCCAATTTGAGGGTGACAACCACCATGTGCCCTTGCCTCCCAGCACATGACTGAAAAGGGCTGCGGCGCACGCGGCACGGCACCTGACCCAGTTGCAGTCGCCTCGCGGAGCAAGCCGTGCAAAATTCGTCCAGCAATATATTGCGCGTTCGTCGAGCACCACGACCAGTGGCCAAGCAGGGGTTGTGGTGCAGCTTCTGGTGCAAGCCTGAGTAAACGGCCTCTGGTGCAGATCTCCCCACTTAATAGTAATTCCTAAGGGCTTTCTGCATTCATGTGCTCTCTCTTTATATTAATTGTTAACCAGGCAATATTAATAAAGGCACAAAATATACTGGTAATGGGGACACAAGATTATATTATTAAATGACCGCCTAAAAGGCCCTAAAATCCTTATAATTATATTGTTTGGTCATGAAATTAATAAAGTTACCTTCATGAATTAGACCTGTCATGTAGTGTTCTCTTCACATCCTGGTTGGCTTCCTGAATGACACCTTGAATAGGAGTTTCTTGACAGTCAGGAAATCCACCATTATTACACCTTAGAATTAGTTCTGTCTTCTTCTCACATCTCTCTTTATTAATGTTTACTATAGGTGGTTCTACAGGAATAATTCTTGGAAATGCTGCAGTAGATCTAGGATTACATGATACATATTATGTTGTAGTACATTTTCATTTTGTTCTTTTTTTAGGAGCTATAATTTCTATCTTCTCTGGAATAATTTTTGATGGAGAAAAGATGGTTGGTACTAAGAATTTATTACTTTCATCCTCTAGTACACTTTCTCTTCTTCATCTACATTTAATATTTATTGGTATTCTTCTTACCTTTTCCCCAATGCATTTCTTAGGATTTAATGTTATGCCAAGAAGAATCCCATCCTTTCCAGATTCTTTTAATTTCTGGAATTCCCTGTCGTCTAATGGATCAGGAATAACTTTCCTATCTTGTGGTTGTTTTTTTGGTTGTTTTACTATTAAGGGGGCTTTTGTAATAATAATCTTTGTTTCGTTCACACTTAATTGACTTCGTGCGTCACTCACTTTCTCCGTTCCTTACAAGTCAATCAATGAGTTCACGAACCAGGCTGTCAAGGGGGATTTTGTGTCATAATGAGGCAGTAAGTTCATGAGTCTTCTTATTACACGGTTAGACAATAGGAACAAGACCCATGGAGATATACGGGTTTAGTTTATAAGATAAGGACAAATAATCTCTTCACGCTTCATGGATGGGCTTTTGAGTCATTATGTCTTCTCTCTTCGTCTTATAAGGAGTGAACGAAGTGAATTGAAATACAAACGAAGTAAACGAGTGCGTGATTTCAATGAACTTGTGAACGGGACAAAAGACCCCAACTTTGAGTCATTAACCGTGTATTTCCTAGAGACGAAGTAAACTGCAGGAAAGCGTGAACTGTTAGGACAGGGCCTCAGGGGTAAAAAGACTAAGAAATGAACTCATGACACTAATATTGTTTCCTGTAGAGAGAAGTGAACTACAAGGAACGAATACAGGATGACATGTGTTTTAGTGTGTGTCGGTATAACAAAAGAGGACTTGACGGCTGAGGGGAGAAGGCCTCCATGTCAACAGTAAGCACATGCTTTATACCTTGAACTTGTGCTGGTTTTCTGTCGTTGGTGCAAAGACTGTGCTAGCTGCAGCCATTAGTTGTCGTTGGGTTGGATGGTTACGAACATCCAGCCGATGCGGTGTTGCAACAATTTAAGTTTGCGGGCTTGAGTAACAGATCAATGCTTTCACGACATGCGCTCACGTAGTTACTCTGCGCGAGCGTTTACGTTAGTTGCTGGACAAGACAGCCTTGCCAAAGACTCGAAGATGTAGTGTGCTTTCTGAAGCGAGCGATGCCCCGCAACAGTCGCCATGGGAACTTTGCTTGCAGTGTGAAGCTCTTGCTGGGGTTGTCGTCGTTGAACGTTGCGGTTTGTATCTTTTTCTTATGGAGGACGAACCAAGCCCATTCAGGTGGCACTCCTGTGTGGCATGTTCGCGAGATGGCTTTACAAGATGACCTGGGCCGTCTTCATCGTTCCGTTTGTGCGCGATGCTCTGGCCGAGTCAATGGTCCGGTACCAACAACGCTTCCAGATGATGTGATGGAAGAATGCCAGTGGAAGGAGTTGCAGCACTCTGGCTTTGCAGATGCAAATGTTAGCTCTGAGTTGCATCATTTGGCGGATGCAAAAGCATTGTGCTTGCGCCGTGGAGATCGTTGCCAAGGTGTGTCGTGTGACTTTGGGAATCCAGCAAGGTGCCATCTTGTCAAAGGCAAGCAGCTTACCTTAGCTGGCCATGCAACACACGTTAAAGAGTGTTTGTCTTCTGGAGTCTGCCAGCACGATCGACAATCGATAGATTCTTCTGAGCTGCTGGATCTGGACGCTGTAATTGTGGTTCTGGCTCATAACCGGGAGTCTGATTTAGCCGACTGTTTGACTTCGTTGTTGAGTCTGGCTCATATCGACATGTTTAAGTTGCATGTGTCACTAGATGATGCTCATCATTATGCCAGGATGGCCGATGTCGTTGCTGGCATTGCCAAAGCCTACAACAAAACTATTACGACTATGCGCGTGCCAGAAAGGGAAAACAATTTTACGTCGGACAACGCCGAACAGCAAAAGTGGTTCCAAACAAACACTGGCAAGATAGCTCACCACTATTGGGCAGCTTTCGAGCAGGTCTTCATGGTGGACGGATTCAAATGGGCAATATTTGTGGAGGAAGATTTGGTTTTTGCACCAGATTTTCTAGCGCTTTTCATCAGCACTTGGCAGCTGCTGCAGAAAGATCACAGCCTGTGGTGTGTCAGCGGCTGGAACGATGCAGGCTTTACGTTTGCCGTCTCTGATCAGTGCCGCCTTTTTCGGACATCGTACTTCCCTGGTCTGGGCTTCATGCTGCCGCAACAGGTTTGGCTGAAGTTGCGGGAGGAGTGGCCATCTGCACCGACCATGGGTTGGGATTATTGGATGCGCACCGCATTTCGCCGATCGCACAAGGAATGCATTGTTCCAGAAGTCCCCCGGAGTCGTCATTTCAGCCACAAAGGATCATCCATTACTCAAGATCGCCAAGTTGAGTTCTTCCAGTCTATGGCTCTGGCGAACCTAGTCAGCTCTTGCGTAAGCTCTCGTGGTTGCAATCACTTCGGCAATCTATCTTACCTTATGCAGGCAGAATATGAAACTTGGATCTTGCGTGCCATCCAAAATGCTCGTCCGGTCAAAGGATTGAGCGCAGTGCACCAGGTGGGCCAGCAGTGTGAGAAAGAGGCTGTCAACTTGGGAGTCCATGATGACCCAGACCTCTGCGCCGCGTTGGTTGGCTTGAGCCACTGCTCAAAATACTTCATGTTTGCGCCCAACTATCCCAATTGGGGCTGCAGGTGTTGTCAGGATGTTCGGCCCCTGGGCAAGGCTCATGTTTCATGGTCGTTGTACGAAGCGCGCGGAGCGGTAGCATTGGATCCGAAGAAGGTGTACATTGTGCCATATGTCAGAGAGTCCTTCATGAACATTGCACCCGTGTTTGGCTTGGTGCCATTGAAGATGACAAACGTGATTCCGCCTGATGTACGGGCGGAGCATCATGGTTTGGTATTTGGTCGACATGTTGTGTCTCAAGCCGTTGTCATATTCGCAGACAAAAGGAGCGACAAGCCATACCTTCCGCAGTCCATGCGTGTTGCGCGGGACATGGATGTTGTGCGACAACAGGCGGATCATGGAGAAAGTTGCGATTCCGCTTGTGCCAAGACCGGTCGACGGTGTGATGCTGAAGCATTGCATTCCCTGAACAACTGTCCGGACATGGAGGAGGCATTTGGTTGTAAATACTGTGCGCATCAGGTCGGACAAGAGCTGCCGGCGTACGTCGTCGACAAGTTTCAGCCTACTGTTGGACAATGCCTGGTGACGTTCATATCTCAAATGTCTTGTCAGGCACGCCACCCGGCCACACGGAGACTCTGCGCTTGCGCTGCTGTTGACAAACCCGACGTGCCTGCCTTCGTTCATAACGGCACACGGCAGTACGTAAGAGCTAGTGACTGGGAATCCCAGATTGTAGAAGTGGGGGGGCATGTGCAAAAGGGTCAAGTGGCACTCCTTGAGCCTTCCTCAGCCATTTTGGCGCACACCCTGAGTGGGTGTTGAAGTGACTGGTGGATGACCGAGTTGATTCGGGCAGTTCTTGGTCGTTTGCCTCAATTGCTGCCAAGAAGTGAGATCTTCCAAGCAAGAATTGCAATGGCATCGCTCGAACCTAGACGAAGACATACATAGCAGAAAGACATAGCCTGCCATCGGGGCCGGTCCGAATGAATCCGCGAACGGTCAGCTTGCCTGATCTGGTCGCCGAGAGGATGCTTGTGTTGTCATGATGCAGCATGTGTCTTGCCCCTTCGTTGGGTATTCAGGTCGTTCGTGGTAATTTCCCAAAGCCCTTCACCCAGCCGTTACCGGCACATACCCACCACACTCGCCCAAAACCACACTGCGTGCATACTGCCCTACATTACAAATTTCGACGTCGCTGAGTTGAACGGATTCGCCAAGTGTGTGTCAGTGTGCGTCGTGCCATGCCATCTCCTGGCAGGAAAAGAAACACCGCCCTCTCGCTGTCAGAGGGTTTTTCGGGTGCGAAGCATGATGGAGCACTGGCGGCCACAACGCAAGGCACTTGGCCAGGACCTTCGTGTTCAGCTTCTCCGAATCATGCCGGCTTGTGTTGCCTTGTCTTGAGCAGGACGACCTGGAAAGGCTCAAGCATATCCAGGCCAGTTCTTGCGCCAGAGTGAGCCGTAAGAATAGCGAAACTCTGGCCCTACGCCGCTGGTGGTGTTTGAATGTTCTTTTGGCCCAAGCAGCTGGGAGCTTTATGAGCTTCAGAATGTAATGTAATATAATGTACATGATATGATATAATATACTAACACACATACTTCTATCTGTCTTGCTCTCTCTCTCTCTCTCGCTCTCTCTCCCTGTCTCTCTTTCTCTTTACCGGCTTTATTACATTATGGCCAATGCTTGTTAGATTATAACCCTCTCTCTCTCCTCCATCCCTCCCTCTCTCTCACTCTCCCTACAGCTTTTATCACATTCTGGCCAATGCTTGTCTGATAATAATCTTTGCATGTTGTATGGTGGTTCCTTCGGGGTTCTTGGTTCTTCAGGCATTGTGCGTGGCGGTTTCGAGCGTGCCCGTCCATGGGCTGCCATGGAGAAGTACGAGCGCCTGCGGGAGCTCGGGCGCGGCTCGTACGGATGCGCAGTTCTGGTGCGCGAGAGAAGGGGCCGGAAACAACGTCTCAGGCTTAGGTGAGGCTGGTGTTTCATCACTGCAAGTGAAGTTGCATGGGCCCGTACATGGTCCCTTACCTCCTCCAAAGGGTTCTGATCTAATTATGGGCCTTGGGTTGAAGAGGGTATATAAGGTGTATATAAGGGGCCCCCTTTTTTTCGGGCCCATATTGGGGGACCACGTTACTACCCTAAGAATCACTGCGCCTCTCTTCAAGGAGTAAATCTGGTCAAGCCGTACGCTGGAGAAACCTGCAGTGCAAGTTCGGCACCATTAAACGCCATGATCCCTTGCATCATGTCAATATCACTTGAAAAGGAGTGACGGGAAAGGAGTAATCTTATTTGTGCAGTTCCACCTTCCCATTCGCTCGAGTTCATCAAGGGCAGAAAACAAAAAAAATGAACCAAGAAGGGTGTCAATTTTTTTTGCAAGCCAGCGCCCTCCTTTACCGCATCAGCAGCAGTGAGCATGCATCTGTTGATCTGCCTCAAATTGGTGTGGTATCGTGCTGTCGAGAAGCTGCGAAACAACGCAATGACCGGCACCATCAGGTACATCACAGATTCTGCTGCAGAGTTACCTGATTGGTCGGGAGGGGCCAGGCTCCGTTTCTAGTTTGCAACCCCATATGACTACAGCGGTCTGCTGGGGGATATTCAACTTGCAAATGCTGCTGGGAGATGTAGCGTATTTAGCGGATTTAGCGGTCAGCTGCTTGCCACTGTATCGGCCAACGGTTACAGGCTTGGGGCCTTGGGGGTGCGCTTTTTCGGTTGCTTTTTGCAGGCTAAACCTAGCGGGTAGAGGGGTGAACACACAGGACATTTTTTTGGCCTCCTTTCGCCGGCTTCTTTGCTGAGCATTTGGGGCAGAAACGAGCGGGTTGTGAACCTACTGCTGCTTATCCTGCTGCTGCTGTGCCACTCAAGAACTTCAACTTGCACGTCTTCCTCACTGCTTACGTTATCGCGGTCAGGCTGGACGAGTCGTACACAATAGCGGCATGATTTCGAGGTTATGTTTTTGTTCTGGGCCCGAGTGCTCAGGATTAAGATACACTGGGATCTGGTATTCAGTCCTCACGCAGCTTCGTTCACGTCCGTGCGGTGCGGCAAGAGTCTAATGAGGTGAGTGGCAAGATGTGCATGGGGCTTATGCCGTTTGTACAAGAATCCAGGTTTTTGTGGGGCGCCGCAAATGTTGTGGTGTATCGGTTCAGGCACTTACGACAACTTCTGTCCATGTGAAAATGGTCCCTTAAATGCAGCTCTCTACCTTATAGCAGCTGGCCAAGGTGTCATCAAAGAGATTGACTTGTCTCGTATGCCTGCTTCCTCACAGCGTGAGGCCAAGAACGAGGCCGATGTCCTGAAGCGGCTGAGGCACCCAAACATTGTGGACTACTGTGAGTCCTTCCTGGAGGGTCAGATGCTTTGCATAGTGATGGAGTACGCCGACGGCGGAGATCTCAGCCATCTCATCAAGGGGAAGAAGGCTGCCGCCGAAACCATAGGCGAAGTTGAGGCCTTGAACATCTTCGGCCAGTGCTGTCTTGCCATCCAGCATGTGCACAATCAACACGTATTGCATCGCGACCTTAAGTCCCAGAACATCTTCTTGACGCAGGGAGGCATCGTGAAGCTGGGAGATTTTGGTATCGCCAAAGTTCTTGCACACACTGCTGCAGAAGCCATCACCATGATTGGGACTCCACTTTATCTTGCGCCGGAAGTTTGTCATAGCAGGCCTTATGGCATGAAGGCTGACGTCTGGTCTCTCGGAGTGGTGTTATACGAGCTCTTGGCGTTGAGCCCGCCATTTACCGGCAGCAATCTGGCAGCGCTGATCAACAATATTGTGACTGCCAGCCCTGCGCCTCTTGCCCCTAACTTGAGCCAGGCTGTGCACGACCTCGTCGGTGACTTGCTGCAAAAAGTACCGGAAAGACGACCTGGCATTAACGAAGTCTTGGACAGACCTTGCGTTCGTCTGTTGCTAGGGACGGCGGAAACCACGCAGGATGCGACATTCGTTCCACAACACGTGCAGCAGAAGCATCAGGAGGTGCCTCAGGAGGTACCAGATTCCCTAGAGAACCTCCTGCAGAAGACAGATCAACATCGGAGGAAACCGCCTCTTCCGGATAGTGTGCAGTTGGCCCAAGAGTTCAGACGAAACAGAGATGCCGCTATGGCTGTTAAGGCACGTGTGGAAGGCAGAACAGCAGCCTGTCACCAACGCAGCCATAGCGAAGAGCCGGAGCGCGCTCTCAGCAGCTCCCGAAAAGTGGTGGGCGAGGCGGAGCATCTCCGAGCACTGCAGGAAGCTGCGGCGCAAGCAAGACGCGACCGGCGAAATGGGCAGGAGCGCTTGCGCAGAGAATTGGAGACCCCCCGTGTCCGCGACATAGATGCGACGGATCATGAACCGCGAGTCCGAGCAAGCTCGGCCGATGAGGCAAAGCATTTGTTTGATTTGCACGAAGCAGCAGCGCAAGCTAGGCGAGATCGACGTCAGGTACAACAAAGGTTAAAAGAGCTTGAGAGGGGCCCGGACTTACCATTACCGTGCACAGATCAAACCCAGGTACACGTCGAGGCTGGCCTCTCCAACTCCTCAAGCCCATCGAGAACGAAGCAAAGTCGAGAAAGTGCTGAAGCTAATCATTTGCTCGCGCTGCAGGAGGCGCGTGCGCAAGCTCGCCGAGATCGCAAGCTCATTGATGCAAAGCGGAAGGCGGAGGAAGCTATTGAAAATGACAGGCCTGAAAGTGTGCAGCAGGCGCCACAACCTTGCAAGCCACGGACGCCGGAGGACCGCGCAGCAGCCGAGGCAAAGCATCTGCAAGCATTGAAGGATGCCGCGGCCGAGGCCAGACGTGAGAGACGAATGCTTCAGCAAAAAATTCAGCAAGAACTCGAAGGCAACGCCTCCCAAGGTGAGTTCTCCACTAGTCCGGAGGCTGGGGGCAGTCGGCACCTCCCTACAGAGAGCCCAGGCAACTCTGCAACCTCGCCAAAGCTTCCTCGTGACAATCTCGGCCCCAGCCAGGCCAGATCAGAAGAGAGGGAAGGCTCTAACTCGCCTGAGCTGGATGGTTCCCGCTCTTCCTGCTTCAGTCTGGCTGGACATCTGGCTTCGTCAGAGCCCGACTCTGTAAGTCAGCGGCAGAGCATCATGTCTAGCCGCTTGGAGTTGCGGAACTCGGATGGACTTGAGGGCGCACCAGAGAGGGCCATGCCGCCAATTCCTGCAGCTTGGTTCGTTAAGGCGCGGCAGGAGTAACGTGTTGATGTGCCGACTTTGACCAGAGTTGTTGTTTAAGGAAGAAAGGGAAAAGATGTGAAAAAAAGATGCCAAGTCCTGCCAAGCATCTGCCCACCCAGGACAAGCGTGCTGCGCCCGCACGACGGCCACCAAGAGATGCGGATACGTTGGGGTCTTTGTCATACTCCCTTACGGTCCTGGCCTCAATGCCACAATGTCTTCGCTGTAAGGGGATGTCGGCCCCAGGGCGTAGAGGCATCAAGAAGAACGTACGGGTCACTCAAGCTGAGAGGCTTATAGAGCTTCATGTGCAAGGGTGTGAGAAGAAAGTGGACGCACCGGGTGGAAAGGGGGCGGGGGGGGGGGTCCAAGGGACGACACCTTGAAAAAAGACCCATAAATCAAGAGGTCTGGCGGGCACCACGCCTGAAAACGGAAAGGCCAGCAGTCCACCACACGTAGCGTGGTTGCTATGTGCGCGGTGGCAAGAACGGCCAAGACTGTCGACGGACGCCAATCCTTTTGAACCCAGTGCTCATGTTTGCGCCAACCTGTACTTGTTATTGGGTGTCTACGACTAGGGCAGCCTCCTCAAGTCGGTGTGGAATTACGTGTCGCGAGCACACGCATTCTGGCAGGCCCCGTTATCTTCGTCTTCGATGGCAAATTCTATCGGAAATGGCTTGTAGAGATGACGATGCCTGCCACAGAGAAGTGGTCTGCGACAAAGCTTCGCTCAATCATTCCTGTTTCACAAGCGACCGCAGTGACAACGCCATAGCAAATCTTGTGACGGCGGTGGCGGTGGCAAAAGGATGCCGGCAAGCAAAATTCCTGCATGCTCAGCATCGCGACAGGGGCGGATGAAACGACGGCCAAAGGCCTGACCTTCTACTTGCCCTTGTACTACAGGACCCCCCGGCTGTGCATGTGTGGTTCGGGCTGAAGTCTCGTGACGATGTTTGTGTTGGACTTTCTTGCCAGGATACGACAGCTGGTTCTAAACACCGAGAAAACTGGCCACAGAGTCCCCCAGAAAATGCAGACGGAGTTGCGAGCCCTGGAAAAGCACCTTGCATATTCGAGTCAGTTGTTCGTGTTAGCAGTCAGAAAGGACGAATTTGGTCGCGCTTTCGTCATGGCTTTGTTTTCCGAAACTTGTCTCAGGTCGGTCGCTCGTGAGATTCGCACCTTGAACCCTCTACTCTTCCAACGCTTTGATGATGTGCAGTTGGACAGGCGCCATTGTGCTGCCACTGCATTCACTGCATTCTGTTCCGAACAGTTTCGAACTTGCAGAGCTGCTGGGTTCCAGGCTGCTGCGTGCAATGCCTTTCCTGAGGCGGGAGTCAGTGATACTCAGTCATTGAGTGGAGCGGAGTAACAAGTGCCGAGCATGACAAGAATAAGTGGCTTCTTGCAGTGCTTCTTGCAGTGCGCAACCCTGGCAAGTAAAGGCTCTCTCGAGGCACGTCACAAGACGGGAGACATACCCGAGAGACTCGACATTAGACGCACGAGAAACGACGTGAGGCACTTCTGAGGATGCGAAATCCACGACAGTCACTACGGTCCCGCTCCCTCTGGTTGTTGACACTGAACTCTTAGTGACGTGCCTCGGACACCCAAAGGCGACAGTCCCCCCGACCCATGCACTCTGCACTAGTTGCACCCCCTTGGGGTCGCTTTTGGTCGAGGCAATTCCTCGGGTCGAGTCCTAACTTCAAGTGACCCTGCGGTGACCACAGCCCTTTCAGAGCCCTTTCGCCCTTTGCTGAGGGAAAATGCCGGTTAGACAAGTCGTGGTTTCTCTGTCTCACGCTTACTTTCAAGCAATCGCAGCTATCCCTTGAGAAGGCTCTCGATGGGCCGTTGGATCTTTGGAAGCGACCAACTTGCAGCTGCATGGCCGCGGGCGAGTTCCAGATCATTTTTGCTCATGTCAGGTACCTCATGAAGCAGTATGGATCTTTGGGAGCAGAGCCAGCTGGTGTGAACGACATTGCTTTTGATTGCCCGGAGGCAAAGTGAATCTTTATCTGGATCCAAATGGCGTCGGCGAGCGTCATGAAATCACCAAAGGAGCCATTTTCGGGGAAAGTCATTTCAGGCTCGCTTTGCGTGTTCTAGGGTCATGCCCGGTTATGCCAGTGCACACATCGTGCGCACTGCGCAGCCTTTTCCCTGGAGGTTAGGGGACGAGTCCATGATGGACATGGTTGGTGGCGCTGCGCAGTGCGAAGAGCCGTGTATCATCGGGGTTCCTCATATGCAAGCTTGTGCCAAGCCATCACCTTCGGCAAATCATTCGCATGTCTCCAAGCTACGAGTGCTGCCTTTTTTTGGTATCCTGCTCCAAGGTTTTGGGAAACGAGGTGTTGGAGGCTCCCAAAAGGCTTTGTATTCTGGCATGATGGTGCAGTGCATGATCCACCACGACAAGGCCTCATATGCCGACCGAGCTTTCGGAAATAGGAAGATTGCCCTCAGCATGCGCCATGCACCTGCGCTCTCGCGAGTGGCCTCTCCCTTGCAAATCGTGCAGCCTTGCCAGGAAGATGCCCAGTTGCCGTCGGATGAACCTGAAAGAGTGGTAGAGCAGCTGAGGTGCTACCTGAGAATTTCACAGGACCACACTGCAAGATCGATTTCGTACCATCCCGAGTCGCGTGGCTTTGTTAGAGGTTGCAGATCTTGGCGAAGAGTTGCTGAGGCTTCCCTGTCCTTTGCAGAGAAGTCGAAGATCCTAGAGGAGATGTGGCAAGAAGCAAATGGTGCATACAGTTGGTCAGAATGTGTGACGGATGCAGCCCGTTTTACGAGGAGAAGCAGCCAGGGGCTGTTAAACACGCTCTCGAAGAGCTTGCCAAGGCAGATTGGGGATTGAGTTGAGGCAAGTGCTGTTTTTGAAGCCTTACTGCTTCAAGCAGATGTCAGGTCATAGTCGTTGAAATAGGTACTCGCCACGGCGAGGCCACTGAAAGATTTCACATGCAGATCACGACAATGGGGACACGAAGAGCCCACACAAGTACAGGCCCCTGCAACGCGCAGAGCCCAAACGGGAAGCGCCTGATAAGGCGTCCTCTTTCAAGTAACCAAGCTCATCCCACACGTGGCTAGTGTGTTGGCAGTATTGGCTCTTACTTTAGCGCCACCCCCCGTGGCGCCAGAGAGAAGAGCCCGCATTGCGAAGTAGGCGCACTTTCCTATGGACTCGCTATAAGGTCACTTTTTTTTCATCACAAGCAAAGGCTCTGAGCCTGTTCGAGTTAGAGCATGACCAGTAGCAGCCTTCAGGTATCAGGCTCCCGCCTCGCAGATGCGGAGTTTGATTCTAGTGGGGCCAGGGCAAAAACAAATTCCCTCTGGATTGCTCCCCCCCCTCCATTCCCCAAGGCCGATGGTGCCCCCGCCCGCTTCAAGCCTTGTGCAGTTGCATCCTGAGACAGCCCCTAGGATGTATAGCCATGCTTGAGGTTGCCACGCAAGTCCACCTGCTACCAGGGCAGGCTCCGTGGTCAATGCGGTGCAACCGTTTGTGCTTGCTTGTGAGCTCGAACTCCAGCTTCTCTCTCTCTCTCTCTCTCTCTCTCTGTCTGTCTCTGTCAGTCTTCTCTGCGTCTCTTTCGATTGGTTTGACGTTGCAGTTGCTGTAGGAGCTGTTGAGCGACCCACCTGTGGAAGACAGTGTCGTGATGGTTTCGAAGGGCAGCCCCTTGCCAATACCAGCCAGCATCTTGCAGCATGTGCGACAAGTGGCATTATAAAATTGTTCCCTGTTGAGATTGGACTTGGAATCAGGCATTGAAGTTCGTGGTGATATCAAGCTGAGCGAGAAGCTGGATGCTTTGCCACCGAAAAAGAAACGTATGCGTACCTCAACTGCAAATGTGGATGAGATGATCACACGCTTTCAAGAACACCTGCGCCTTTGCCACCAGGTGTTTTCCTCGACAGGGCCGAGAAGCTCGCAGGCTGTGACTAGAGCATCATGCTTGGTCAGACTCCGTATGTCCCGGGTTTGAAGTCTCGTGCTTCCTCCGGAGTGATATTGTGGTTCAAGCGCTGGTGCCTGTCAGTTAACTCCATGGTGGTTCAACCGCAGATGCTTGTTGGTTAGCTCCAGGAAAGTAACCCTTGTGGCATACACACATGTCATAAGCACCTGCTCATGATCAACATGTGACTTGTCATGCCGCATTCGCCGTATCAATGTGACTGTAGCTGTAGCTATTTGAGCAATGGCTTTGCGGATGCCAAGGTTTGCCAAGTCGCTATGCGCAGCGGTAGCTTGCCTTTGCTTCTACACCAACACGACGGGGTGTGCTCATAGGAGCTTTGTTGAGGCACAGATGGTAAGAGGAGCCAGTGGATCAATTAGAGGTGCCCATCGCATTTTACCACCTCAGCCTGGGCAGCTGGAGCTTCAGATTGAACCTTGCAGCGTTTGCAAAAGTCTGTGTGCTGCTTTGGCTCTCTGTTTGTGGCTGTGGTGGCCGTTTGCTGCGGCAGCTCGAGATGGCACCATATCGCCACCTACCTGTGTCGCGATCATTGATGCATCTGTCAATTGCCCAGCCCGACCAGCTATTGGTGCCAAGAAGAATGCGGAGATCCAATTCAAGTCGGCGAAAGACCGCCTGACGGCTGCAGAGCGGGAGGCTGGCAAGGCAATTGGGCTCGGAGAGTCCGAGAGGGGTGAGCCTGAAATGGTGGACTTCTGGCGGAAGGAGTTGGAGCGCATTAACATGAACCAGGCGTTTATGACGGACCTCCAAGACAGGTTTAAAACGGACAAGCGCACCCGACTTGTCGGCCAGTTAAAAGTCGAGACTTCGGATGTTGCTAAAGAGGAGCGGTTTTGGTGCGAAGCGCTCGGGATGCAACGCTATGCATCCCTGCCTGGCGGTGGTGTGTTGGTTGGTTTTGGTCCCCCAAGCATCGGAGGTGAAGAAGGTGGGTATTTCGCGATCAAGATTGTGCCTCCAGCTTCACCATCAAGTGCCACATCATCGGGCAAGGCACCGCGCCTGAGCTTCGTGCAAACTACTACACCGGCTCTTGTTCGCATCTCGCGGATCATCTCAACCGGAGGCGAACTGATTGATGGCTACGGATATTACTGTGTCAAGTCGCCTGCTGGTGTCGTCGTGCGTGCTTATGTGGAAGATCGCCGTGATCCCGTCGAGTTCATCGCCCTGTCTGTCGATCCGAAGGACTTTGCTGAAGTCAGCCGCAGTTTGCAGGATGCCGGGCTGGAGGAACGCGGTCCATACAAGTTAGTTTCGCCAGAAATGCAGGCCTACATGCCCGAGCTTCCAGCAGGCAACGTGTTGTTTGGGTCTGGGGATCCGAGAATGAATGTTCAGGTTTTGCTCTTGCCAGATGCGAAGGAACCTGTGAGCAAGGGTGGTCTTGAAGGCATCATGAAGGGGTTCGGTCGTGGTCCGACACTTGTTATCAACGAAGATAACTCCTACGGAGTTGGAATGTTGGATGAGCTTGAACGGCCGCTGGTGCCAGAATCCGGGGCCACCGGCCCTGAGCTGACGATTTATGGTCCAGAGCAGGGCGTTTCCATCGAGCTTTGGCATGGACAAGCCGGCTTTGCAAAATTTTGTGAATAACTTGGTTTGCTGTGATATTAGGGGGATTAGTTTACATGTCTTCGTCAACATTTACACTGCTACATTCCCGCCTCGGCCCGTGTGGCGAGCTGTCGACAGACATTCTGGCATGGCAAAAGGCCGGAGCTGCCCCTCAGATCCCCTCAGGAATGGCTTGGGGGGGGAGAACTTGGTCCAGCTTGGCTGTGTAGAAGGAGAGGTGCTGCTACACGACAGAGCTTGTACGGTTTCTACAGGCTTCTCACGAAGCGTAAGGAACGGAAAGCGAAGAAAGCTTCCAAAACGCTGCAGATGGGTTATTTCCTTTTCGAATCGACGAGTAAAAAAGCACATAAGCAGACATAAGAGCCGGTGCAAGGCCCGGAGCATTTGTCTCAGCGACCTTCGGATGGCACCAGGTGCAGAGAAAAGAGCGAAAGTCCCAACACCCGAAAGCTCCCTAGGGGCTCCCGAAGGGGTCCCGAGGTCACAAAAGGTCCTGAGAAGCTTTAGGTTCTTGAAGCCCTGGGGCTCTGGACCGAAAGCAGCCTAGGTGGGTCCAAAAGTCTCCCAGGTGCACCGAATGTGGAGGAGGGATTCGTAAGTTCATGTTCCACCTGAAGAGGCACGAGGCCTCGAGCCTCGGCGGAATTATTTGCGCTGTCCTGTCGTCACCAACACGAGGCTGGGAGCGGCGACAGGCTCGCTCTGAGCCTTCGCAGCGTGGCTGATGCCCCCAGGCCCTGAAGGCCGACATGTCCCAAAAATCTCAACGCGCTCGCTTCCTGGACGCGGGAAAAAGGAGAGAGCGCTTCGAGTACCATCTTGCAAGTGTCTGAGACAAAAAAAGCAGACGCCCTTTTTTGCCTCGAAGCCACGCTTTCGTGGTGTGAGTGCGAAGCTGTGAAGCTCCGGCCAGATGTTGTCAACACCAGGCGACTCAATCTTCGACAAGCTTGACCCGTATTGCATAGTAAAGCTGTTGCCTGAGTTAAACATCCGACGTAAACCTCAGAATGGTGTCCGTGGCTGCAGAGCAAGACGACATCTGAGGCTTGGTGAGTTCAAACGCTTCCAGACTCCCGTGCAGTGGAATGTTGGAGTGAACCCGCAGTTCGAGCGCCCTTGCTTAACCACATTTCGGTCTGCTTTTGGGACGTCGGCATGCATCATTAGGCAGGGTAGGTTCTGCTCGTCTTACTAGGCTTGTTTGCGTTGCAGTCTAGCCATGTCTGGCCATGAATGCAATGCGAAAGCTAAGCTGTTACGATGAGCCTGGTGCCCTAAAATTTCTAACCATGCTTCCACACACTATGTAATGCCACATGGCAAGGTATCAAGGAGTCTTGACATTCTCTGAAGAGGAGGCGCGCTACTCGGGCCCTGATGCAAGATCTCAGCACTGCTTTGTCCCTGTCAGGAATTAGAAATAATCGTGCCTTGGCTGTGTAAACATTGCATCGTGCAGAATCATGCGCAGCAGTTGGGACAGAAGGTGTCACCTGAGGTCATGGACCATGACAAGTTCTCTGCAGATGATTTATGTGGCAGCTGCACAGTGAAAGTTGCAGACTTGTCGCTCGGTTGGGCCACCAGAACCTGAGGGAAATTTGCTTCTTTGGATTGACTGGCCAGTTGCAGGGGCTGTGAAGCTTCGTGAGGCATGATGGGTGGTATGGAAAGGTGGAGCTACAGAGACCGAAGCGCACAATCGGAGCTTCCAAAGATGACGAGCAGTTGCCTTTGGGACTGCAGGAAGGGCATAGCATCTAGTCACAAGTTCTGCCCAAGGCGGCATGCTCGCATGCCGCATAGTGCCAGCTCAGGATGGAGCCAGCAGGGAAGATTTTCTTTGGAGTTTCTCGGATTGCTCGGATTGGAAAAGGTGTGTCGATTTTAGGAAAACCTTGTGGCAAGCGATGCGCTGACAAGGTCCGATACGACTACGAGAAGATCAGTGCTCTCACAAAGCAAGCCAAACAGCGAGTTTGGCCAAATCAGGCGCTGTCCGCGAAGCAGTCGGAGTGTGTGTTGCTTGCATCCCAGCTCATTTTTCAGGTGCTCTTCAATCTCGGTGGACACGAAGCCTGGGGTCATGAGACCATCATGCCGCGGACTTGTCCTCGTCATCTCATGCTAGCAGATCTTTCAGAGACGGCTTCGGATTCTGGTGGCCTAGTGGCACCCCAGTGACGCGCCCCATAAGGCTGGGATCGATCTTCAAAAGGACCTTGGAAGGTGCTGCGAATGCCACTGCGTTCGCCTTGGTGTCTTGGATTCGACGTAGATGCTACGCTGTCGTTTGTGTCGGATTGTGTCGTGCCGTGACAAGTAATGTTGACAGCAACGTGCATGGATCCCAGGATCTGTCGAACTTCCGCATAATTGGTGGCTATCAGAGAGGCGTGGTGTTCATTTCTGCAGTTGCAAGTGCAAGGACTGGTACAGACCATTAGACGATGTTGCAGTCGCACGACAGCCGTGGCTTGCAGAGTTTTGAGTCATGAATTGTTTGCCAGGCACGAATGAGAAGATCACCCTGTTGAAGGCAGCTGCGGGCGGTAGGTAGATGTGTCAAGTCACGGCGGTTGATACGATTACCAGACACAACTAAATATGTAAATATATAATGTAGTATATACTTTCTACATATATATATATGTTTCGTGTTACGCACTCCCTCCTGTTATCTTCCTATTGTTGGTGTCTATGCCTGTTTTTTTGGATTGCCATCAAGAGGCTAATTTATTCATTGATTCTTGTTGACGACACGTGGCCACTAGCGAATGATGTTTGAAGGTCAGGTATATTAATGAAACTACTCTATTGTCAGCCGGCCATTTCGTTTTGAGTTTTAGAGCTGGGGTCAGGGTTACGATTGCAAATGACAGAAGGTGAAGCTAAACAGTATAGTTTGTTAAGAGTTATTGTTGACCTCTGCATGTTAAACTTGTGAAGTCAGATCTTACTAGTGAGGGAAATCCCATAAGTTCAATACCTTCAATAGCTGTCCTTCATTGTTTTTCGATATGACGGGTCGTTTAAGAAATGGCAAAATTTTGAAAGAGCTGGACCATGTCAGAATGATCTCAACTATTTCCGTGTTCAACTTGGCGGGAATTGCGATTACGAGCATACATCCACACAAATAGAATTCGGAGTCCATGAATGGTCGTTAAACTAGATACATTTCAAAGATAATAACATCAAGTCGGCGAACTTTTCTTAGCATAGGTCATGAAACTCCGCAATAGAACTTCCAGAATCATGATCTGACATGGTTGGCGCTTTCATCTGACGCATGCCAACGAAATGTTAATGGTTTTGCTAGTTGGACCAGAATGGTAAAGTAAATCCCTATCGACGATTCAAAATCAGATTCAACGCACATTTAATTATCAGGGCTAATTGTCGTTCCACCATTTGCACTACTTGAGTTATGATAGCAAACGACCTTGAACTTAAACATACTGTGTGTCATGAAATTCCGCGATGGAACTTTTGGAATCCTGCTCTTGAATACCTTAATGTCCCCAATAAACTCAACAAACATACTTGGAGCACAGGTACGGCATCGCTTCAACAAGTTAATTAGCTTGTAACATCAGTATTGGATAAAAAACAGCCGCCTATTTCATAACCATAGAGTTTAGAGTAGGGATAATGACGCAAAGTCGCTTTGCACTTTGCGCCGAAGCTCATTTGGCGCATCGGTTCAGCAATTTTCAATATCTCCCGTTTTCAGCATATACATCACTTGAGAAATGTACTGGACATCAAGCAAACTGTTCATATTCTCTACATGTTCAACTTGGCAGGAAGCTACGGTAGAGAGTTCAGTTCTGCTCATTGCAACACATATACTGAGTCTTGAGCGCACATGTCTTGGCATAACTGGATGCTAGATCTACTCCATCTGGATGAACCCAGATAGCCCATAGGAGATTTGATCCAAAGTCCGAGATTCAAATCTCCGGCGATTAGATCAAATCTCCCCGTCCCCCTCCCCCCTCTTGACGATCGAAGACTCCTGGAAAAGTTGTTCGGACATAACACAATCTTGAATCTTCAATCCGGGGGGATTAGATCTAATCTCCGGAGAGTAGATCTAGTCTACACCCCCTTACACGAAGTTACTTCTCGGAATGGTCGACATTCTGCATCGAAAAGATCAACCCTTAGCCCTATACCCTTAACCCCAGGGTCCTTTCTGCAGTTTGGAGTACGTACGCAATTGCCGATGTTTCGCGTTCGTCCCTCTGACATCCCTGCCAATGTCGCAGACTTCTTGCAGCAACTAATCTGTAGTGGCTTCGATGTAGAGATGTTAAACCCTCCCTGCCAACCTGAAGTACCCATGCGACAGAGCACCATGGAGCACCATGGTCAGCACAGGGAGGCCCAAATTCGTAATTCATCCCTTGTAAGGATTCCCAAGTTGATGCCCCGGGATCGTTTGCAGGACCGGCTCGCACCTTGGCCCTTAACCCTTCAACGCCTTAATCCGCATAGGTAGAAATTGGAGGGGGGTTGCCAAAGTTGTATATGTGTATATGTCTAATTATGTAGAATTTTGTATAAATATCAATACAGAAGTACATATACATCATTAATGACAGATCATCATGTTAAATTTCAGACAATCACATACACACATTTGCAGAGCAAGGTGCCCCCAAATGCCTCCCAGATGCATGCCAGCTAGACTCGGTCCCGTGCATCTCCCGCACCCTTCTCACCAAGCAAATGATTAGTTTAAAGGTCAGTTTACGCACAGTCTCCCCCGCCCCTTCCTGCCTTTATCGTAGATTCTTGAGGTTAGCACGCGAAGGCTGTTGCGGACCTATGAATCCTGTTTTTAATTAGGGGGGCCCCCCCCCCCCACCGCAAGAAGGAAGGCAGGGCTCCGCAACAATTGGACCATGGCCCTGCATTGATTTTCTATTAAAAACAATAGGCTGCAGATCCCTGAGGTGCTGCAGCTTCGCATCTCCGCAAGCAAAACAAGAAGCCTGCCGACAGATTTTTGAACCCCCCCAAAAAAAGTCTTTAAAAGTGGGGGGTTATCCCCATACGAAATCCACCCTAATGGAAAGTAGTCTTCCGGCGGGCTTCCGGCCGAAAAAAATTTCTTTAAATGTGGGGGGTTTGATTAAACAGGTGCTCGGATTACAGGATTTTTCCAAAGGGTCCGCTAGTGATGTCACAGGCACCGGATGGCAAAGTAACACAGCTGTATGTTGCACTAGAGCGGCAACAGCAGATTGGTTGCATGGCAGCGCCATTCCTTTTTCCAAATCAGAAGGGCAGACCACGCAGCCAAAAGCAGAAAAAGTACCCAGAAGCGAAGCTGCTGCAGCTGAGCATCTGTGCCTGCTGTTTTGCCCACTCAGTGGGCATTCCTTGATGTTGCTCGTACATGCCTTTCATAGCGGCAATCTTCATGCAATTTGATGGGCATTTGCTGGATTTTTCTTGCAGAGAGACGGGTACCTGGCAGCTGAAGCGGCAGGCGTCGAAAAAACGATTCGTGGACTTCGCGCTCGACTGAGATAGTTTACGAAGACAGATTAAGCGCTTCCGTTATCTGTATGTGGCCCAGGTCAGAAAAAGTCAGCGAGAGAAGCAATTCCTGCAGTCGTGTCGTATCTCAGCCCTGGACAAGCAGACGACAATCAAGGACCGGAGCATTCCTGGCTCAGTAAAGATCTTGTCACCGACTTGTCGCGGCCAGGGGATCATCAAGGTGCTGATCGAAAGATGGGAGACGGAAGAGCAGGCTGACACCATGCGGAAAGGCCCATGAAGCACGCGCGAGCGCATTCAGAGCTGGCTGCGGCCCGGCATGCTGTTCCTAAACATTTCCAACCAGGCATGTTTGATATGGCCAAAGTGGAAGAAGCCGTCGACCCCAGCCGCTTCCGGGTCGCCTATCGCGGTGCGAAGGTTCCGGCCCGATTGTTTCGCCAGGCTGCCTTGTGGATTTGTGTGGATTTACGTGGGTCTGTGTGGGTTTGAGCATTGCCAAGGCCCACATTTCTGTTCGAAACGCCCTCAATTTGAGCGGCGGCGGCTGGTTTGACAAGCTCGACCCCTACGCCATCGTGAGGCCGCCGCCGAACAGACCAGTGAAGAAGACATCTAAAGCGAATGACTTTTAAAGACCCGGCTGAAGCTTACGGTGGGGAGGGTCCGTGAGGGGAGGGGAGCGGTTCTCACAAATCTGCTTTGCGCCCAACCGGTTTTGCCGCGCTCGTTCTCATGTCAGCCCTTGCTAATCATGCAGGCCCTGCAAGGCCCAGCCAGACCCCAGGACCCCCCCCGGCCGAACAAAGCCATGTTCAAGTCTACTTCGATAGGCCTCACGCTTTCTACGACCCCCGAGAGGACTTTGACGCCTTGGATGAACCATGAACCTGACACCACCTGCAGGTTTCGCGGCAGTAAGTCCGAGTTCAGCGGCTTGACTGCAGTCCTAAGTTCCGACGCGTGTCTGATTCAGAGAGATGTGAATTTGGTGGCAATGTACAAGGGACCAGCGTTCTTCAAGATGCCGGTGCAGATCCTATATGGAATTGTGAAGGCAGGAATGCCCGCACGATGCTTCATGAGTCTTGGCCTCCTGCTGCAACCGTTCGATGGCTTGGCTCAGGCTTTCTGCCGTATAATGGTGAAGTCGCTTTGGAGATATCAGTTTGGGACTACGTGCCCTGCGATGAATTACTGCTGAAATGTGCGGCTGTCATTCTGAGCTCCGTTTGCTTATTGCGTCAGCAGACCGCGACTTGTTTGCTCGAAGTTGCGTTCATGACACACACTAAGGACCACTACAGCTCGGATGATCTGGTCGGAACAGGAGTTATCCAGGCACCCTCAGCCATGGCATGGAAGCAATGTGTAAGATCATGATGCGATGGGCAGGTGGAGCAGTTCTGCAACGGCTTCGAGGGCATGGTACCTCTGAGCTACCCGGAGGATGTAACGTGGCGAAGTGTGCAACAGCTCGCAAGCTTTCAGCCAAGGCTTGCCGTCCGACAAGAAGAAGAAGAAAAAGACCTTGAAGCAGCAGAGTGCCCAGTTGCCTAGACCATGCTAGAACCCTAAACGGCTTGCCAAGAAGCAGGGCTCGCTTCTGCGAGGAGTATGATCACCATCGGCATTCTCTGGGATGCCCCTCAGGACGTCTGAGGTACCTCGTACCAGACTACCAGAGTCTGAACGAATTTTCAAATTCACCTGCTGTGCAGGACCCAAGCCTCAAACAAGCGGATCCGGCTCTGGCACTGACAGCGGGCACAAAGGCCCTCATGTGACTTGATAGGGAACTCTCGGAATCGAGAGGGCTCCGAATTCAACAGCTCACATTCCATAGCACTGCTGTCACAGCAAGATTGGCACGCAGTCATCGGCCCTCGTCCGCATCGTCCACAGCTTCCCCACCCCCCTCCCCCCACCCTCCCACCCAGAAAGAGGTCACCTTTCATCTCATGCACAGAGCTCAGAGAGTAGAAACAGGTGAACTGGACGATCGGCTTTCAGTTGTTTGCAGGGCCCTCCACCCTTCAAGTCCAAGACTTGAAGTAAGCACATATGGTTTCAAAGCCCTGAGTTTTTGGTAGACAGCAACTTTGAGTGCTTGTTGCCCACGTCGTCAGCCCTACACTGACCCTCAAGGGGTGCGCAGAAAGCGTTTGCGAGTCGTCACTCCCAACACTTTCATGCGTGACATGCGAGCGTGCAAACATGTGCAAACATGTGCAAACATGGTTGCGCCCGAACCTCTCTGAAGTTAAAAGGCTCAGGTGTGCCAGCGCCATTCACGTTTGCGGGTAGAAAATCCCAGAATCCCAGATGCAGCCAAGTCTGATTTGACCTAGGTCGATTCTTGTTACTTTTCTTGGTAAAGCGGTAAAAAAGCCGCAACATGAACAACCGTGCGGTCAGCCTACCAGATCTGGCCTCGGAGAAGAAACTTGACATGAAAGAGTGCTGGGCCGCCAAAAATGCCCATCATATGTTGGTTGCTACTCCTGGTATTCCTGGATATTTTCTTGTGATTTTGTGAGCTCTTGGAGCATGGCTCCGCATAGAACTGTGGATGCCAAGGGCTCGGAATACCACGCTGTCGCTCTCCGAGGGCTTTGCTGGAGCATCGCATCAAGGCAACGGCTCGCACCTGACCTCGACCGCTTTTGCGTTTGTCCTGCATGGCATCATCCGGCATCCTACGAATCATTTTGAAAATGAAATGGCGTTGGCATAGCCGTGCAGGTGCGATAGGAGCATCGACCAACACATGGATCGGGCGGCCTGCAATGAACCGGAAGGTGCCTGCGCTGTTCGCCGTAAGCCTTGCAACAATTTTCCAGACATGAGCCAGTGTAGAGAAGCTGTGCTTCCGAATTCATCCACACCGTGAATGTCCAAGTTGCATCTGTGAGGCATTCGAGGCGGTCAAGGAGGTGTGGTGGGATACAGCGGGACCTTGCCTGGTTGCGTGTCTGGCTGACTTGTATGTAGGCAAGTCCTGGACAGGCCAATCCAAACAGTCTGAACCGCGTGCTCCCACTTTACTACAGGCCAGGAGTCGCTTTGGCACAAATCTCAATTGTTTGCGAAGCGCTATACCTGGCCCATGTTCTGGCCTTTCATGCCTATGCTGTAAGAGCTGTAAGCACTCCGAGAAATTGAGAACAACCACATCCTAAGAATGACCGAAGCCAGCATGCCGTCCAAAACACGTACCTCTCACCATTCGGCTCTGAAAAAGTCAGCGTCCGTCGCGTGAATCCTGTGCGTTTGATACATGCATCGGGTTCGCTTCCTGCCAGCCGCCAGATAACTGGCCGGATACCTGCAACGCAGGTGTCGTCAGTTGGCACTAACCACGGAGAAGCGTGCGGCACCTAACTGTGTTCCGGTCTGTCGTAGTTGGCTGCTGACATGAGCCGCCCGAGGCGGACGGCGTGTTCCCCAAAAGCTTTTGTCGGACATGAAGGCCCTGGAAAAAGCACGCCACTGAGCTGTCGAAACACTGCCACGGAAATTGTGCGGCAGCTGGACCAGCTTAGGTTGTCGGGAAGGAGATACGAAAATCCCACCCGCTCCTCTTCCAGCGCTTGGATGATCATCAGCTGGATAGGCAACAGATGCACCACAACAAAGAGGGCACAAAGAAGAGGCAAATCCCGGCCAGGTTTCTGCGAGCGATGGCTTTCCTGAGGCAGAGTTAGCAGCACATTCCTCGCTTCATCCATGGCTTTCTGCAGTTGCCTTCTCCTTTGGCTCTTCTGCAGACTGTCGGTGGGACGCTGGCTGTATGGCAGTGAGAACCTGAAAGCCGAGTGGCCCCCCATTGGGTCACAACGGTCGTTCCTTTTGCTTACAGGCGCCGATGCGTGGAACAACTTCAGCAGAGTCAAACGCAATGCTTCAGCAGACATGTGGTAGTCCGTTCTTGCCTTAGTTGTGTAATTGCTCGTGCGCCTCAGGCAAGATCAATCTTTATCGTGACCCTGACGGCATAGCTGATTACATTGAAATCGGGCCTGGCAGCATGTTTGGTGAGCAGCCGTTCAGGCCATGCAAGATGGTATGAACACATGCTTTGCGTGGCAGCATGCAGTGCCTTCTGATGCAGGCTGGGTGATGAAGAGATCAATGACGCGGTGGGCGGCGCTGCACATTGTCAAGAACCCTGCATGGTTGGTATTGTGACGGGAGACGTCCTAGAGGCAAGGACTGCTGGCTTTGAACATCGTGATGACATAATGCAGAGTGTCAGCCTGGAGGCCTGCTTTGCAGACAGATTTTTTGGCAACCGCCGCATCGCCCAGAAGATTCGACATTCGACTGCCCTAGCAAGGGCAGTGCTGTGGCTGGGCCGCATGGAAGCATGGAGGGCAGCGTAGCACCACATCGTGCGTTTCTTGGAAGTTTTCATTTTGCTTCATTTTAGGGCCTTTGGGTTGTTGGCCGCCTTAGCCCAGCAAAAGGGTGTGATGTTATCCTGACAGGCCTGAGCCAGATCCGAGCAAACCGAGAGTGGATCCAGAGTCATTGCCTCCGGCTCGGACACCTTTCATGAGATGTGTCCGGAACTTCTTGTTGCCTTGGACCCAAGGACAGCCTCCGCTAGGGCGGAGCTTTTCGAAACTTGCTCATCAGCTGTGAAAACAGCGCACTTCGGCCCAAATACGACATGTCACCCTTGCTGGTTGCCTGCATGCTCGGCGTGGTTCCAGGTTGGACGACATGTCCAGGTTGGTTGCGGTGCTGCACCCAAAGCCGGGCGACGAAATCCTTACAACCGCCTCACTGGACGAGAGCGTTCCTCGGCATCTGTCTTGTTGCGTGATTCCAACATCACGCGGAGCCAAGAAAGCTCAGGTTTTCTATGTTGAAGAAGGCAGCTTTGCGCTTACAGCCATGCAGGAGCAGCACATCACGAGAATCCTCACGAGAATGCAGCTTTGTTGTCATCGGCGGTGCTGCCTAAGGTGTTGAGGTCAGAGCCGATGTCGGGATCTCAACTGCGGCTTGTTGCCAGGTCTGTGGCTTCACTGTACCCCATCAGCCTATAAAATGGCCGAGTCGAATTACAGACTCAATTGGTTTTGTCGTTTTCGGAAGCAACACTGGCTTTCATGGCTTTTGCGAGTGTGAGAATCACCCCACGCTTCCCGTATCACGGGGCCTTACTCTTGCCATTAGTCCCATAAGTGGCTTGTAGATTGATCAAGGGTCGTCGGGAGAGTCATCTCGCAGGCCTCAAGAAATTTCCTTGACGGGATCACCCAAATTCTTTCCAGAGATCGACTTGCAGTAACCTTTGAGTCCCTCAAAGTGCTACACCAGTCAAGCGAGGAATTTCAACCTCAGTGCGCAACTCAAGATCTGGTGTGTAGCGGAGCCAAGCAGGGCCGTAGAGCAGCATTGGCTTAAGGTTCAGGATGTCGGCACGGCAGCCAAGTAAAAAAAAGACCAAGCCTCCGGACCCCGAACCGGGTTGTAGGAGCGTGACGAGGCCTTCAAAACTCCGCAAAGGCAAGCCGTGAAAAAACTGAACACCACAAGCCGTAACATAGCGAATCGAATGGTTGGAGAAAGGGCATTTGCGGGACCAGCTTTGGAGTTGTAACTAGTTTTCTGAAGTCTTGACAGACAATGCCGGGTGCATGTCTCTTGTTTGCCTGTAAGCATGGTCCGAGTTATGAAAAAATCGCCGGCAATGAGCAGAGAGCAAACGGCACATTCCAACAAAGACAGTGCAATTGCCTCGTCTTAGATGTCATCCTTCCAATGTGCCAGTTTGTGCCCTCTGGTTGAGGTCACCCTGACTGAGCGGCCTGAGTCCAGACCTCCGAAGCGGACCCGCATTCACGTGTACATCGACAGGGCCGAGAAATTAGCAGGCACAGCCCCACAGTGCAATTGCAGAGGTTTGCCTTCCAAATGCTAGGACCTGCTAGGAGTGCGCGTGCAGGCGAGTCCATCTTTGACAAGCTGGATCCCTACTGCATTATCAAATTGGGGGAGTACAAGCGCTTCCAGACTCCAGCTCCCTGACCGCATTGCTTGCCACAAAAAGAAGGCGCCAAAGCACTTAACCGCACAAGCCGCAGAGGTACAGTGGAATGCAGGTGTCCCTGCCTTAGCTTGGCAGTTTCGCGCGGCAGGCTGGTGGCGGTCAAGGTACATGTATTTGGCTTGTGACAAGGTGAACCCATCGTTCAACTATGAGGGCGTGTTAACCTTCAATGGCGAGGAAGAGCTTACCATCACAGCAGCTTGGCAATTTTAATGCAGCATTCCTCCTTGTCATCCCTGTAGTGGGCTTTCAGATCATGGACTACGACAAGTTTACCTCGGACGACCTTTGTGGCAATTGCACGCTTTTGGTTGACGATCTGCAACCAGGTGGCAGAACTTTTAGCGAAGCTTATTGCGAGAGTTTACAGGGAGAGCGACGCAGAGCGACTGGGGCAAATTTGTCAGCCCCCATGGAAAACCTTGAAGACCTAAGGGCCGACGGATGGCATGGCAAGGTAGAGCTTCGACGACCCAAATCGGCTGTGGGAATGATGATGAAGGAGGACGCGGACTTGCCACCTGGCATCATGAGACTTCTGTGCACACTGGTGTGGACACGGGACGGCGGACATATGCGGACATGCCGGGTTTCCCCAGCTAAGGACCGAGCCTGCCGGGAAGGTCTTCATTGCCGCCATCTGTTTGCAGATAGTGCAACGCCACGCTAGCTGCTTTTTGTTCGCCATTAGCCTCCAGGTGAAGTGGGACTATGAGACGCACAACCCCTTGGTTTTGCCAAAGCAGAAGACATGGACGGACCAGGCGCCCGTGTGCAGGACCGTCCTGAAGAGTGCGGAAGAGTGTGGGAAATCTGCATTTTGCAGGCTCTGTTCAATTTACAGAAGAACCACATATGGGGCCACGAGCGCCTCATGCTTGGGACTCGGGGGGTGGTGTCTGCACCTGGACCCTAACGCCAAAGCCGCCAAAGCCCAAGTGGCTTTTGCCAAGGCTTGGATCTGTCTTTACCAAAGCTCTCGAGGGAGCAGCCGCCGCTTTGCAACTTGGTGGCAGCTCTCCCATGTTTGAAAGTGCTCCCACATGCCTGCTTCCCATCTGCAGACCTTATCGCCTGCAGCTGCAGAACTTCACAATGAGGGCAGCAGAGCAGAAAGGCAGGACCTTATGAACAGACACTCCTTCGCCTCGTGTTTGCGTAGTTGTCTTTGGGCTTGCGGAAGGCGTGATGGATCGCATTGTGCTCATGAAGATTTCAAATCAAAGGTGCCTTGTTCAAGCGTTGCAGCTCAGATCTTTGCACACGTGATGCCGGTTCCCCTCTGGAGATGTGGAGCTTGAGTCGCTGGGTCATTGGTGCAGGTTTTTGGAATTCATCAAGAAAACCCAACGTGAGAAAGCTTTCGTGCAAGCTTGTCGCGCACAAGCTTTGGACACATGCTGGCACATAGTTGGCTCAGTTGGCTCCTTGCGACATTGGTGGGTGCTTGCCGCTGTAGAGGTTCATGCACTTGCTCTTTCGTGCCCCGAGAAGGGGGGGGCATGTCAAGGAGAAGCAGGGAGTCATCCGGGAGCACGTGAAGGACCTCATGCAGAGGTGGATGAACGAGGAGCAGAATGAGCTGTTGCGAAAAGGCGCTTTGTTGTCGATGCTGCGCTTCGCAAGCTTTGCTGTGCTGCTCGCAATCTTTGAACAGCTGTGATTCCGCACCTGAAACAGATGCAGGTGTACTGGGAGGAAAGGGCGCGCCGGAAGAGGCAGTGGATCCCAACAAGTTCCGTGCGGCCTACAAAGGGGTCAAAGCGGGTCACTCAGATCTTGCAAGCTTGTACTCGTAGCCATCTTCCAAGAAGAGGTTCAGCTGCACACGCCTTCACACGCCTGAGGCCACTATCACCATCCGGAATGCCGCCAACCTGTCTGGCGGAAGTTGGTTTGACAAGCTCGATCCATACGCGATTGTTCGTTTTCGTGGAAGTCGTGAGGACCGATTGCATCCACGGAATCTACCGCCCACATGAGACAATCTGGCCACACATGGGGCCCATGCCAGGAAGATGTAGTCAATGTGGTGACATGAACATTCGCATCATGGTACTTTGCAGGAAGTCAGGACGAGTGTTCTCGCGGATGCAGGGGGTGATCCTACTTGGGACTGTGAAGGCAGGCTGCGATTCTACATGCTCTTCCTGGAAGTGCATGTGAATGCAAGGTTGGTAATGGTGAGATCATTCGTTCTGTATGTTCTGTATTGCTTTATGAGAGCCCTCAGTAGGCTTCCAATCTCGAGGCTTTTGGATGTTCTTTGTGCCTTTGGGATGTAAGGGTCAGCAACAGATCAGGATAACACGTTCTTTACATGTCCCAAGTGGAGGCCGAGTGACCTACAACGGCGAGGTTGCACTGGAAGTGTCTGTTTGGGACTACGACGCTCATCAAAAAAGTCGATTTCTGCGTTTGGTCTGCCCATGCGGCGGGATGGTGCTTGCTCCCGAAGCAATTTTTGCATCGCAGCATGTGCGGTACCCGTGCAAGTTGGATGGCCTCACCTGCCCCATTCTCCTTGCACTCAGGATAGATGGACCGCCGACACACTTCTGGCGACAGGAGTTGTGCAGGTGGAACAGTTCTGCAGCGGCTACGATGGTATGATACCACTCAGCACGGGTGAGACGCTCAAAAGAGCAACACAGCTTCGCCTAGCTACGGTATGTCTGGGTAACGCAAGCCAACATGAGGTGACAAGCGAAAGCGAAGCAAAAAGCAAGCCATGAACCCTGGCTGCAAGCTGTTTTCAGTGAAGCGCTCTTGCACTGCTTTTTTGCCTTGTGCGTCTCTCAGGATAACTCTGGGGATAATGTTCGACCGACCACCTGATCCATCCTTGATACAGCCGCTAGAGCAACCTCAAGGCAGCATTTGCTGCGATAGTTGCTGACCTGGTGTACAAGATGCCTTTGATGCAAGAATGATGCAGGATGCATTGGCTGAGCATGTTTGCTGTGGAGGTGGCTTTTAGCTCTTGGTACAGGGTGATGACAAGATGTGGCGAACTTGAGCCTTTTACATATTGCACGTTAATGGCAATCCAAGTGGATCCAAAGCTGTACAGGCGGTGATGCTTTGCAACGGTGCTCATGCTCCTTATGTGTAGCGGCCAGACATCCCGAACCTTGTAGCGCAACTTGAAGGCACTTGCTGTAGACCGAAAGGCCTTGCCGCAGACGATCAGGGAGCCCACGCATGGCTTGCAACGCAAAGCTGGAGTCTGTTGATCTTTCGTGGCACCGGACCTGCCGGACCTTGCTGCCACATTTTCGACGAACTGTGGTGGACTCCAACACGGAGTCTTTATCCGCAAAGTGGAGAATGCTCCATAGCGTCGACTGGACAAACTGGAGCGAGCCTTGCAAGGGGTAGGTCACTGTACAAAGCCCTTGCGCAGTAAAGTTAGGGTTGAATTCGCAGCAGCATATTTAAAGCAGTTGTAGGGCTGACGTTAACGTGCGTGAGCGAGTGCAAAAAGTCAGTCCGAAGGCTCGTTGTGAGGATTGGAAGTGAAGCCGAGCAGTTTGAAATCATGCGGCGCCGCAGGTGTTTTTGTGTGCATTCATTATGTGAGATTCCATGTTCTCCAGTAGCTTTAACCTTGAGCTGCCCGGGCTTATGTGGACAGAATGAGACAACTTCTGGTCTGCCGCGTGCTCGGAGTTGACGTGGCGAACATGCTGACGAACATGCTGTTCAACAGTTGCTTGCTTGGCTAAGGCATTTTGGCCCTGTCGCGAATCCTCGAGGGTGCTGTTCCTGCTAGGCTCGGTTCACAAGATGTTGCAGACTCCACCATTTCTAGAGGAAAGCAGAGGAGTGGCCCTTTGCAAGGTTCACCATTGACTATGATGGGCTGCCGGCTGTTTCCTTGCATCGTAACTTAGATACTTCCTCGCGCGACTTGATTGAAAACTTGTGCTTCCGTCGGAAGCCCGAATTGAAGTATCGTCTGTGACAGTAGACACAATGTCGCGCTAACTGCCTATCTCACTCCGAGGACAGGGCCCAGGACATGTAATGCGACGAAACCTGCTTGGAAGGGCAGTTGAGAACACCCCGAATGACATGATCCATGTTGTCTATTCTGCCGATGGCGATGTTGTTCCTGGCCTTAAAGCCTCTATTGCCTCTTGCATTGCGTCTGCTACCTCACCCCACGAGCTTGTCATCCATATTATGGTGCAGAGCAAACACCTGGCACGACTGCGACGTGAGTTGGACATAAAGACGGCCCGCAGGGTCACATCTTCAGGCGCAGTCGCTGGACTTGAAACGGATGGGATAAGTTGCGTTCGAGACCTTTCCGGCAGTCATGCCATGTTTTGCCCAAACCCTAAACCCTTTGTTTGATTCTTCTGATCGCGGCGGAAGCTAGCCGCGGCTGTAGACATGACTTGTACCAAGACAGGTCATCACACTTCATGAGATACCTGTGCAGATTGTGGAAGCGGACAGAGGCATTCTACAAACGCGGATACGCCAGGACCGGCCCCTTCAAGTAGACTTCAACCCCGCTTGAAATGTTGGAGCCAAACAACCCATAACAACCCCCGTCGCGACGATTGACGGGAAAACCCATCGTTTCTCGATACCCCTGGCAGTCTGGATAATGTACTTCGAGTCACGGGCCCCCGATCCTCGCTGGTGCCGTTGCATTACCATTGCTTTGCCCTCATGTCTCGGCAGTTTTTGCTTGTCTTGGTTGATCGCGGCTTTGGGAATACGGTTGTCGCTCCGATCTTCGAAGCACCGCATCGTTGATGTTGTCGGATGTTGTCGGGTCGGTTTCGCAGTCCGTTAATCAGGAGCGTGGCGAGTTGGATGATCCAGAAGTGTATGCCCGAATATACATGGATGCTTGACGGGCACCTTCCTGCTCAGCAATTGTCCGATTATCCATGCAGTTGCTTGATGGTGTAGCCTCACTTGTCTTCCTATCTTCCTGTAGGCACTCAGCCAAGGACAGAATCATTCCACAGATAGATGTCGCAGTCTGGCTTGATGCCGACACCATTGTTCAGAAGGATGTGAAAGAACTTCATTCGCGCCTGCGGCAATCGGGGAAGACAATAGGTTTTGTGCATCGAAGCACTAAACTATTTCCAGATTTCTTAACAGGCAAGTGCACGACAACTTTAGATATTTCGTGGAACAAGCTGAAGAATCTCACCGCATACAACACAGGAGTGGGCTTGCTGTCTCGAGTGGCTGTACCAACGCTTTCTTTTCCATGTGGCAACGTCTTCTGTGGTCTTTGTTGGGAATGTGCATGCATGCTGCAAGGAGTTTTCGCTGTAAACTTGCGGCGCTGGACGGCTGTGAAAGCGGCCGCCCGCATCGACAAGCTGGTTCGACTTCAGAACAGTTGTCCTGGCGGCTTGCTTGAAGCAGAGGAAGTCGCTCACGATGCAAGGTAGCTTGTGCTGTTCCTGAGCATGACCGTCCGATAGCCCCGCAAACGTTTGGCTGCCAGGTGGGCTCTGGAAAGGCGGCTCCCAGCCTCCTCTTACTCTCTCTTTCCAGTTACATAAACATAATGAAGCCGACGACTACATCCTTTTTGAGAAGGAGTGGAATGCCTTGGGCTTCGGCTTGAATGACAAGTCTAAAGAAGATGTTGGGCAACTGCACATTTTGCATTGGAATGGCATGCAGAAACCTTGGAAGAGCAATGGCTACAACAAAGCTCTCTGGGAGCCCTACTACCGCCAGTACGCCCACTTGTGATGCCTTGAGACATCGAGAGTGCGGGCCGCAGCAAAATAGCGGTGTACCAGGCATGTCATGAGGGTTTGCGATGGCCGACAACGCCTTCACGAGACCGGAGGACTGGCTCAGTTACACCATGTTGATCACAAGATATCACAGAGCTCACGGCACATTTAAATCCCGTCACGACACCGTTCAGACCCGTGTAATGGTTTGCCGCATTCGCCCGGCCTAGCTGTGTCCGGAATGTCGCACTTCAGTACGCCTTACAGATGAGTGTCATGAAGAGGTGCGGTTTGCTGTGGGCTTCCGTCTTGTAGCTGCTGTAGTGATGGCCGTGTCCGGGTGCAGCGATCTTTTTGCAGTGCAGGCTATGTTGCTTACTGGCTGCAGGTTTGCTTGGAGGCCCGCTTGCAGCCAAGTCTCTGCTTGAAACTCGCCCTGTCCCGCAAGTAGCGCCTTGCAGCAGCAACGCAGCAAAGCATGGGATGATTCCGGAGAGTGGGCAGAGTAGCCGTTTTTCTCAACAGTTGCGTCCTATGACGAAGCCAAGACCTGTGATACTTGCAAATGTCATTGGGAATGGAACGTGAGCAGTGTCTAGATCGGCAAAAGAATCGCAAGGACTGAAACATGTTGTTGCAGAGGCGTTTTCCTTCATGCGGTGCAAGGCTCGTTAATCGCGCAAGGAGGCATGGATTCTCTGGAAACAGGTGTGCCGCATGTGAGGCACTGTGAGGTTGTTGGCCGATTTTCTGGCGCAGGCGTGCGAACATGTGGACGAAAATGTTGCAAACGTAGCCAGCGTTGGGCACCGATACGAAGCACTGAGAGCTGAAGTCCGACTTTTCCAATCTTTCCATCATGGCTGTCGAGGAAGGCTTGCAGTGGTTAAGAACACATGGGTCGGACCCGTCTCCCCGTTGGCCACACCTCCGAGCAGGCTTTGCATGTCCATCAGAGCCTGTCAATGTTTCGCTGGGTGCTCGACAACGCCCGCCTACTAGTACAGTTGATAGGTGCAAACGGGTTTATGGTCAGTCAAGACTGGATCATTGTTGAACATCATTTTGCATTTTTATGAATACTGAAGCCCAATAAGGAACAAGGAACAAAAATGATCATTAAGCTTTAATTGAATAGTACAAATAGTACGCCAACAATGGTGCAGAAGATGTATACCTCGGGTGAGGTTGAGGGCAGGAGGGGGCGCGAAATTCTCCATCGTCCTTGATCTGCTCGGATCTAAATCTGGTTGATGTGCTAGACTTACTTTAGGCTTCGGCAGGCTCCCGTGAAGGAGGGTCTTCTGTGATCTTCTGTGGTGCACGGTTAGAGCTTGGCGATATATTGGCACCAAGAACTACACTGCAGTTCGGCCTGGGCTGGCAGGCGGGTATGGTTCTGAAGACCCGCTACCAGACAAGGTGGGCATCCAAGTGCGCCTGACCAAGCAGGCGGGTGCGAAAGCGTGGTTACAGGGTGAGCAGCCGGGAGACACCAAGTCCCAAGACTTGAGTGTTGTATCAGCACTCCAGGTTTGTCCCTTTCATACGCTTGGGTGTTTGTGCAACTTCGGAGACAGTCGGACAGGAAAAGGCTGCACTCAAGAAGCTCGAGTGCAGTATGTGCAAGGCGGTCATCAGTGGGAGGCTTAAATTGCTGCCGGGACTTGCTTCCTTGTTTCTCCATCTGCCCCTTAGGTGAGATGCACATGGAGGTTGCGCGGCATTCCATGACCGAGCAAGGTGCAACCACGTCCCACACGTCAAACGGGCAACTCCCGAGTCATGTGCCAAGGAGTGGGTTCAGAAGAGCAGGTTTGGGAGACATCGAACGCGATGTGCCTTGCCCTGCTGCAGCATCTCAGACAAATTAGCGTCCTGTCGCAGCTTGGCAGTCTGCCACATGCTGTTGCGTTGGTGTTAGCAGGGAAGCGCAGAGTGCAGCCCAACAGGATGTTACTAGATATGACAAGAGGTGAAGGAAGGGACTGCTGCAACCTGAGCGAGCCATGCAACAGTCAGAGGTCTGGAACGAACCGAGCAAGCGAAAACATCAAGATGGAGAAGGGGTGCAACGCACAATAAACAAGAGGTTTTCCGGCAACATCATTACTTCGCAAAAGGTTTAGGAGCGCGTTGCAAAAGGGTAGGCCTTCATGCTGGCATCTGAGGAAGTACCGGCTCAGCCTCGATGGGGAGCCCAGAATAGATGCCAAGCAGGAGGATGATGATGAGAGCGCGTCTATGGCTTGCACGAAATCGTTGGAGGCTTCTGTAGTAGCTGAAGTGTCCACGATAACATGATATAACATGTGCAGCAGCAAGTGCTGCACAAGGATGGCTGCTGCAGCCGAAGCTGGCAAGCAAGAGAGCTTCATGAGATCTATGCTGGTTTTCAAGATGGGGTGTCAACAGTGGTTGGAAGACTACGGTGGTGACACATCTGGCTATGTGTACAGATCCGTGAAGGACCCACACCAGAGGCTGCACCAGAAACTAGCGCCGCGCCGCGTTCTTGATCATGCAGCTGAGTGCTTTTGCAGGAGCGCAAGCAATCACCGGCAGGTGCTGCTCAAGAGTTCTGCGTTCGCTCGGCCAAGCTTTGCGGAAAAGGAATGAAGGTACGTCTCAGTCCTGTTGGAAGTGGTGCATTCCTCCGTGTTCCTCCTGACTGCGCAGTGTTTGGTGCAGGTCTTTCGTGTAGTGCCAAAGCAGTGTGTGTTCACAGGGCAAGGAGAAGCAAGAGAAAGCGGACAGGGAACGCCGGGCTCAGCGATGCTTGGCATAAAGCCAGGTCAGAAGCAACGTCCGCTAGGGTTGGAGTGATTGTGTTGAGACTCAGGTGCCAAAATGGCTCAGAAAGAAGAAGCAGTTGAAGAGAAGCGAAAGAAAGAAGACCCAATGCAGTCCCTCCCAGATGACTCAAAGTTTGGCATCCAACGTTTGCTCGAGATGGCTCGCGACGATCCGTTGCATTACATGGATGAAGCTACCAAGGCGCGGGTTCGCACGGCGCGCACGGACCTGAGGTGCGATGTTTGCAGACGAGTTCTGGAAGAGACGGCGTCGGAGGTCATCCCAAAGCCAAAAAGTTTGCGGAGCGAGCATGACATTCTTGTGGCTATGGAAGGTATATGTGTGGGTGGCCCGGATCTTTCCATACCAAATTATTTTGGCATCGAGCCCCCGCCTTTGCCAGCTGAATGGACGGACCGCTGGCGACCGAAACTGGACAAGAAGTCAGGTCGCTATGTCCTCAAAGCTTCGTCGAAGAAGGTCAAACAAAGGCGCGACAAATGGCGAAGCCTGGCCAAAGAGGGAAAGCAACAGCCTCCAGATTCTGATGAAGCAGAACAAGACACTCAGATCCCAATTCGGTCACTGAACGACAGTGAATGTGTAGTTTCTGAGACCTGGGAATTGTTGATGCTCAAGGACACGATGCTGACTTTGACCTGCAAAGATGCTTATCTAAGATGATGTTTGCCTTTTTTGCACAAGGGCATCCACCCTGTTAGTCCTTCGTGTCAAAATGACGAGGACATTGTGGAGCCAGAACGCTTCTCTGAGTTACTCTTTCAGGAAATGGAGCTCTGCCAGGCTACTTGCTTGTGTGTTCAGTTATCTTGGCAAGCATGCTAGCCGACTACTTGCAGGCAGCCTCTCCCTGTGCGGCAGCCACAAGGACAGCATCAAAGGCAACTGGGCCCAGTGCTTCTTGAAACATACTGGATATGCCACGACACCCTGCTGCGAGGTGTGCGCGGACGCAAACGGCAGTCTTTGCGCATACGATGCCATGCAGGACTCGGCGTTTTCTGGTGAGACCTGCTCTGTGTCAAACTTCAGTTTTGGGGTATCCGGCTTTTGGTTGATGGTTTGGCCTTCCGTGTGCGAGAGCGTTGAGTGAGCTTACGTACTTATTTGTCCGTAAAATGAGAGCTCCCTCGAGTTATACACAAGCAACCTTTGCAGGTATCACCTGTATGGTACACGTAGGCAAAAAAACCACAGGTAAACCATTGGTGTGAAAGTGGCATCGGCGTGCGTATGTGCATGTGCGTGTCTGTCTTTGTTTTCGTGGCAGGAGATGCGCAGGCTCAGGGTTGCTTGTTTAGTCCTCCAAAGTACAGTAGTCACGTTCCCTAAAGCAGCTCCTTCTTGGCACCTGTTCTGCCCTCCTGGCTTTCAGTTTTTCGAAACAAGCTGTGTTGCAGTGATTGCAGGAGCTCGCTAGCAAGCCAGAGCTTTGACCGCTGTTGGCCTCGTGGAGACCGTCGCGCCCTCCGAGGAGCAGACAGAACTTCTGACAACTCCATCTTCAAGTCCACGGGGTGGTTGAAGGGCATTCAGGCGTTCATGGGTCCGGTGGATGACATGGCCGGCGCTGCATAACATAGTCCAGGGCGCACGGCCTCAGAGAAAGCACTCCTGGTGGCCCCTGACAAGATAAGCAAGAGGATGCATAAAAGGATGCGCCTCTTGTTTGTCAAATTCAGCTGCCTTCTCTGCAAGGCGAAGCCTTGGGCCTTGATCGTTTGGACCTTAGCCACATGCCCATGTTTTCTACCTGTAGGCTCTGTAGTTTCGGTTCAAAGGTGTGCGCCAATGTGCGCAGGGACATATGGCTGTCCCAGAGGCAAGGGCACGAACCTTCGTAGAGCCCACAACTACCGTTCCTCTTGCGCCCACTTCTTCGCGATGTGAGTCGCCCGCGAACTATGTAGCCACATTGGCGCAACCACCACGTCCTACTGCTGCTGCCCCCATTCCGGCATCGGTGACCTCGGTTGCTTCTCCCAGGGGGTACTATGGAGACACGAGCTACATCTCACCCGCTTTGCGATCCTGGGTGGAGTGTCTGGTTGACAACCGAGTGGACCAAGCCATGCGGTTGCAGGATGGGGAGATGGGGCAACTTCTGGAGCATGCACGACAGGAGACCAGCACAGCTTCACAGAATGCCGGCCGGGCTATGCAGCAAGCGGACGAAGCTCGGCGAAAGCTGGAGAGTCAAGTTCGCAGCCTTGCAGAAGGCCAGTCGAGGCTCCTGGCCATTGTGGAGAACATTTCTGGAGATACGGATCGCCAGTTTTCCTCCAGCAGTCAGGCAAAAGCAGAAGCTTTGGCAACTGTGGAGCGTGTGGTCTCGACTGTCAACGAGCTACGCGTGACAGTAGAGCAGGATGGCGATGTTGTCAGCACCCGGCTCCGAGAGCACAGCGTTGCCATCGACGAGATTCGCAGGTCTGTGGCAGAGGACTTTGCCCGCCTGCGTGCTGCTTGGTCCGAGCTGCAGAAGCAATCAGTTGATGCCATGTCCCGCCAGCGTCAAAGCGGTGATGATCTTGCAACAACGGCTGCGTCAGTGGACGCGACACGTCATGAGCTGGCTGAACTGGCGCGTCTCGTCCAGAGTCTTGATAGGAAGCTTAATACCTGGAAAAGTGAGGTGAAAGTGGAGGTGCTCGAGGAAGTGTCGTCGTCTTCTACCGTAAATGAGGGGGATAGGCTCAAGCTGGACTCGCTACATCGCGAAATCGCACAAATGGCTGCAGCCCGGATCGATCTCGAGTCCCAAATTGAAAGGCTGAAAGTTGAGATGGCGACGATGGCAAAGCCAGAGTTGGAGAGTCGCATCCGGGAGATGCAAAGTGTGCTCTCGAGGCGACTGGAGGATGTGGAGTCCTCCTGCGAAAACCTCCGCTCAGAGATGTCTGCTGCTATGTCAACACGCGTGGAACACCTGGATGCGCGCATGCAAGAGGCACACCAGGGACTGTCACGACGCTTTGATGCTCTTCAAGTTGCAGCTGCGGAGGACGTGGAGTCAGCCCGGCTTGAGATCAAGAAGCTGTCCACACTTGTCAAGCGCATCGAGGATCGCCAGGCATCCCTTCTGGAAGAAGTCTCTGGTGAAGTTCGTGCGTCAGTCGTCGCCCTGCGAGATGAAGGAGCGTCTAGCACTTCGGAGCTCTCCAGAAAGTTCGCTGATCTGGCAGCTAGGCTTGAACAGATGGAGGTCGAGCAGACAACTGCCCGTGCTACGCGCGAAATGTTCGAGTACAGGATACGTGAAGCCACGACTGAGACCAAGCAGTGCGTAGACCTCCTGCAAGGTGAGATGAGTAGCTTAGGCCAGAAGCTCTCCTCAGAAGTGGCAGAGTGGAGAGAGCGTCTCCGCGAAGAGCTACTTGCCAGCCAACGCAAGCTGACCGGAGAAGTGCGGGAAGCCCGATCGCTGTTCAAAGAAGACCAGAACGCCATTGCTGCACTCGATGAGCAGCTCTGGCTGACCGATCAGCGGCTTGGCCAGCGGATTGACGAAATCCTGCAGGCAGCACAACGGGGAAACCGCCTGGCTGTGGCAATGGCAGATGAGGCGGTCGCAAGCCAGAGTATAGCAAGTGCGGCAAGGATCATGGAGCCGATCGTGGACGAAGCTGATCTCACAGTGCTCAACCAGAGCACCGGACGATCCGGTCTCGCCATGGCTCGTCGGGTTGCTTGCAGGGCTTAAAGACCATGCTGCGAAATACGGTAGGAAAACATACTGCATGCTTGGTTTGTACGTGTTTGACTCGAGCGAGAGCGAGAGAGAGGCCTGGAGAAGAAGAAGAAGCAGAAGAAGAAGCAGAAGCAGAAGCAGAAGCAGAAGAAGAAGAAGAAGAAGAAGAAGAAGAAGAAGAAGAAGAAGAAGAAGAAGAAGAAGAAGAAGAAGAAGAAGAAGAAGAAGAAGAAGAAGAAGAAGAAAAAGAAGAAGAAGAAGAAGAAGAAGAAAAAGAAGAAGAAGAAGAAGAAGAAGAAGAAGAAGAAGAAGAAGAAGAAGAAGAAGAAGAAGAAGAAGAAGAAGAAGAAGAAGAAGAAGAAGAAGAAGAAGAAGAAGAGAGAGAGCGGAGAGAGAGAGAGAGGCTTCAGCTTCTGAGGCTGCTGAGACTTTTGCAGCACATGGTGGCGGAGATTCTCTACGCGGCGATGCATACGACGGGGAAGTACCGGTGGTTGGCAACTCTAAACGTGGGTCGCTGGCCATGGCGCGTCAAGCGGCTTTGCGGCACTATTCAGAGATGAGTCGACTCGTCGATGCACTGTCAAATCGGTGGTGGCTTGCAGTACTTTGCGTTGAGATCAGATTGCATCACAGGCAGCCGAAACCTTCGCGGCTCGTGGCAGCTTCGCTTTGGCCAGTGAGTGAGCGCACGAATGCACATGTAAATGTAAATAAACGAGCGCAGAGACTGTTTAACACGTGGGGTGCGCGATGAGCTGGTTTACTGAAAGGTAGTTATGATGCCGCAACACATAAAAAGCACAACAAAAATTTGAAATGTTTTTTTGCCTAGCGAAGTCTTTTTCGAGAGTTGTTACTAACAAATATATTAACAAGCCGAATTTTGGCGACCTAATTAGTGTCATTGTTGATAGTGTGTGGTGCTTCGTCAATGAACGTCATGCGTTACTTTTGATGTAATGGGAGAATACCTACAAACGCTTGGAACGTATTCATATGTTCTTGATGGGAGGACACGAATCTGTTGGCTGCTGCTTTGGAACAGTTTTTTTGCGCCCTTGTTAATGTACATTATGATGTTTCACGCGCTGCAACACTGCAAGGTTGAGGTGTTGTGAAGTGGCTTATCAGAATCATGGTGCCAACGTTGCTAGTAACTGGGAACACGGACTTTTTTAGCAATTGTTTCGCAATACCTCGTACCGGCTAATTCGACAGTTGAGTTGTTTGCACCTGCTATGTGCGTAAGCGGTTGAGCAGAAGACTATGCAAGGCAGCTCGGAATAGGCAAGAAGCTGTCCATGGCCGTGTCCGAACATGAGAAGTCTCGGTGATCTTGCAGCTGCTTTAGCCACTTTAGCCCATGCCAGCCAGAACGGCAGTTTGGAACATGTGAATACCTGAGCTCCTGTTCAAATTTCACAGGAAGACCCCAAAAAGCATCGCGGAGGTTTGGAACTCGCACGTGGATTTTTTTGTAGAGAGCTTTACTTTGGCCCGTCTCATGGAGCCAAAGCAGGGCTCTGAGCTATGGCAGCCTTGGCAATTGCGAAACGCACCTGCGCCCTCTGAATGCTTGAGCCTTTTGGGATGCGGGGTTGTCTCAGGTGTACACCGTCCACCCTCCCAGACCTGGGGCAAGCGTATGGCCTGTTCGTGTTCATTCGGCGCCCCACGCAGGACTTGCTGGTATGGGCAAACAAGCGGCAAGCAGCTTCAAGACTCCTCATGTGAGTATCTATGGCCATCACGAGTTGTTCACCTGATGCAAGAGATTCTGTGGTGCACTTGTCCTTTGGCTTAAGTGCATTAAGTGCCGACAGCAGTGACAGCAAAGAGCATATGCAGATTCTTTCCCTACCTAACATGAGGTTCCTAGTCCTTCAGCAAACTGGCAGCTTGCACCGGACACACTAGATGTGTGGCACGACAAGATAGTTTTCAAAGCAGCTGCTTCCATGCAGGGTTATGTTATGTCGACTGATTGACTAACTCCATCGTCCTTACTGGTAGAAGGTTCCTGCCCGTGCCTTTCGGCCTTTTACACATGAGCCCCAAAGCAGTCCGGAAGAAGAAGAAGGTCATAACTGGAGGAAAGAAGAGGGGCAACCGTCGCAACCATCTCGTGCTCACCTCAGCGCAGCCCCCTTGTGGCAAGGAAGGAGCTGATGGAGTCGAAGATTGCAATGTTTTGAGTTCGGCGCCAAGTGCAGGGCCGAGTTCTGGGAAGACAGGGAGCTCAACCGTGAGGGCCAACAGCAAGAAGAGTCTGCGATCCAAAGCAGCGGGCAAAAGGAGGCGAATTCTCCAGTCAGGCCTCCGAAAGGGTCAAGAGACTCAAGAGACTCAAGAGGATGCAAGGCCTCAAGGTGGCAAGAAGGTAAAGCGCAAACTGAAAAGGTCCGCGTCGCAGGCCGCGAAGGTCCCTGAGCAGAGTCGACCTTCGAAGGAAGCTTCCGCCAACTGCCATGGAAATCACTGTCCTTCAGGTCAAGAAGGTCAAGACTCCAGTCCCTCAAAGGAGAAGCTTGAACTGGTTGGAGATACTCCACCTCATGGTGCTGCGAGCGACGCGCATAAACGTAGAAAGAAGAAACAAGCCAAAGAGCCATCGACAAAATGCGCCACCGATGTTAACACAGAAGAGCAGAAGGCAACTGTTCAGACGGAGGCCAGTGAAAGTCACATGCATGACACTTCTCAGTGCCTCAAGGTTTGTGCGGCAAACCTTCCCTGGTGGTTTGATAAGGCCAGGATAGAAAAACACTTTCGCAGGATTGGCGACGTCTCGCACATCTGGCTACTGTATGACAAGTGGGGGGAATCACGGGGTGTGGCTTTTATCACTTTCTCGGACAAGGCATCTGTCAAGGCAGCTCTGCAGTGCGACGGGAGGAATGTCGGAGGTAATGTGATCAGGGTCAACTTGGCGCTGGACAAGAACAAGGAGGAGGTGAACACCAAGCAGAAAGGCGAGGGTAAGGGTTGGGCTGGAGGCGGAGCCTGGGCCGACACATCCGGTGGTTCTGTGAACAGTGCCAACGGCAAGGCAAAAGGAAAAGGCGCCAAAGGCGCCAAAGGCGCCAAAGGCGCCAGGGAGCCTGCCATCTTGGCACTCCCCAGGCCGGAGGGCTCACTTGGGCTCATGGCCCGAGGCCTGTCCTACGACGCTACAGAGGACGATCTGAAGGAGCTCTTCTCTCAATGTGGCTCAGGGCCTACTCGTGTCAGAGTGCTCATGGACAAGAGTGGGTGGTCCAAGGGCAAAGCATTTATTGACTTTGCCGACGAGACAGCGGTTGAGAAGGCAATGAAGTTCCAGGACACCTTGCTTAAAGGCAGACCGCTCCGGCTGGAATATACGCGTGCAGCCTCTGAGAAGGCAGGAGATGCCACTAGTGCAGAGAGGAATCGTGTCTAGGCTGTTCTGTGGACCCTTTTTCAGACATTGAGTGGGGGTCTGGGACAGAAAAGGAGGGTGCAGTGCATGTTGCCGCTATCCGTGCAGAATGGGCTTGTGGATTGGGAAGGGGAGACAGCAAGAAGTCAAATTCAAAGAGAGGCGACACAGGTCTGACTCACGTCCTTCCGAGAATGTGAGAACTTGATGCCACGCTAGTGGGGACACTTTGGGCTACCATCCGTGCCACCGCCCTTCAAGCCAGCCTTAAGCATCCTCAAGACCTAGAAGACAGACCCCTTGCACTGGTCTTTTCAAATTTTCACAGTGATAAATGCTGATCACCTTCAAAACATCTCAAGACTTGTCAGGTCAGGACCCCAACGTTCGCCACCAAGTTTGCTACGGACCTTGAAAGAACTTGACGACTGATACACAGCATTAGACTTGCAGGTTTCCAGACATTGGTATGTGTTATGTATTTCGGTGGAGTGGAGGGGTGGCAAAACATTGTGCGGAGTAGGGTGGCAAAACATTGTGCGGAGTAGAAAATGTGAATAAATAAAGAGATAAAGTTGGCAGTGAGGCTTTCACCTGCTGTGGCTCAGCATGCAGAGCTTCGAGCTCGCATGAGAACAAATGGTTGTCAGTCCGCGGACCTAGGTTTGGGTGTTCTTTGGGTGTTTGTTGGTGCTTGATGGTTTGGATCGATTTGGAGCGCTTCCCATTGGAGTACCCAAGGGAGGCTTCAGGTGCTGAAGCGAAATCTTTCAGACTCTCATTCGCGTCCGCCGCTGTTGCTGCTCAACCGGCCCAGCACCCTTGTAGCTTGCCCTGACGGACAGGCTTGAGCTGCACAGTGGCAATGGTGCTGGTGTATGTTGCAGTAGCGTTTCTAAGGGGGCCATGACCCATAGAAGCGTCATAGTGCATGCTACATTTTGGCATCTGGCACTCCCTGGAAACATCTCAGGTACCAATGGCGGCGCCTTGGACCTGCAGCAGTTAGTCGACACGCATTGTGCTTCTACCGTCGACATCAGATTCATCATGCCTTTCAAGGAACGGGTGGGGGTGGCCCTGGGTGGTGGTGCTGGCGCTTCGAAAGCCGCAGGCTCCCGAGGCCCATGCTGCAGCAGTTTTTTAAACGATGCGCGGCACGTAGAAGAGCCCGGTAAGTGGAAGGAGCTCGAGGACACCGGCTGATGGTCCCACCTCCAGGATACAAGTTCATACCCCGCACCGAGCCTTCCTGCCTAAGTTTCGGCCTTTGCCAGCATGTGACAAGGAACCAAATAGTTGCAATCTATGCCACGTTACAGTTTGATTCGCCAGGCAAGTCTGTCAAGAGATGGGCTGCTTTGAGTGCTATGATATCTACTGCGAGCGCTGTGAGTCCAAGGAGCCTTAAACGAGGCATTCCGTGAACGTGCTCTGATGGCACTGCTGATAGCTTCCTGCAGGATCGGCGAATCATCGAGTTGGAGATGCGAAACACCGAACTGGTGCCTCGTTAGCACGGAGTTGGTGTGTCTCTGTGCAAGCTGAGTGCTGCCTACATGGAAGGTGAAGCACATCACGTTGCTGCAGGTGGGCCCTTAGCAGATTGCCCACTGTGATCCTGACATGAAAGATGCCGCACAGGCCCGCCTGTTCCCACGGGATGGTCAGGGTCCCGGAGCAAGGCCTAATGCTGGCGGTGGAGGTGGTGCAGGCCAGTGCAGGCTTGCAGCTTGTGCTGCTGGAGTGCGCTTTGGCACTGTGGTTGTCAGGCAGTGAACCATTTGCCTACGTGCAAAGCCCCGTTGCCCGGCTGGAAATGGCACAAGCTGACTGCAAGTCTCCGGACAGGTGTGATTATGACTCCTGACTATGATGCCGCCCCGAGGTAATGTACGACCCAGGCATGGGCATCCAGTATCAAGCCACCACGACTTTCAGTGCAGCCGGACCTTCTGGCGGAAAGCCATGAGCGAGCAACACCATTGTTGCATTTCGAAAGAGCAAGCGATTTCGAAAGAGCAAGCGAGCGCGCAGAATGTGGACGAGAACAGCTTTCGTAAGCTGGCCTGGCAGCAGTTTCCCCAAAGTCCACAAGAAAGTTTCACAACATTGTTTCCAGATTTCACAGCATTGTTCCCAGCTAGCGGCGTTAGAGAGCACAAGAGGGTACTGAGTACCGCTGAGTGCCATCCGCATTTGCTTCTCAGCAGCTTCTGTGGTTGGTAAAAAACTGAAGACAATGCTTTGAAGGAAGATCTTTCGGGAGCCTGGAACTGACAGGTGTGTGACACCATTCTAGCCAGGGGAGCGGTCGACCACGGCAACGGTGGAGGGGCCGGCTTAAGCATGGGTAGACCCCTGGGCCTGCACAGCACAGCTTCAACATGACTCAACCACCTGGAGGGTCGGATCAAGTCCCATCTCCCAGTCGCTGTAAGCATACAAAAGTACAGCAGTTCCAGCACCGCACGTGGTGCCGCCATGCTGCCGCAGCACTTCGACCTTTTGAAAGGCTCGTGGCACCAGATGCTGCTGAACGTGAGGGGGCATCAGTAGTAGCAGTAGTAGCCGAAGGCCTTGTCAACACGAATTATGTGGAGCAGGCACAGCAGGCCACGGAAGCTCAAGTGACTCCTCAGCATCCACTCTTGAAAGACCTGGGGCATAAAGGTTTGACCGTTTTGGAGGCCAGGAACTCACGCTCCAAGCAGGTGACTGCCCTGCTGACGAAGCCTGGGCATGTTGCTCCAACTGGCGTTAACACTTTACCCAGATGTAGCCAAATTAAGACCTCGTGGGGTGAGTGCCAGGCAGCGGCGGCTCCCTGATGTGGGCTGGAAGGAGGCTACCTTGTCTGCGCCAGAAGAACAATGGAGTCTGCGAGAACGCGTCCAACCCTTGCATCGCTCATGCATCCAACCCTCAGTTCAATGGCAGGAGGACATTCAATTGCTGCTAGAAGAGATGGCGCCTGCATCTCTGACTGAGTCATGATGTGCACCATGCATTGTGTGTCGTTGAGTCCGTGATGGCTGTGGCTCGGCTTGCAGAGCCTTCATGTAATTCACGATTCGACAGCGTTGACGGCTCACATCGCCAAGGTCCTTCGACACGAATAACTTCCAGGTCCCCGAGCTTCCTTCAAGCATCGTGCGATCGTTTTGGAGTCGGTGACCCACTCGGGAAGTCTTGAAAAGAGCCTTTGACTTCATCAGGGCAATGTTGGAGTCGGTGAGCGGGAAGGTGCGACGCGGCCAGAGCTGTGATGAGCGGATCCTGAGAAAGAGCCGAGGTCGTGTGATCAGCGACTTGGTTCGACGCAGGCATTTCGGTTTGACGCACGGTGGCCGCCCCAACACGATGGCGGCTCGTGACTTGAGCAGAAGCGTGCAACTTGTGGACACATCTTGTCACATCATAATATCGTAGCCTCGCGAAGGCATCGGACGAAGTGGTGACGTTATGGTGCTGCACTCATATTTTTCCGAGCTGAGGGCTGTGTTCGCGCCCATGCATACTTGTCGAGGCAGAGCAGCCCAAAGCGGCCGGCTCATCCCTGATCGTTCAGCTGCTCGCCTGGACCGTCCTCTCTGAGTATCGTGTTCACATCGCCTTGCCATGCCCCTGCCCGTGACGAGGCTGACCAAATACCTCGCCTTGGATGCGATTCGATTGGCCGGGATTCGGCCTCAGCATGATGCAGTATGGAGTGAGCTATGCAGAGTCGACGTGAGCTGGGGAAGTTCCTCGGTGTGTTTGTGCTGAGGATTAAAGCGGTCAAGGCTTGCGCAGTGCTCCCTGCTGCGACAGGCTTCGTGCAGTCATGTTGCTTTGGCCCATGCATCCCGGTTGCAAGCTGCTGGATTTTGCTGGCGTAGACCCCGCTCTACACACACACAGACACAGAGACACAGACAGAGACACACACAGAGACACACACAGAGACACACACAGAGACACACACAGAGACACACAGAGAGACACACACAGAGACACACAGAGAGACACACAGAGACACACACAGAGACACACAGAGAGACACACAGAGAGACACACAGAGAGACACACAGAGAGACACACAGAGAGACACACAGAGAGAACACAGAGAGACACCCAGAGAGACACACCAGAGACACCGAGCCACACAGAGACACCGAACCAGAGACACAGACACACACACACACCACACACCACAGAGACACACACACACGCAGACACACACACCAGAGACACACACACAGAGACAGACACCACACAGACACACACAGATACACACACACAGAGCACACACACAGAGAAACACACACACACACACAACACCACAGAGACACACACAGAGATCCTAAGAGACACACACACACAGAGACACACACACACCGAGACACACACACCACACAGGACACACAGAGAGACACACAGAGAGACACACAGAGACACACAAGAGACACACAGAGACACACAGAACACACACACACACAGACACAAGAGACACGCAGAGACACCCACAGAGACACACAGACACGACAACAGACACACAGAGAGAAGACACCACAGAGAGACACACAGAGAAGACACACAGAGAGACACCACAAGACACACACAGACACACACACAACACACACACACACACACACACACACACACACACACACACACACGAGAACGCACACAGACACACACACACACAGAGACACACACAGAGACACACACACACAGACACACAGAGACACAGAGACACACAGAGACCACAGAGACCACACAGAGACACACAGAGACACCCAGAGACACCAGATACACACAGAGACACCGAGAACACAGAGACACAACAGAGACCCACAGAGACACACAGAGACACACAGAGACAACACAGACCCAGAGACACACAGAGACACACACAGAGACACACACAGACACACACCAGAGACACACAAGAGACACAGGACACACAGAGACACACAGAGACACACAGAGACAAGACACACAGAGAGACACACAACACACACACAGAACACACACAACCACACAGACACACACACAGACACACACAGACACCACACAGACACACAGACCACACACACACACACACACACACACACACACACACACACCAGACACACAACACAGAACACACACACACACAAACAACACACACACAACACACACACACACAACACACACACACACACAACACACACACACACACACACACACACACGACACACACACACACACACACACACACAAACAACACACACACGCACACACACACACACACACACACACACACACACACACACACACACACACACACACACACACACACACACACACAGACAGACACACACACACACAAACACACAGACAGACACACAGACACACAAACACACACACACACACAGACACACACCAAGTAACACACACGGCACACACACGCACACACACACACATACACCAACACAAACACACACAGACAGACCGACACACACACACACAACACACACACACACACACACATCACGAAGCACGCACGCAGCAAGCAGACCACCACACACACACACAGAGACACAACACAAACACAACTAGAGCACAACACAACATTACACCAAGTAATAACACACACAACCTTACACGCCACACACACACACACACACACACACACCACACACCACACACCACACACCACACACCACACACCACACACCACACACCACACACCACACACCACACAGCACACACCACACACCACACACCACACAACACACAACACACAACACACAACACACAACACACAACACACAACACACAACACACAACACACAACACACAACACACACCACACAACACACACCACACACCACACACCACACACCACACACCACACAACACACAACACACAACACACAACACACAACACACAACACACAACACACAACACACAAGGCACAAGACACAAGACACAACACACAAGACACAACACACAACACACAACACACCACACACAACACACCACACACCACACACCACACACCACACACGACACACCACACACCACACACCACACACCACACACCACACACCACACACCACACACCACACACCACACACCACACACCACACACCACACACCACACATCACATACCACGCATCACACACCACACACCGCACACCGCACACCACACACCGCACACTGCACACACCACACACACCACACACACACACACACACACACACACACACACACACACACACACACACACACACACACACACACACACACACACACACACACACACACACACACACACACACACACACACACACACACACACAGACACACACAGAGACACACACAGACACACACAGAGTGCAAACCTGCGAGGGGCTTGCGCATGGGACGTAGGCGGCAGCGCCATTGGGAACATCGTGAAAACGCAGATCCCCCTTAGAACGGATCCACGAAGCGCCGTTCAAAAATTTCCAACAGTCCGAGAGGAGGAAAGTATTTTACCATGGGGCGCCGCAGTTGCCTCTCAACAGGGCCCTCCTTACCTGTGACGTCCTAACGTCAAGTCATCTTAACGCCCCATAGCACTGCCACACCGCTTGGATGAAGGTTTGTTGCAGAGTTAAAGGTGCTGAGTTGCAACCACGTGTTGGGCAGGATTGACGATGACTTTGGTGTTCCTTGCGCTTCGTCAGATGAGGCCACAGCTGCCAAGCATGAAAGGGCTCCGAACTCTCGGGTGGCTGTCCAGGCCAGAAGGTCGATACGTGGTTTGGTCGAGGACCGTGGGAAGTAGCAGACATCTGGATCGTTTCTCATGTAAGCTCTTGCCTACGACACAATCTTGTTCTTGGTCATCAGCCCGATTTATCGAGGAATTGTAGGCTGCCGCGCTTGGGGGTGTGGGGGGGTTGCGGTGGGGTGCGAGGGGTGTTCTGGGGTGGTGGGATGGTGAGGGTGACGGGGGTTTGGGGTAGGGCCCGTGCTTGGCTTGGTAGGGAAATTCAACGCAACTGGGCAGCGACTCTGTTAATGCTACCCCGTACAGTTGAATCTTGCGCTGACCCGCTTGTCTTTTCGAATCTCACGCCGAAGTGTCCCTCTCAATGCTGTAGCTTGTCCCTGGCTTTTGCCGTTTTGTCTTCTGTATGCTGCATGAGTTATCATGAGTTCGACTCGTTTTATTGTGCTGCCGGTTTCATTTGTTCTGCAATGCCAGCCCCCCCCCCCCCCCCCCCCCCCCCCCCCCCCCCCCCCCCCCCCGGGGTCCTGTAGAGGTGGTGTGCTGTGTGGTAGCACGACGCGGTGTGGTGCTGGTGCTGGTGGGTGGTGTGTGATCGTGGACTCGCTGTTGCTCCTGCCAGGATAGACCAGAAGTCTTGTTTCAAGGCTGGCAGTGACGTCCAGAACTTGCCTTGACAATTTCCACAAATTTGGTGCAGGCCATTGGGGCAGCTGGGCTGGAGCCAATTGTTGTGGAGCTGAAGCCTATAGAAGGCAACGGCCATCACCTGGACGACGACCACAATCCTACCACATGTAGTGCGCTCGTCGGGGCAGAAGGTACGGATGCGTTGGGCACCGACATCGAAGGCATGCAGGCTGCCATCGAGCGTGTCGGGGCTGACAAGGTCCGTGCCTGTCAATCTGCTCTTACAGACAATGATTTTCAGTGGCTGGCGAGGTCCTATGTATATGCACGACCACGTCCACCTTTGCGCGCCCCGTCTGCTTTGCATTTGCTACGCTGCTACTTCTCCGGATGCAGATGCAATGAAAGGGAGCACTGAAGGATATCAACATGCGATGTAAGTCCTGACTGTGTACATGGCCATCGGTAAACTTCGCCTTGGGAACAAATTCCCCATGTGGTGCTGTTGAAAGCTGGGTCTTGAGATTTGAAGATCTTGAATTTGAAGGCATGGTTAGATTCCAACAAAGCCGAACAGTTGTAGTAAATCGTTCCACGACCGTTTAACAATCATAAGACAGTGAGTGCAGACAAAATCCTTACGACAACAAAGAATCCTGGCAGTCGAGGGGAAGGAGTAAAAGGCTGCATGAAGACGAAGCTAGGCATATTTTCATGTCCTTGTTGTATTTTATTAGGTGCTACGAATGAGATCTCAGTTGAAGTCATGCCCTTGTTCTTAGAAGATGCTGTTTACTAGGAATGAGGTTTTGCCACAAACCATTACAGGAACCTTCTACTTCGGAAAAAGTTGTGCATGGCGTCTGCGTTACGAATCTTCTTGTCGACAGACGAATGTATCATTCGTTTGTCGTTGTATTCCTTCATCTTGGAGAAGCTGCATCTCCTGGTTCGCATTCTTGAAGACCAATTACTTGGCCGTCAGTCTGGACTTGTTATGTACTCCTTCCCAAGAGACACAGATTTATGGTTTGTAAGTTTATGATGAGTTGCAGCAAATACAAGTGTTCATCTCCATTTCCATCTTCAGTAGTGGCTTTGTGGTGGTTTTACCTGTGCTCTTGGTTTCTTTCACTGATTCTTAACTGGTCACTTTCCTGTAGTCAACTTTCTAACCTACAGTATCGTCGTATCTTCGCGTTACGTTACCATATTCTTATGGAAAGGTGTTGTGTGTTCGCCGTTTTGCTCAGTATAGTAATGAATAACCTCGCAAGAAGAAAAGCTATGAAACTTAATGAAACACTCTTTCACTTGCATGGTGTCGGATATTTGGATTGAAGGCGCATGTGGGGGCAGGGCGTTTCCACGCGGCGGACATTCAGACACTCACAGTCTCAATGCTTGAATATCTGTTTCTCAGACGTTGCGAGACGTGATGTCTTGCCAGGCACGCGAAGTATACAGTAAGGACTCGTCCTAACACGTCGGAGTGTCTGCCTCGTTAAACGTGTCTCGTCACAAGTCCTTTTCCAGCCGGCCAACTTGTCTTGATATGTAATCCTCCAGGTCCAACATGACCGCCCGGGCCAGGATATTAATGGAGCTGGGAGTTTCGACTGTTGGGCGCACCCTCGCACCAGCAGCACCAGCATGGGCCCACGCTTCTCACAGGCCAAGGGTGCCAGACTTCATTGATGAAGTCGCGATGATGGCCAGCAAGCTGAACGTGACATGCCCTAAGCGTGTTCGAGATGTTAAAGCTTGGTGCTGTCGGTGCAGTTGCAGAGCCGAGCCGAGCCAAGGCCACACGTAATCAACAACGCGTGCTGCAGCTGCAGACGGTTCACATTCTGACCGAAATCTATCTTAGGGCATCTGCGTCTCACGATACTGATGCTTTCAGGTATGGCCTTCAGTGCTCCAAGTGTACGCATCTCATAGAGGTTCGATGCACCCATTCTTGCATAGTCTTGCAGTTGACTGCATACTATTCGGAAGAAGTGCCTCCACATTTGACTTGTATTTTGTGCTTCTGCTCCACCAGATGGGATGCCGTCGAGGGCGCGTGGATGCGTTTGCGCGAGGCTTATGTCGACCTACAAATGCAGGTGGCAACACACAGCACATAGGTCGCGAATGCTACCAGGTCCAGAGCACGGACAAGAATTTCATGGTGCCAGTGGGTGGCGCCATCGTCGCGGGGCCATCCTCCACACTGGTAGACAAGGCCGGTGAGGTCGAGAAATGTGAGGAAGTTGAGCGGAGGTGTTTGACCGAGCTGCAGAACAAAGGTCTCGAACCTTTATCCTGGCCGTGCATCAATGGGCCCAGTGCAAGTGACTCGAGCTGATGCATGACTGCCGCATGGGCGCAGACCTGTGCCATCCTGAGCCATCGAGGCTGGACCTGTTCATCACGCTTCTGCGCATGCCTGATCTTTCCAGCTGCGCAGTTCAGTATGTGGCAGCATGCTCGCTAAGACCATCTGCCCCTGGCATGGTCACCGTGTCCAGGATAGGAGAGAATAGAAGGGTGTGACTGGTAGTATCGTTAGAGGAGCCATGTCTGGAGGTGGATTTTCTATTAGGAGCTCCAGAGAGCACAGAAAGTGACACATCACTGCACATCGACTGCCGGTGAATACGAATCGTCAGGGACGTTCTTTAGGAGCAAGCCAATGAATTGAGAAGTATTTTGGTGGTACGTAGAGACGTAGGGGCTTTCAAGATTGTGTAAGGCAGTGGTCAGAAACCTGGAGTGGCCCAGAATTGGTGACAAATTTTTGGAACATCTTTGAAGATGTTTTCGGCCGCTAAGCTTCGGCAGGTGACTCAAGCTACGTCACGCTCGTCGCCTTACTCGTATGATCTCATTCGTTACTCTGCTGCTTGAAGGGCCAAACGGTGCTGTCATTCTTCTAGTCTGTTTGGAGAAAGCTAAGCTAGGTTCTCTGATACTTGTGTGTTTCAGTGCATCTTGTTTTCAACGCAAGCGCTCAAGCGTGAACATGTCGACATGGCTGCAGCGCGAAGAGATGGTTCCAGGTCTTTGGGTGCATCTGGCTGGACAGGTCTTCTGCAGGAAAGGAAGGACGGGACTTGTTCAGGTGGCCAGTTGGACAAGTTGGATGATACTCATGCGCAGTCTTCAGGAGAATGCCAAGTGGTTTGAGGAGCAATTGGCAACAGCATGCCAGAAGCTGGGCTCCTGTCTCAGGCTCTTAGGCAACTTGTGGTTGACTTTGTGAAGAAAGCATCCTTATGTTCCTGACGCTGATGGTTATGAGGCCTTCGAGTGCTGAAGGCAAGGCTCACTCATTTGATGGTCGCAAGTCAGACGAGTTCAGGGGGTAGGCTGCGCAGGTTCCCGCAAACCGGATATCTTTCTGCATCGACATCACCCCTCTTGGAAGGCGTGTGGTTTGGGGAAATGGCTGCAGCATCTGTATCTGCAGTGGCTTTACTTGCAAAGGCTCAAAGTCAAGCCTTGATATGCTGAATGATCAGATTGGCCAAAACTAGAAGGTGCTGACTAGCAGCTCATGGAATCAGTTCTTAGACATTCCTAAACGGGCTACGGCGGCAACCACATCAACTCCTCGAGTCTTTTGCTCTCAAGTAAATCATGCAAGAGGATCCACGAGGGTTGCGTTGGTGCCAGGGTACCTCTAGAATCCAGCAGCCATGCAGCCCGGCCCATGACGCAGATGACATGCCCCGTCTTTTGGCTGCACGTTTTTCTACATTCGTTCTGCAGCGCTCTTGGGCACCAGACAGTCAGGCGGCCAGTGCCGCCTGGAAGAAAGGATCGCTTCCAGGATGGCTGGCGGGAAACTTTGCAGGGGATGGCAAGGGTCCATGCCAACGTATTCCGCCCACAAAGCTGCAAATCACAGGACCGTGTGGCATGGCTTCGCATGGCTTCAAGTCAGCGTCTTGCAATGTCTTGCATTGGACTCTACGTACCTTGTAAACCCATAGATGTTAAAGCGGTTCAGAGCAGATCACTGATGCTTCCAAGGTTGCGTTCTGCGCGAATGTGGCAGGCCGTACCCTGTAGCACCAGAAGGATGCGATAAGTTTGGGCACAATTGGCAGGATCCGCTTCCACAACCGCAGCGCTACAGGACCTTGAGCATACCTCGCGCATTCCCCAGACTCCCTCGATTTTTTTTTCTGATTTTTGGTGTCCACGTAGTCGAAGAGCTACACGTCATTGTACCTCCCATGTCTGGGGCCACGAAGTGCTCCGCTGCTTGTCTAGAGCTTGTTTGATGTGTGGGGTCAGTGTTCTAGGCCAGCAGCTTGCGGCTGTGGGTCCTTGGATATGCACTGGCAGCAGCTGCGAGAAGCGACGTGGAAGGCGCGTTGCCGAAAGCTCATAATATGAGCTTGTATTATGAGGACAACGGAATTATGTCGTCGTTCCTTCGGTGACCTTAAGGCTTTCACACCTGACTTTGCCCGCAGGGTGCCGCGATCTCAGAGCAGGCTTGTGGTGACACCTTAAAGACTTGCATTCGGTACCATGCGCGAAGGTTCCCTCTGCTACTGCTGCTTGAAGTTGGCCTTCTAAACTAGGTCATGCAAGTCCCGAAGAGGTGCTTGCCACCCCCGACTCCCCCAGAAGCAAACTGCATTCCGCAAAAATTTCTCATGCCCCGCAGGTGGAATTCTCTGATCTCTGTAAACGCGCCGCAGTGATGCAAAAAAGCAAAAAAGGGAGAGTAACTACTGTCATCTCCGAGTCAGCTCCCGGCCACGACCCTTACCGGACATGGGAGCTGTCATGTTTGATGAACCGAGGCTGAACTTCTCGGATCCGCTCTTTTTCTGGCTGCTCGCCCCAACAGTCGCCCAAACAGTCGCCGCAGCAAGTCTGGACAGCCGATCAAGCACACGATAGGATTCGCCACTTCCCGTGTCCTGACCTACCAGCAGCAAGTCCACGCGGAGCTGCGTCTTTGTCAGATTGTGGCCCAGCCGCGATCAACGCATCCGGCACGCCTAGTGAGGGGTCCTTGCACGATTCTTTTGGGTGGCAGGTGCTCCCGGAGTGATTCTGCTTCACGTCCTCTGTGTGCATTCCTGAGCTCTGCCAAAGAATCGAGTGTGCAAATGTAGTGCGTAGCTTTGGGCTTTTGCAGCTCCTTGATGAAGATCTGAAGATCAGCCTGCTGAGCAAGTTGATCAGCTCAGGCTCAGCGCAAGCTACTTCAGCTGCTGGCAACTCAAGACGAACCCTTCAAAAGCACGGCCCCTCTGTAGGATGCCGGTAGAGTCAGCACGCTGAGGCAGTTTGACGATGCCCAGGAGCAACTGGTCGAGGCTTTGATGGCCCTGCCCTTTGCTGAGGAATGCCCGCCACCGAGTGCACTCTGAGACTGGACTCGGCCAAGAGGCATCTGTAGACACGTGCACGAAAACTTCATGCACAGCCAGCAGTGCTTGTGGCTCACAGGAGAGTTGAGGACAATCCTGAATCAGCACTTATCCATCAGTGTAGCCAACAACCTTAAACTGTACAAACCGCACGGCGCAGGCACACGGCAAGCCTTAGCCAGATCAGCTCTTGGCTGGCATCACTAGTTGTTGCGATCCGCCGTGCTATGAGCTTCAAGCTTTGTGAGAGGGGCTGTGGTCATCTCGTTGCCGAAGGCAAGAGCAAAAAAGGTTATGCCTTCAAGACTTGCTGTCGTGCGTGCGCAACAGGCAAAGGGCACGACGACACTTGCTTGGGTCCAGCAGAGGTTCCCGAGGATGAAGGCTCATCACACCCTCGAACAAAGAATGTCTTGGATGCAAATCCGGTGTTTGAATTGAGCCCTGAGCTCTTCTTAGTTGAAGATAGTCCGCCATCGTGTTTGCCACCAGTCGCTGCGTTGAAAAATACCAATAGAGACGTCGGTCCAGTTCAGTGGGGTATGACGTACTCCCAGTTTGTGGAGTTCGTTGAAGCATGCGAGATGACGAAATGTTGGAAAGACGCGGAGAGGAAGAAGGACTTTGTGAACTTGTATGACTTGATTAACCTGCTTGTACAGTGGACCCGCCAGACCGGTGCAGGCATTGCGTTGAGGATGAACCCGGAAAGGCCGGTGGATGCTGCGCTGATGGTTTCGCATTGCTGGGGAGAGGCGATGAACGAATGCAGCGAAGCGCTTGCAGATTTCAAGTCCCGACTAAATATCGAGCCCACTTGCGGCCTCTGGTTTTGTGCTTTCTCGCAGTATCAAGCCGGCGATGAGCCGGATGATGTTGGACCCACAGTGGCAGAGCAGCTGAGAAGGGATCCATTCGGAACGGTTGTGCGGGCGGTGTCCAATCGCCATGGTATGGTCGTGGTTCACACCTCGAAGCAGGAGATATACTCCAGGTCGGGGGCTGTTCTGAACACAAGTGTCAGTTGTGGCCTTCGGGGAAACTGTGCCCATCGTTTCTCAAGATAGCTTCTGCCATTGCCTGTCCGAAACTCCATGAGCTGGACTCAAGATTGATTTTGCATTAGCACTTGTTGCCCATTCTGGCCTCAGAAACGCACTTTACACCTTGTTTTCAAGGTAAATCTAACTGTCCAATCGTGTGTTTTTCTTCTGCGCTGCATGTGCGCCCCTGCCCAAGAACCAATTGCACATCGCAGGTATCAGGTTTCAGCTTAGACTTAAATGTAGAAGCGCTGTCTGAAGCAGTGAGGCAGTTTCGCAGGCAGTGTTCTGCAGTGCTTCCTCAGCTGCCCTGGTCCAGGTTGTGGTGTGTTTATGAGATCAGCGAGGCGATCTCTGCGCACACAGCTGTGAACATTGCATACTCCATGGAGTATGTGTCGAAGCATGCGGCAAACCTGGACAACATGCTTCGAGCAAGGACTCGGGACGCGCGTTGTGCCAAAGATAGTGATGAAAGCTATATTCGAGACAAAGTTGAGAAGACCGGTGGTTGGAATGTGCTGGATCGGAAGATTTTTTCCTTCCGGTTGGAAGCGCTGAGATCCCTGGTAAAGAAGCATCGGGGCACGCTCGTCAACACTCTCCAAAACGAGCTGGAGAAGGTGGAGACGGTCGAGATCCAGGAGTGCTTGGCTCCCAGGGACGAGCGCGTCGCTTCCGTGGTCGTGAAACATCCGGATCACTTCAAAGTCGAAGCGCAGGTTGAGAAGCAGAGTGCATCCCAGAGCTCGGACGGGGGCTTCCTCCGCAAGTACTGCTCCTTCTTCACGGATCTTCTTACCCCGCCCAAGGACCAAGTGCGGCCAATCCACATCCCGCCTCCTGAGCCTTGCCTTGGCCCAGAACTTTCCCAGTTCAAGCATCCCATGTTTTTTTTTTGGATGTGTATTTTTTGTCAGCTATTCGTGCGCAAGGTGTTGCTGTAGAATCTGTAGAACATGGTGGGTTAGGGGGTAGCATGTGGCATGTGGCATGTCGCATCTTGCAAGCAGATCAGGAAGTACCTGAGGAGCCCGAGGAGGTAGATGCCAGCGACGATGAGAACGATATGCTCAGGGAACGCCTTGAACTGCTGAAAAAGCTGCACCAGGACTTGGACGAGTAGATCCAGGCCAGTCTCACCGTTAGGAATCCCGCGAAGCGGGCTTCCCGGCAGCTTCTTTCGCTTCATTTTTTTGCAATTCTGGGCGCCCGCAACAGCATGAAACATGAAACCATCTTGAGAGACTTGCTCCCAGCTCTACAAGCCGTTGCGCACGCACTCCTGCAGGAACGCACTGCTCTTTTTGTTTTCTCTTTATCTGTGTTTTTCTTTTTCTCTTTCTTTTCTTTTCCTTGTTTCATGTCATCTTCTTTGCTTTGAATATGAGATCTTTTTATATTATATGTAGTATGTGTATATATATATATATGCATTGTATTATATCATGTATCAAGATTTACAATGTATAGAAGATTACAGTCCTTATCCTGAAGTTGTACCGTCTCCGTACGGCACGAACGTGCTCGATATTTGCTGTCCGTATTCCCATTCTGCCTGCAGCTTCTAGCCTCGATGACCATGCTCGCACAGGTAGAGCTTCCTGAGACCCCCAAACCCTAAACCCCAAACCATGAGCCCTAAACCATGAATGAAACAGCCCTGTGCAGCTTGCGCTGCAACACCACACAAGGATTTGTGCCCACAGGATTTGTGCCCACAGCTTGATGAGACAAGGGACTTTTGCTGCACTACAAGCTCACACTACACAGGTCAGAGTCTCCACACAGATTCCATCTCAGCTTCCAGTAGAGCTCCACGCAATGGCGGCGTCGAGCTCGGACGACATACTACCTGGGGAAGTGCCCGAGGAGGCCTTGCAAGCGGCGGCTGCGGAGGTGAAAGCCTTCACGCCATCCTGCACGGACCCACAGTCTGGAGGGCAGCGAGGGGAGACGTGTGGAGCCGGGGAGCTTCGCGAAACGGCAGATGCTGGGGAGTGCAGTGCTGCGGGCATGCCAGAAACCTCAGAAACCAAGAATCAGGAACCCGTGGCATCAGTCACGGGGGCTGATGCTCCGCCAGTGGGGCAAGGCTTCTGCAGCTTCTGCACTTCTGCTTTTGCCTGCGTGAAGCGGGCCAAGAAGCGGTACCATCCGCATGCCACAGCTGCAGGCATGACGCTCGTGTACACCTTCTTTTCTCTCAGCTTCATCTTTACCATTACAAACATCGAGCCCTACAGCTTCCAGCCGTGCAACGACCCTTCTGCGGCCGGCTGCCTGTATATGAAGTTTTTTTCTGCAGGCAATGTTACAACAACAGCCGGATACTTTGCGAGTGTTTTGAACGGCCAGGAGGACATTGTGACGGGCTTCGGGTGGCAGTTCTCAAACAGGGAAGAAGTTGAGTCTCAGGTATTTGAAGGGGTCTGGGGCTCCTGGAAGAAGGACACAGTAATTCTGCGAAGCGTGCTCTCGAACTTCTTTGCTGAAGCAAGTACTGTCTCGGTGCATCAGCCACCTGCGCGTTGCCTGAATATGACAGCTGATGAGATGCGCGAGTACTGCACCAGAATCGAGGTGAAGGAGGGAACCCAGAATCACCTCCGTGGTCCTGGCCGAGATGTTTTCGTTTTCTTCACTGCCCTGTGGTGCATTTCCAGTATTGCTCATGACTTTCTAGTTCTTGAGAAGAGGAGGCAGCCAGCTGCATTCTTATCCATTGTCGCAATAGCAACCCAACTGACAGCTGCTTCAACAGCTGCATACTGGGCTCTTGGTAGCACATCTGTGTTTATTTCCCCCCACCAAAGTGAAGATTGTGCGTGCTTTTACCAAATGCCCGCCGTCCAAGCCCTGCTCACGCTGGTCAGCCCCATGCTGCTGCTGAAGGGCAGTTTCGAAGAGGCGCGCCATTGCCTGCGTGGGTTTGTGTACGGGGACTTCCTGCACTTCCAGCGTTACCGGATCCCACACCATGTGGAGCAATCAAGCAGCTCGTGGCTGTCTGGCCACCTGATGGTGTGGAGAGATGCCGTTGCGCCACAAGACCGCATGCATCCGCATGTGTATGCCAAGATTTGTCTTGCATGGTGCCCGATTCTCATTGTTGCGGAAGGTGCTATCTTGTTGCTCATCGCTCCGCTGGCTCCGAGCAGCATCGTGAGAGCAGAGGAGGTCGTCGTCAAGTTCTTGAGTGCTGCTGACAGCCAGATGGAGCACGTGCTGTACACCATCCTGGACTGGATCCTCTTTTTCACATCTTGGACCAGCCTTCTTCCCGCTTTTTGTAGCGCCGGGTGGGCCTTCGGGTGGCGCTTTCGTTGGCGGCCTTTGGGTGCGGTCACGGATGCGGTCTGGCAGATTCGGATGGCCTTGGTCTTCTTCCTGGCAGCAGGGTTGCGTCTGTCGGGTTTGCTTGTTTTTTGGTCCAGTCCCCGGTGGCCTGCCCCACCGCGAATCCACTGTGTTGAGGGCTGAGCTGCGGGCAGTTGGACAATATACTGGGGCAGTGTTTTTGGCTTTTGTTGGCCTCTTCTGGTATACCCTGGCCGAGTTTCATGCCGTCCTAGCCTTAGGAGGATCTCAAAAAAAGACTCGGGGCCTCTCCCGAGCAGTTCCTGAAGCTTTGGAAGCGCACCCCGACGTGGTGCACTCCTTTCCAGAGCTGCAGGAGCTGCTGGACATTGCCCAAGAGCACCTGGCCTCAAGTGGCTCTCGGTTTCAGGCTTCAGGGTGGGGCTCAGCAAGCATCTTACTCTTGACGCCTTGATGGTGAGCTAGGTCTAATCCCCAACTCTAAGCCCGAAACCCTCCAGACAAACAAACATATGCAGAATGTATGTGGCGCACTTAGAACATACAGGTTCGTTGGGCTCGCAAGTGACATTCCAAGTTCCGAACCCCTAAACCCTAAACCCTGGGTCTAGTCTAAAGTGACGATGTACAAACGTATGCAGTAGATGTCTCACTGAACGAGAACGATGCTGATGTAGTGGTTGGGCCGTAAGGGGGTGGGGGATGGTCTTATTGGCGCCTTCTTTGTGGTTCCTCCTTGTGGCCCATACGACTGCTTGGCATGGGCATCTCGCCTCGTTTTTCCTACACAGACCAACGGACCTTGCCTGCCTTGTGCGAGAGTGAGCGACTAAACCCTAACCCCCCACGAGCCTCCTTAAAAAAGGCACCCGCGGGGTCCGAACAAGGCCCCCAGAAATCACCTAAACCCTTAAACCCTTAAACCCTTAAACCCTTGAACCCTTGAACCCTTGAACCCTTGAACCCTTGAACCCTTGAACCCTTGAACCCTTGAACCCTTGAACCCTTGAACCCTTATACCCTTATACCCTTATACCCTTATTTGCTGTGCCTGTATAGGGTTTATGGTTTAGGGGGTTTAGGGTTTAGGGTGTAGAGACTGGGGTTTAGGGTTTAGGGTTTAGGGTTTAGGGTTTAGGGGATGTTTAAGGGGTATGCGGCTGATGTTACCCTACACCCTAAACCCTAAACCTGAAAGTACATGAGGTTGGAGAACCGCTTGGCGAAGGTCAAGAAGGTGGATGAGCAAGGGGACGAGGCGAAACTTACGGGCTCCTAGTGTTTAGGGTTTAGGGTTTAGGGGGGAATTCGGTATCTTATATCATCGCTTCACAGGTTAGAAACAAAGATATCTGCTGCCCACACTTCCCAAGCTCCCTACCAAGAACTAGAAAGAGCAGGTGGATGAGCAAGGGGACAAGGAGAAAGAACAGGAGGACGACGAGGAGAAGCAGAAAACAGACGACATCGAGAAGGAACGCGACGCGAAGGTGAAAGAGATCATGAAAGAGTGGGAAGCACATGTGGAGCGCATTTGGTTCTTCAAACGGTCGGAATGAGTTTTCCCGAAGGGAAGCCAAACATTTTGGAGCCTTCACCATGTGTGCAGGGGTCGGTTCAGCTGATGTACAGGCGCTTTGCTTGGAACACCACCCCAAAGGGAGGAGGTGCAGTTTCACTTGCCGCCCAGTGACTGCCACGATGATGGACTTAAAACCTCTTGATTGACTTGCTGCTGCAGCTGTAGTTCAAGTTGCATCCAAAGCCTTTTTTGCTTGGAACCGAGTTGAGATGCAGCCATCAATCCACCATGCATCGGTAACACGCCAAAATTACCCGGAGCCCTACAAGCCTTGAAGCCCCGTGAGCCCAATGAACTCCCCCTTCCCCCCCAGGTCTGCAGCCAGAGGCGGAGCCGAGGTGGCCCATCTCCACCTTCGATGCGACTCGGTGTGGTTGAAGTCTTCTTCTGACCTTTCCAGTGCCTTTCTATTGCAAACCCGCAGCGAGGTGCAAACGAACTACGTGCGCTTCTATCGTGCTGTTTCCTACTACATTCGCTCTGCCCGGGGGCCCTCACTGGGGTCGATGCCGAAGTCTTCCATGTCGAGCTTTTGGTGCTGCATGTTCCGAGGCCGAGTTGCTGGATGATCTTCTCTGGCAACCAACCAGGCCTGTATACAAAACCTGAATTCCTTCTCTGCTGCCAGCGGTTCCGGGCAGGACCTGCATGAACCACCAATCATGCTCCGACATACCAGGTCATGTCAGCGCCTCAGAATAGGCTGCTACCGTGCTGTACCATGCTGAGCAACAGAGCATGATTCGCGAAAGCTTCTGTGCAGGTGTGCAATAAGCGATTGAGCCGCTGCGTCCCTGTAAAAGATGGCTGTCCTGCCGATGCCGAGGCACGCTTTGGGAGGGCTTTTTCTTTCCTTGATCTCACGGTCTGAGATCCGATATGGAGAATCTAGGCAGTTCGTCTTGGTGGCCTTGAGAGGTGTAGCCCAGGTGAGGAGCCGCCTGAATTTCAGGATGCGCCACGTTGTTGTTCTGTGAGGGTTTCTTGGCGTCGTTTGGCCGGGGTTCCTGTCACCGTTTGGCCGCAAATACCCATGCACTTGCAACTCGATTAATTCGCATTGTGCTTAAAGTCTTGAAGATGCTGAAAGCCCAAGTCGGAAGGAGACGAGAGGGATCAGTGAGCCCGAACACCTGGGACCTAAGAAATCGGATAGCATAGCTGCTGCAGGAAGTCTGCAGAGCCTAACTTGTTGATTGATTCAGTGCTGCTTCATATTCAATCAAGTGGGACGTTCCTAATTTGTGTTTTTGGAGGTGTGTCCTCCTGGCCACTGGTGTACATCCATCGCTTCCCCTGGTCAAGACGGTTGCGCATTGGAGCTCTCACCCATTTGCATCCGAAATGGCGAGCTCCAGGCCAGGTGTTGCAGTGGGCTCCCGATAGGAACACAGCTCAAGCACTGCTTTGCGCGCTTCCTGAGCTGAATCATTGCCGTCCATTGCAGGTGCGTGAGTAGCTTGTCTCAGAGCGCTTTGTAAAATTAGTGGATCGCGAGTGATGGTGAGCAGCGTTGGCATTCGCGGCCCCGTGGCACGAGAGGCATTCCACCCGAACATTGATTGTCTCCAGCGTGTGGACTACCCCGGCATGATCAAGGCAGGTCGCTGAACAGGGATCCGAAGGGCGAGCCTTTGTCTTATCTTCGCAGTCTGAGCAATGATGATTATACTAATCATAATAATAATGATGTCAATAAGAATAAGAATAAGAATAATAGTCATAATGATAAGTCATTGAAAGGCTTGTTCAGAGATGGGCACAACATTGTACCCATTAAGCTGGTCGTCGGCACCGCCGGCATCTTTGGAGCGCTTGGAAGGCAGAAGGGTCAGAGTGACGCTAACAATTTCTGAGCTGCAGAAGCACTGCGCGACTGTTCCGGTGGCAGGAGAGAGTGAGACGGAGGCAGAGGCCATGATTCTGCCGGTGACCCTTCGACTCAGGAGCCTCTGCGCGCTTCTTGTGGTCCACTTTTTGGACTGTTACACCATCCACCAAGAAATTTGAGAGATTCTCAGCCAGGGCTGGCTTGCTTGCAGCTAGCATCGTGGAGCCACGTCTCCTCGTTAGCCCGTAGAACCAGATTCCTACGGCAAGAGCTGCTGTCGTGATGCTTCCCCTCGCTGTTCTTCCATTGTTCCCATTAGCTTCTGGGCCTCGGGCACGGAAGAATGTAGATGCATCCGACATAAGATTTGTAAACATCGTATGCGCGTGGCCTTACTGCGTGTCTGCACTTGTCTGTACTCTCCTGGCAATGCAGGAAAGGATGAGAAAGCATCGTCGTAGAGTCTTATCATTGATAGATCACCCAAGGTTTCGGCAAGGTCAAGCCAAAGCCCCCACTGCAAACCTGATGGCAACAAGAACCCGAGCCTGACCTAATCCCTAACTTAACAAACAGGTTCACGGAGGGCATGACGCATCTGGCAGGTTGGGTTTCCAACTTGAAGCTTAAGTTGCTTGTCATTTCAAACCCCTGCAGCTTGCCATTGTACGGCCGCATTCCATCCTGAATATGCATATGGGTGAACCTTTGTTGTGGAAGGGGGTCGATACGCATCAAGTTGACAAGCCATCCACTCAAAATCTTAGTTGCTTGCAGAATCCAAATCTTGCATAGCTTTTTGAGGTCTTTGGCAACATTACACACCGCATTTTGCGTTACTGGCTGGTGCGCCTCTGCCAAACGAAGCATCGGCCTTTCTACTTGCAAACTCTGCTGCACAAAACAGACCTTCCTTCATGCTTTTATGGACGGATGACTTGGAGTGCGATGGCTGTAGGAGTCCCTGGCACATGCTCCACTCTCTGGTGCCGGCTTTTGGGCAATCCCACATGGACCAGCGCTACGGCCTGCTGCAGCGGGCAGGCCTCCCACTCAAGGCTTGGAGACAATGAGTTCTGATTCTTTATGCTCAAAGTTTCTTCAGGGGATTTTGACCTGCTTCTCGTGGACCAAGACTTGGACAAGGTTCGTCCATTTTTTTTTCAATTCCCCGGGTCACCTGCAGAGCCATAGTGGCGCAGGTGCGCAAGCACCTTGCGCCGTACTTACTCAACTTGCAGTGACAGTGCTCTTCGAAACTGTGGCAAGTTTTGGTTTCAGGGCTTCAGAAAAAAGTTGGTCGACACTCTTTGAATCACAGACTGGTTTTATTAGCTGTCTAAGCACGCAAAGCACGCCTCGGGGCCCTTGCGTTGACTGGAGAGCTCCAGCTGATGCTCTCAAGGTGGGGATTGTGCTCAGGAATGCAGTCCTTTTAGGTACTTGTTCAAAAACACTTGCCAGGATTGAACGACCGGACAGTCACAATACCAAAATCAGCGACATAAGCATGTGATGATGGCGAAACGTCGAACCCGTGCTTCCTGGGTGAGGACAGGCACATTTGGGAGAAGGTGCTGGGTGATGGAGCCGTGGCCTTGCAATCACGGACTGATTGCTCTACCATCGAATTCCTACGATCAGCCGAGGTTTCCGACACCACCATGGGCGGGCTGGATTTTTTGTTGCCGTGGCCTGCTGGCACGATGCCTTGTCGTAAGTGCTGACTGCTGGAAGCTTCATCGCACCGCCAAGCTGAGGCTCATCAGCAAGAGGCCCTACAAGTTGCTCAAGGAAGTGGCAGGCAGGATTGCAATAGACTGCATGGATCATCATGGATCTGCCGCGCTGATGGGGTGGTTGCAGCGTGCTCCACAGGCAGCTGCTATCGGCGAGTTGTTTGGGGCCATGAACTGATGCTTTATTCTGGCGGTGGATGGACGAATCAGACGCATATGCTCCCCTTCAGCCTATGGTGTTGCTGCTCGTATTGTGCGCCATGTTGTGAGTTCAGACTTCGACGGCTAAGGAAGACGTTCGTCGGTGCCGCGCGAGAGTTTGTTCAATCGCCCAAGGCGAGCAAGTGCTTCGAAGACTCTTCGCTCGCACGTAGCGCAGACGCCACATGGGCACTGGGAGGACTCCATCGATGCTCCTCGACTTCTCCTGATTGAGAGGAGAAGCGGCAGCGCCTGGGGGCGATGGCGGGCGCCTTTCACTGCCAGCGGAGGAGCACTGACAGTGCTTTTGCCAGTCATGGGCTTCTGTCCAGGATTGACAATTTTGACAGCGTGCAGAAGGCTGCCCAGTCATGGGCTTCAGAGCACCCGGTGTGCACCTCGGACTGTTCTCATAAGCTGCCGGATGGGTTGCAGCTGGTGATATGTCGGTGGACGAGGATCTCGTCAGCAGCCTGCACGTTGCCGATCTTGCAGAGCTATCCTGGCCAGACCAACTGCGCTTAGCAGCGCGAATGAGGTGGGTAAGCCCAATAGACCTGAAGATACTGCGCTGTGTTTATCGCGCACGTGATGGATCGCGTTGGCAAGCTGGTGCAGGTTAATGTTTGGAGCCCATGGAGATGGTCTCAGCTGGTCGGTCTTCATGGGTGAGGGGTCAGTCAGGACCTCGGAGCTAAAAAAATCATTCCCTTGCTGCGGCAGGCGCTTGACCGAAAGTGAAGAAACAGCAGGGTGCGCTTGATATGCCTCCAACGTGCACAGGCTTTGATGGAAGCGGTGCCGGCTCGGGACGCAGGTTTTCAGGCTGGACTGGCTCTTAACCCTAAACCCGAAACCCTGAACCTAAACCCTTAGACGCAGTAGCGATGCAGTAGCGTTGTGCTGCAGCATCCCGCGAGGCTTGTGCCCGAAGCCTTAGCCTGCCGAGACTATTCAGCTATTTTCACGTGTCAAGTGTCTGTCTGGCCAAGGTTGAGGGTCAAGACAAGAACCCCTATGGGATCTTTGGCGGGATCGCACGTCTGGCAAGGGTGACACATTTTTGCCCGAGTCCAAGTACTGTGGCTTTGCCGATGTTTGACACGAGTGTGGCATGATGCAGCTTCTGAAGCGCAGGCTTTCTCACAGATGCTTCCCAGACACAGGCGCATCATTGCAGTTTGAACCTTCCAGGGAACCGAGCTTGGTGCGCAGGTTCGATTCTCCCTTTGTTCCGTGCATGTCTGCCCTACAATGCAGGCAGCCGGTTTGCGGTCAGACGAGGTGCGCGTAGCCCTAGCTTGGCTTCAACATGGGTGGAGCATAACCGCTTGAAGGACTTGTTTCAATGGGGCTGGAGACAGCTCTTGCCCAAGCTGAAGCTCGACAAGTCATGTCCATCACATCAAGAAGTTGCCACTGAGGCTCAACTTGCATATCAATCTCGACAAGTTTCGTGCGCACCACATGTAAAGCCCGTGCAGCTATGGCATTTTGATGCGAGTTCGATTTGGCTTCCGTGAGCGGCTCAGGTGAGTACCTGTCAATTGCAGCTGCCTCCGTTGCGAACTCGTCAGCAAAAGGTACCGATGTAGGCACAACTCCTGAAAGATCTCTGTAGGGTTGCAGCTGCGTTATGCTCAGCCTGTGTGCTGTAAACAGCTTGCACGACCTGTGTGTGCCATGATGGATGCCATGGCGAGGTTTGTTTCGGCAAGTCTTGGCACATGAACATGTGGTTCTCCTACTGCGTCCGCTCTTGAATTCTTTCGGCTTTGGTCAGCACCACAAGCCAGCAGACCGATCACCGTCGCGAAGCGATGTGAGGGGAGGTTGGCATCTCCAGCACGAGCGCCACCGTGCAGGAAGTTCCTGGAAGTTAAGCACTGGTATCTTGGATTATCTTGGCCACAGTTTGAGATCTTCTCCAGTTTCCTCTCCGGTTTGCAGCATCGTTGGGCTGATGGTCATTCCGAAACTTGACTCAGTCAGGAAGTCGATTCATGGCCAAAGCCATAGTGAAGAAGTTCCTTTCAAAGAAGGAGGGCTCTGTGCTGCGTGCCACCAGACAGCAACGAGCACGTTGAGCCTTTCCCATCGTTGATCTTGAAGCATCTCGTTGCAGCAAAGTCCATGAGGCGTGGTTTCAACGCCTGGACCCAGACTGTGAACGCCAAGTCACTTGGAATCTGAAAAGTATCTCGTATCCTTGAACGCTGTCGAGAATGGGCCGGAATGCGCAGTAGGAACATGTAGGAGCAGAGTTGCTTGCTTTCTCCTGTTCCAGCCTGTGGACAGAAGGTCTCCCAGCAACAGTTCTTGTGCCTTGGCCTGCATTGCCCATCTCCGGCGCGAGTGAGGGTCATCATCCTGCTCAGCAGATCAGGCGCTACCTTCGAGAAGCAAAGTATCCGGAGGAGAGCGCTCGCGACCATGGGGGGCCCCCACAAGGAATGAGTCCGATGTCAGAGTCTGTTCAGGATCCGGTGGCGCTCTTCGAGGGTCTGGATGAAGATGGTGGAGGTGAGCTGTCCCTTCAGGCAGTCTGGGGCGGTTGTGTCGGTGTTGTGTCCGCCCCTGTCGATGCTGTTTTGTTGGTTTCACGTACTAAACAGGACCTCGACGAAGAGGATGGCAACCTGTATTGGAATTTTCAGGAATTCTGCGTGCTGAAGTTTCGCAAAGGAGTTGAGGACCGGCCCAGTCACCTAAGTTGTCACCTCACGTGCAGAAAATCGTCAAGCGTGCATGGCACAGTTCAGAAGGATTTCATGCGGAACATGGGCAGCTGCCATGCCTGGGAGCAAGCAGATGATGTGAAAGTTTCTTTTTCGCCCGGGGCCAAGCCGGAAGATGGATATGACAGAATATGGGGGTTTAGGGTTTAGGATTTAGGGTTTCAACATTTTTCAACACAGATGTGCGCGTGGTTCGAAGCCTCTCCATGGACAAGCGAGGCAGTTTCGTCAAACGCTGCAGTCTCTGGGCTGGGAGGAGGGTCATGAAGATCGTCTCTTTGATGCCCTCAGCCTCTCGCCTCGGAAAATTCTTCATGCGAAGTCTGTAGTCCTTCAGTCTGTGAGACGTGAGGTGGCGATCAGCAATTTCTCGTTAAAGCGGACATGTGCCTGGGACAAGACTTCGCGAAAGCAACATGACTCAACTGCACAAGTCTCTGGCCAGGAAATGGCTCGACATGGAGTGCCGAAGAGTTGCTCGAAAGGCTGGATTGATGGGTTTGGGAGTAAGGTGCTTTGAAGCGCTACATGTCTCTGGGCACGGCTAGGAAAAAGCTCGCTGGCTGGCACTCCAGGCCATTGGAATCATGGCACAGGTTCCCCAAGATTCGGCTTGCACCTCTGTTTTCAGGATCAGCGGCTGAGGGAGAGGCGGATGAAACAACGTGATCCAAGTGAGACCCTGAATGAATTCAAGCGCCTTGCCTCAACAGAAATGATTCATGCCTGGGTAGTCTTGAGGCACCATATGGTCTGTCGTGGCAGGACTATGCTGAAGCGGAAGTACGGTTCACTCATCCGTGCCTGGCGCAGAGCTCTTTGCCAGAGCGCCTTCCTTGGCAGCCTTGAGATGCTGTATGCAGAGTTCAGAGTGCTGGCATGTCTGCCAGCTCAGGAGACACCATGACGCTGCAGAGATCTCAGTTCTTGAAGGCATGTTCAGAGATGGGTTGGAGAAAGGACACTGCATGACACTGTTCAGCGGCGGGGCTTGATTAAGTTGATCTTATGGGCTGCTGAAGATCTCGGTGAGGACGTGCGGGGAATGTGGCAGAAGATGGACAAGGATAGCAATGGCTGCGTGACGCTGGAGGAGTTTGATTATGACAGTGCCCAGGCGCGCAGGCGGACCATTCATTCCTAATTAAGAAGAATCGTTTTAAAGTGGGACTATGACTACTATGACGCTGATTGGTTGAGCTGCGGTTGGCTGCCGGATGAAGTTGATGAGATACGTGGGCGGTGTGACGCGGCACTGCTCTGGCCGCTGGGTGCTGTCCTGTCGCTTTCGGGCCGAAATCAGAATGACGAGCCAAGCAGCGATTACCTTCAGGAATGGTGCGGTCCGACGGATGTCCGGTTCTCTGCTGGCTTACCCTGTCGTCTCCCTCTTCCTTTCGCTGGCGCTCCGCCTCATAACTTAGCTGGACTTGCGAGGTCTTAGAATTTTTCGGAATGTGCTGAGACGGTGCACGATTACTTCCTTCAATGGATTTCGGGTTAAGTAGCCGTTTTTTTCACCGTTTCAACTGTAGTCTGTGTACACGACGCAGTTGCTGTGGCCATTCAGCTGATGGCAAGCCCTGGTGCTGCGAGCGCACTGCTAGACACCCGGGACACTACAAACCCAAGATCCCCAAAAACATCGGGTCACATAGCCGCTGTATCAGACACAATAGAGTGCGTGGCAACACCTTGCGCGGAAACACGGTCCGGAAGTTGGCATGTCTGCTGATTCTGCTTGTCGTAAGACACAAGCATGTGCCTTTTGCGCACTGACAATTGTAAGCGTCGTTTTTTGATGATCTGGGCTTTTCGAAATGGTCGAGCTGAGCTGTGGCAGTGGGAACCACATTAAGTACATTCCAGAGCCAGGAACGATGTTAGGAGCATTGTGGAGAATTGAGTGCTGCCATGCTCCTGTAATGTATCTTGCCACTGGTTCCTCCGTTTTGGTCACTGTCTTCTCACATTTCCTCGAAAGCCGTTAGCTTGCGTGCTGTGCTGGTCGGTTGAGAAGCTTCTTTCCGTCTGTCCGGACTCCAAATCGGATGTCTTCAATGTGTTTCCTTGGACTTGGACGTTTTGGATTCCAGGAGGTTCAAGAGGCTTCTACACCAAATTCCATGTGCGTTGTTTGACCTTCCAAAACGGCAGGTCTTGGCGCACTTCAGCAAGTTCGTGATGGACAATTTCAAGAGTAGCGCTCTAAGCTTTCAGGTGCTGGCAAGTGGGCCAGACGCATATGTACGCATCGTACATGCGCATCGCTCTGAGTCTTGTGAGGTTATGAGGCGGCCTTTGTGGTTTTGGATGCCGATCGGAACAACTATGTGCCGTTTGCAGAGTTGCCGGGCACGATTGGCCAGGGTAGGTCGGGTTAGAATTTACAGGTGGACAACATGTGCTTGCAACGTAAAAGTCGGCCCGCAGATCTATCAGTAACAGTTAGCCAGGAACACCAGTTAACTTGCTTACGCCCGCCCCAAAGTTGCATTGCGGGCGGTTCTGGGCGGATTCCCTTATCCCGTTTTCATCCCGCTTCACTCCGGCGCTGTTCGGTTATATATATATATATATAGATATATAACTTTCACATAACATACACACCTACGTAATTCTGTTCTTCAAAATCTGTCTCATGAAAAGGGTGCGTGATCTGGGGAAGCCGCTCCAGGACAGAGGTCTTCATTTCTTAGTGCTCCACAATGATGTACTCATTAGATGCCGGTGACCTGTGCTAAGTGAGTCCCATTGTGGCTAGTTAGTGGGTCCATCGTTGAGGGCGCGAGTCTGAAACCATGTTGCATGATCGAAAGTTGCTAATTCTGCTTTGCGCCACGTACATGCGCGTGGGGACACTGTATGGAATGAACATGCCTTTCACTGCAAATGCTTGCGCGCTGCTTCGGCGCCGACGCAAGCCACGGTAAGCCACAGGACATGTCCACACGGTCGGGCTGCAGATACGGAAAGCGAGCGCGGGTCGAGGAAAAAGATGCTGGAGAGTAGTTGGCCTGTAAACCCGAAACCCAGAACTCGCAAGTGAGCTTGGGGACGTATAGGCGTGCTGGAGGACGACGGGTTTAAAGTTAGTCAGGCAGCGTAGTGCGACACATCCCCACCCCTCGCAGGGCCGCTTTGCTCCAGTCATTGGCCTTTGCTGGTCAGATCTGGTCAGGTTCTCCGCCACGCTTGAGCGGCTGGGGTTCAAGCACTCGGCTGCTGAGCTCTTTGTGGCCCTGGACTCGCAAAACACGGGTCGATTGTACCAGGAGGCCAGGGATATGGCCGAGACGTGCCAAGACATGTGAGAGGTGTCAATGTTGACACTTTGTTTTCTGGCTGAGGACCTGCGATTCCTCGAGAAGTTATGGGCTGAGCCGGCTGAGCCCCTTGCTCCACGCGCGCACTCTACTCTCGCAGCTGACAGCACTCTGTTGCAGGTGGCGGCCTCGAGCCTTCCTTATCGCAGAGCCAAATGAGGAAGCCGCAGAACGGGTGCGAATCTCACTTCTCACTTCTGCCACCGATTCGTTCCCTTCCGTGAGAGACTGCGGCTGCGGCCAAGGTCAAAGCAAGGCGAGGACAGGGGAGAGGGAGCCAAGCTGAACCAAGCACTGCTCATCCCTGCTCTCTTTCTTTTACGCAGCTTCAGTCCTGAAGCACTCCCAAAAGGTTTATTTTGCGCGCTCGATTTTTTGTTTGGAGGCTCCTGAAGAGACACGTGACATTTCTACGTGCCTGGAAGACTGCTCTGGACAGAAGCAGCGCCGGCCTTTGGCTTCACCTTCATCTTCGCAAAGAATCTAGTATCCCAATTTAGTTGCGACCGTAAAAGTAGCAAAAGAATGCGTGGCACAGTGGTTGCGAGAGATCCAGGCAACAACAAGTGCAGCTGGGATGAGCCTGAAGCTTAGGTATGACTCTTAGTCTTGGTTTGGGATCCACGGCTGCACCTGCAAACTGTAGGTTTCAAAGTGCCTGCAAAGAGATGGGATGGAACGAGGACGTACCAGGCAGAGGATTGGGATATGAAAGCATATGCTGCCAAAGCTGTTCAACATGCAAGGAAACCAATGGTGACACGCCTGAACACCTGGGTATTTCCCAAAATAGGGGTACCCCTTATACCCCAAGTAGAATAGAATCCCCTTAAAGGGACCCCCACATGTCGTCCGCCAGGTGCATGGTGTGCCCTCGACAAGAGGAAAGCTGGCGGCTTGACAGCGCTTGAGATACACGGACTTTTTTCCAATTACAACGTTTCAGAGTGAGTTTTGTGCGTGGCGCTGCATGGTTAGTATGTTAGTTACTGTTCGCTAGTAGCCGCTAGTATCAGATATGTCTTTCGTTGTCTGGTAGTTGTGTTGTCAGCCTGGCTGCAGCTGAGGCAGCCTGACTCTCCAAGACATTGATCCCAGCGCGGGAGAAGCGCTCGTCTCCTTTCGTGATTGGGCTGTTGAACAGTTCGGAAGCGTGCCGTGCTCGGCGGGCGAGTGAATGCTGGGAGCAGGCAGCACGGAGTCCAGTAAAGGTCAAGACCTGCTTCATGGTGCTCGATGACGATGGGTCAAACGAAGTCACCTCCTTCGAGTTCAAGCAGATTCTCGGCCTTCAAAACGCTTCTGGTTGCACTGCACTGGGCGATATCCTGCTCCGGTCATGGAGGGCTCTGTTATGCTCTGTTCAGCTCAGGGCATGTCGTGCATATGGCTTCAGAGGGCCAGCCAAGTTGGCCTTCAAGGTGCAGGGCTGTGCAGGGCAGTGCAGGGTCTTGCGAAAGATGAAGGTATACAGGTTGGCTCGAAACACCTTTTCTCCAAGGCCCTGGACACAAACGGACGTGGCGCACTATGTACCGATGATGTTGCCTTCCTTGATGAGTGGGCTGGTAGGCGTGGCAATGAGGTCTGCTAAGGTTCTGCTGTAGCATACTGCAGCTGGCATGCCGAAGATGAGTGGTCTGGTCCAGGCCCGGGAAGACGGAGGAAGAGCCCGAGGAGTGAGACACCCAGCAGGGCAAACTCCAGCAGCTTAGCTTAGAGTCTTAGAGAAATTGCTCAGGCCCGAGGAGCCCGAGGAGCCCGAGGCATCGCCTCGAGAAGCATCCGGTCGCTTTCAGGCGATGGCATGCTATGGCACGCAATATAGCACATGCTCTTTCGGGAGATTGCGTTGCACCGTTTCGCAAAGGGTACACAGCAAATCATAGCCGTACATCGTTACGTGCCCTTCGATAGAAGGGTGGGGGGGGGCCTTGTCCTGTCTGCCGCCAAACGACAACCCCTCCCTTGTTCACTCCTCCGGCCAAACAGCACCCTTCTTTTTGCCTAGTAGTCGTGGTGATCCTCGTAGTGGAAGTAGTCGTTCTCGTCTTGCAAGCGCCGGGTAGAAATGCGGATCGCGCACTGGGGAATCACACTTTAGGCTGCCACTCTGAATCGACCAACAGTTCTTGTTTTCGATCTGTGGGGAGCGTCCTCATTCGGGAATCGCATTTTGGGCAGTCATGTTCTGTCTTTGAACGATTGTGGTTTTTCATTTTCGTTTGAAATATGAAGTGTCTCCTTGAGGATTTGCTGCCAACAACACGCACTCCAGATTGTGGTTAAAACTATCTCAACTTGTCTAAAGCATCAACGTACACCAGGCATCGTGCGAGTTTGAGGCTCTCACAGTAGTAATTGCTAGTAGTAAAGAGTTCTAGTAGAAGTAGTAGTGGCAGTAGCAGTAGCAGCAGCAGCAGCAGTAGCATTAGCAGTAGCAGGAGCAGGAGCAGGAGCGGGAGCGGGAGCGGGAGCAGGAGCAGGAGTAGGAGTCGAGTCGGAGTTGGAGTCGGAGTAGGAGTCGTCGTCGTTGTGGTGCTCTGTAGTCGTCGTCGCAGTCGCAGTACTCGAAACCCCCTTTGCCCTTTTGCTTCTCCTTGCCGGCCAGAAGCACAACTTGCCCTACATAACTTGCCCTACATCACTCTTCTTCCGCACTCCCGGCACTCCCCTCAACTGCCGCTCGCCCTTGCCCTGTCCGTGTTCTTCCATTCCCGCCCCCCACCAAACAACAACCTTCTTCCTCCTTTGCTCCAAACAATAGCCCCCTCCATGGTCATTCCTAGTTCGAAATAAAGGGTTGAACAGCGCAGAGGTTTTGTCAAGATGTGGTTTGGGGAGTGCAGTGGCTGCCTGCTCAAAGATCAAGAAGAGAGTGGTGACATGTTGACCTCGAAGATTGTCCTTGGCGCCGCTAGGCGGTGGGAGACTTGGTTCTGCAATCAACGGAAAACAAGCAGTGGTCCAAAGGAGCGCAGAAGCTTAAGGCGTTCGCACGTTTCTGGAAGTGCCGGCCGGTATGCCGAATTGCATGTTTGGAGGAGCTTTGCACCCCGCATTCCGGCTCTGGGCCAATAGCAAGCGAAAGATCCCAGTCAGGACCGACACACAAACTCCGACAGTTCTTATGTCAAGCCGATGTGTAAATGCCCTGTTGCACCCCGTGCTTCAGCATGACATGCCGTGGCCACTGGTGTAGGACCTCAAATGGAAATCTGCCTCCACTGGTGTCTCAGGTGCTTTTCCATGCCAATCCTCGTCCGACAACTGTCCCCGACAACAGGGGGGTTTAGGGTTTAGGGTCTAGAGTTTAGGGTTTAGGGTGCTTCGGGCAGGTCGACTTCGGTGACCCACACATGGCAAAGAGGCGGCCTTTGCCATCAAATGCGTTGTTTGCAAACTTAACAGGTGGGGGGTGACTGCCCGCAGAATGCGTTGACTGCCCTTGCATAGCCAGATATGGCCAGGTATTCAGTGTAGGGTCCTGGAGTCTCCCTTTGCAGTGAAAGGCTCGAACTTATGCAAATCAGGTTTGCTCCCGGAGCACCGCCGATGCGATGCCTGGACCAACGGAACGAAGATCAACAAAGAAGGGGGATGAGGAATCTTCCCTTCCAACAACAGGGAAGTTGCAGGAATTGCTGTACGAGCATGAGGAGCGACTCAAGGCCCATTTCGAGAAGTTGGTCGACCGACTGGTTTTGCAGCGAGCGCTGGGTGATCCTGCAGATGCAGCGCAGACACGCAGCCCGATCAATGCCAGGGCCGAACTACGACTCAGCAGCAAGAGCAATAGAGGCTACCAAGCCAGGGTTCCCAACTACGTCAAGCAGCTGGTTGACGGGACGCTTACGAAGGCCGCACCTCTTGGAAACAAGTTGAAGACAGGAAGTTCAATTAACAACAGTTGGGCTTCGGTTGAGCTTCCGGCGCGGCGCCTGAAGCATTTCTGGCTGCTGTATGACGCCAGCGTCATGATGTTGATCTTTGTCTATGCATGCCTCATGGGCGTCAACCTGCAGTGGACTAGCGTGACAGGCTCAGAACCAGAATGGGCACAGCATGCCGAGATTGCATTTTGCATTGTGTTCTCACTGGACCTGATGTGTCGCGTGGGCGTGGAGCGTCTGCTTTTCTTCTGTGGACAGATGCGATGGTGGAACATGTTGGACACGGTGCTAGTGACCATGATGGTCATCTCACAAGTCACTCAGCACCACGTGGTACAAAGCTTCTCTGGCTTGCGGACTGACTCGGTTAAACTGTTAAACGTGGTCATGTCAGGGATCTCTTGGTAGAAGCGGTGCAGCCATAACATGGGGTTCTGTAAGCCATGCCATAAAGCACCATGCAAGCTCTCAGTTCCTCTAAACATCCTGCAGGACACTTCGGCTGCTGCGTGTGCTGCGCGTCATGCGCCTGGCGAAATACTTCGCAAAGTGGCCCCAATTCCGGCAGCTCCGCATTCTTGTCGCTTCCATCGGTGAGAGCTTGAAGGTCATGGTGTGGCTGGTCCTGCTTGCCTTCAGCATCATCTACATATTCAGCTTAGTACTCACAGAAGGAGTTTGGCCTTCTTGCCACGAAGCAGCGGGCCAGGAGTTGCTGTGCCAAAGGTTCGGCACCCTCATGTCTTCTATGATGACCTTGTACCAGATTCTATACAGTGGTCTGCTTTGGGGCATCTTGTGGGATGCCATGGAGCATTGGGATTGGTTCTTTCTGGCTGCTTTCTTGTTGTACGTGTCGTTCTCCATGATCATTCTGGGAAACATGATGGCAAGCTTCCTGTACAGCCTGCAAAAGAAAGTGAGCAAGAAGGAAAAGGAAAATTTGATTCAATCCGAGATTGAGTCCAAAGAGGAATTCTTGCAGCAAATGAGCTCCGTGTTCCAAGATTTCGATCAGAATGGCAATGGCGCCATATCGTGGACGGAGTTTCAGATAGCTTTGGAAGATCAACGCATGCACGCCTTCCTGTCGTCGCTGGAATTAGACATCTCAGATGCGATCGGCTTGTTTCAGGTCCTGGACTCAGACGGAACGGGCGCCATCGAGCATTCAGAGTTCCTGTTTGGATGTTTGCGCCTGCGAGGAGGCGCAAAGGCCATGGATATGGTAAGAGTTCAGATGGAACAGGAATGGATGCACAGCGCATTGATAAAAATGCGAGCAACGATGCAGGACATGCACAGGATTGTGAGCCTAGGGGGCCGGAAGGTGTCCGACCCTTCAATCAGGGTGGATCACGTGAACAGTGATGGATCTGAGAACGAGCAATCCGAGTGGGGAGTGACTTCCTTGGCCATGCCAAAAAAGGCTGACAGCTCAGCTATGCTGAACGTGGACTTTAGGACGCAGCTACCAGCCGAAGAAAGGGCGGTCACCTTGCAAGAGCTCAAGCGAATTTCTTCCGATGCATTGCAGGGAAGCCGGTACGGATGGGCTGACCAGCGGAGTGGTGAGCGGGTTCCTGCGGCTGAGTTGAACCTCTATCATCTCAGCTATCATCATATTCTGCCCAAGACTGTGCTGCCGGGTCAGCTGATGCTGAAACTGGCATGGCGTGCTTCTAGCAGTGTTCCAAGGAAGGGCCAGCAAGTGTGCCAAGCCGATGCGCGTGCAGCTTTGCCTCGTGCAACAGCTTCCATTGTGCGTGCTGAAGTGGCCGGGGACAGCAGCGAAACAGATGCCACGCTAATTCTGTACCTCCGCTTGACAAAGGGGCGTTTTACCACAAACCCGGAGGACGGAAACATATTTGTCGACGAATCCGACTATGGAATACCGCAAGAAGTGGCTTCTCAGAATTCCTTCTGCTACAAGGAACTCTTGTCGTCTGATCCATGTCGGCCAGACTGGTACTGCCACAACCTCAGCTTGATGCTTCATTGTGTGGCATATGGTTGTCCTGAGGTGTGCTGGAATGTGTTGCTGACACAGCTTAGGTTCACACTGGTGGGGTGAGCCCATTGTGTCGTTCGTAAACTGCTGCCAACGGCATGCCCACCTACGACGATTGGACGATTGGGAAGCGACATACTGGGTGTGTGGCTACGCAAATCGGCAGCACGAGCTGGAGCTTGAGATCGGAGCTGATGACATCACGGCATCATCCTTCTATCACGCCCTGCAAGTTGCTAGCGGCTTGCTTCTCATTCTTGACAAGGAGGCCAAACCATTTTCCAGGACTCTCGTCTTGAGCGCGCGCTGGCTCAGCGTCATGCTTCTTATCGCTTTCGTGATTCATGCAATCCTGTTCATATTATATGAGTTGATATGCTGGATCTCGCCCTCTCGCCGTTTGCCATCGAAAGCCGAGCATAGCCGAGCCGACTTGTGCGATTTTGCGAAGCTCGCAAGCTCAGGCAGCACAGTCTCCAACCTGGGTCCGGGGTCCCCTTCCTCACTCCTTCGCCGTCCGGCCTCATCCGTCTCCGAAAATCTACGATACGAGGTTCCCGACGTCCGACGGCTAGAAGCGCTCGTAAATGGCGTGAGTCCGGAAAGGCAGATTCTCCATGGACGCCAATGTGGATCCCGAAACCCAAATCGTCGCAAATAGCATCAAGTGGGAGCACTATCTTTAGCATGAAGGTGCACTTGCTGCCCACTTCGTAACAACAGTATGCAGTAGCAGCAGCAATGTATAGGAGGAAGTGTGAAGAAAGGGTCTGAAGCTGCTGCAAGAATACAGCTAGAGTTAGAGTCTACGAATCTCGATTTCTACCATGCACCCTCAAAGCCTGCTGAGCACGAATCACGTGATGAGAAGAGATGTTGCCATCCTGGCGACGTCTGGCCCTTGTTGGGATGTCCCTTCAACTTTAAGCCCTCCATCGTTTGCTTGCATTGCCATAAAGAATACGCATCTGCTGTTCCTGACTCTACGAATGGCTTTCTGTGAAAGCAAAACAAGCATCAATACGTGTACGTCGAGTGCCTGGCCCCTCAAAAGATGCTGTTGAATCACCTGCATGCATGCGGGGAAGCGGTACGATGTACATACATAGCCGGACCCTTGCCTTGCTCCAACAATTGCCTGAGCGTCCTCCCCTCTCCTGCAAATCCCTGCAGGATTTGGTGTGACTACGAGTTGTATGCTGCAATCATGGATTCGGACAAGGAGCTTGACATCGTCACCATAGCTGCCAGCCACAAGCAAAAGCAAGCATCGGCCCAGATGCTGAGCAAGAACATGCTGGCCGGTGAGTCTGCTGTGGCGAAGTCTGTGCGTGAGCAGAGCTTCCCTTTGTCCTTACTCCAGCATGGTCTTCAGGTTTGTTTGGAGGCAGGAGAGAGGGGCTTGGTCTGTGGTTAACAGCTTTTGGTTGGAAGTCTGGCAGGCTAGGGTTGCGCGATATAACTTGCCCTGAGGATGGTGAGGCAACGGTTGAGAAGGACAAGCAAACGATTCTGTCGGCCATGGCGAACCATTCAGATCTGACGAGTGAAGAGGGCCGGTGCCACTTGCAACAGAACCTCAAACGTGCAAATGATGCGTTGCACTCGACCTTTGCGATTCTGGCATGGCCTCAAGCAATGCAAAGAGGATTGCAAGTTTTGGCCGAATACGAGCACTAAGATAGAGAGTGGTAGTGATGCAGTTTTGCCGCGCTGTGAACTGCATGCTGTGCCGTTGCTTGCGCCCTTGGGTGTGAATCTTGCGTGTGGCCTGTGTCATTTGCCAAGAGGACTGCTGCAGGACTTCAAGCAGGACCACTCGAAGAGGGAGGGCGACAAGGCCAAGCTCAAGCTCCCGGAGCTCTTGCTGGCGGACACCGGCAGGGAGAACCTGGAGCTTAGCCTCGCACACTTCCAGGAGAGCCTATCTATGGGGGGGGTTTGATTTTTTGGGGTTTGGTTTTTGATACGAAAATAGGGGGAATTTCAAGAGAGACCCCCAAAAAATAGTAGGGTTCTTGTAGGATAAGGATGCCAATAAGGTACCCCGAATTTCGGAAACCCCCATATGAGCCAATAAGACTCTTGAGGGACACGAAGAGAGAGACAACAGACACGATGAAAGAGAAGGGCCTTAAGCGAACCAAAATGAAAGGCAGACAGAGGAAGAAGGGTAGAGTGGGGCTGAACTCGCATACGATCAAGCACAGGACACTTGTGTGGACTCCACCATGAAAATCTTGGCTGGCGGCTTGCCACCAAACCTAAAGGAGCTGAGGCTCAGCTTTGAAGGATGCAATCGCATCACGGATGCTAGCCTCTCCAGTCTGGGGAATCCTGGCAATGTCTGGCAATGCTTCGGTTTTAGTTTTTTTCGGAATCTTTCATGGTCGTTCAGGTCTTCGAGTGAGTTGCACGGTGGTACAGGATGAGGAACAGTTTCGCTTTTCTGCCCACGCTCGCTGTGCCCGGAGCAAAGCTGCCCCGACCGCCCACAACCCTCCCCCTAGTTTTTGCTCACGGCGCGACTAGTGACCCTGTTTCCTTTTCAGGTCTTCGGAGCTCTGCTTCACGTTTTCGGGCTGTGAGGTAGGGAACACTAAAAACCTGTCTGAACATGCAAATTCGCTGGAAATACCAGCTTCTTCAAACAAACAACAAATTCAATAATGCTGCGGCCCCACCCAAAGAATCGACGACGCTCGAAGATGCTGTTATTGAGAATGAATTCGGCCTGCCCACATGTTTTGAACAATGTGTTCTATCCAAACTTAGGGGGAGGGTTGTGGGAGGGGGGCGGGGTTGCGGCCTCTTCTCGTAACCACATTAGCAAACTCAACAAGCTGCGAAGCACACTTTTTCGCGGGGGGGGGGGGGGGGGGGGGGGGGGGGTGGGGGAGCGTAACACCCTCATGGAGAAAGGTGAACTGATGCGAAAGCTGCATGGCCTTTGATAGGCTCTACACGGGCTTGTGCACCCCACAATGGGTTAGTCTTGGATTTTTCGTTAGGAGGGCCAGCACACGTCTTTTCCCGTAGCATGGCGGCACAAGCGCCGTGTGCAACTTAAAGTCATTAGTTCTATGCAGGCCCGCACCCGAAATTTTCTTGAACAATGTTGTTTCAAAGAGGCTCCCTCAGACCAGAACCAGAACCCCACAGGATAAACGCTCGGAGATTGCCGTTTATGCCGAAGAGGTTTGCATGCCTCGGGGGGGGGGGGGGGGGGGCGGAGCATCCGCTGCAGTACTGAGAGAACTGTAAGCGTGATTTACAGTATTGGCTTCGGGAAGAGACATGGGGGCGTGCCGCGGTGGATGTTTTGGGGCGTGGGGGTGTGTGCGCGCTGGTCTAGAATCCTTAAGCAAAAGCTGCGCTCCGCTCGTTTGTTGGGTGTTTGGAGGGGAGCAGGCTTTGGGAGGAGGCGGCGAAAACGCAGCTTTCATTTCGGCAATCTTTCCGTTGCTTTCCCTTATAAGTTAAATCAGGGTGCCAGTCGACGCAGCTCAGGGCCAGATTTGGCTCCCAGCTGAAGTTGCTGTACTTGGACTTCATCGGGTGCAGCAAGCTCACCGACACTGGCTTGATCGCACTTGCATCCAGCTTGCCTGCTAACTTGGAGGACCTGGAGCTCCATTTTGCAGGCTGCTCTGGCATCAGCGCTGCTGGCGTCGCTTCGCTACGGGCAAAGCTGCCTCGAGCTCTGCAATCTTTCAATGCTACATTCAAAGGCACAGGTGTCAATCGAAACTTTTCCAGCAAGGCCGAGTTCCTCTCCGGATGAAAATTTGCCTCCGTCCCGGCGAAACATTCGCCAGAACCGGTGGTTATTTTGAATCACATTCCAGGAACGGGAGGTTCGCAGAAGTTGCTGCAAAGCAGCAGCTTCGATATCCAGTTGGCTGTTTTGCGCACAGCAAACAGTGAAACACTTGATGCTGGTTGCAGCATCAACTGCATGCATCAAGGCCTCGAAGGCCGAGAAACAACCACCATCTGTCTCACAACTGGTTTTGCCAGTTTCAGACCCTCAATACCAATCAACACCAGTTGGTGCAGAACTCTGAACCAAAGAGGGCCGTTTTCCACACTTTTTGCTGCCTCGACATCCGTCATCCTGGTGCTTAAAATACCGCAAATGCACAGGCCGATCCTCCTCCTGGCGCCCGTCCCTGTCAGAAGATCTGAGGCTCTTTCGTGCTCTCTTGTGTTTTCTGGACTGACTGTTTGTGCAGAACCAAGTAAGTGCTGCTCAGGATTTCCCACCAGAGACGAGGCACAGTGCCTGGAGGACAGTCTGGGTGAGCACGGTAGTCCCGCTGAGTGTTGCGCGCCAGAACCAGGGAAAGCTTGATTTGCAAAATTTTTTCACACGACGATGAATTCAATCCTTCATGGCCCGCACTTGCGATTGACGATTGCAACCGACAAGGAGGCAGAAGATCAAGTACAGCTCTCAAGCGTTGCCCAGGGCTGCACCGTGTACCCATGGATGTTGAGCTGCATGTGTTTGTGGGTAAGGCCTGGCTTGGACACTCTGCTAAGCCCGAGGCGCATTGACAGGTGCGCTCGGCAAGTACCGATTGTGTGCTGCTTGAGTTCCGGGAGCTTTGATGCTGTTCTTGGAGACTCCAAAAGCTCTCGCACTCAGGGTGCACAGAACTGGCAAGTCCCTCTTCTAGCAGGCGGCAGCGTGTACTTGGAACACGAACCACTGGCCCGTTGAAAGGAACACACAGTTCAAGCTAGCAGCTTCCTTGGTTCAGTTCTTCTTTGAGGTCTATTTGGGCGGTCATTGCCACAGCCTGCACAGGTGAAGATTCCGCAGTTCAGGGGACATCTTGACTCGGGGACGGAATAATTCGATCTTAAGCCTGTCCAGATCCTGGGCAGCGTGTATGCACGATCGTTGTACGTCTGTCGACCTGCAAGCTAGGTACGACTGCTTTGCCTAAGGCATGGCATTTATGTTGAAAGTATGCTGCTCTGGAGAACTGAATCAGGCTCACCAGAGTATGCGAAGATCTTATGCAATCGTGTTGCCCCCTGTCCTCGGCAGACCGGGCATGCGCTTGTACAAGTGCACTTGGCTGCACCAACCAAGAATGGCATTTCAGTCTCGTCGGACCCTTGATTGCCTGAGTGCAGTCCCAGGATAAAGATGCAAGCAGGGCATCCTCCGGTGATTGCTGTGCAACGGAAGCCAATAGATGGAGTGGTGGCCACACTGAGAGCCGCAATGATTTCGCGGAGGTCCCAGCCGCCCTCTGAGGCCGATGACATTGATCACCTGACTTTCCTAGGCACGGAGCTTGAAGACGCTGAAGAGGAAGCTAGCTACAGCGACGCCTGCGAACTGTTCAGGCTCCGCCTTGTTCACGAGACGCGTCCGCTCCTTTCCCTGGACTGCGACCAGCAAGCCGAAAAACTTGGCAGCTGCAGGTCTCTGGGCCACGGGTGGTCCTCTGCACACCCCCGTCTTGGCCACAGCAAGCGCAGAGCAGTGTTGCAGAGCTTCGCTGCAGAATTACCGCAGAGCAGACCAAGGCTTGGGCATGTTGCATGACGAAATGCTGGTTTTCGGAGCAATCAAACAAAGCGGACAAGACGATCAGAGTTCAGAGTTCAGCTAGCGGAAAGACGGCTTGAGCATGATCTTGCGGAGAAGTCAAGATGAGATTAACCTTAATTAACCTTACCTGTGGCCATTAGAAAGCAAAGTTCAGAGACGGCTCTGGGGAGGGATTCGGAGTCTGTCCAGCCTTCCGAACCTGTCCGGCGAGTTTGTCCAGAATCTGCATCTGGAAATGCTGTATGACCCGAGAACAGAACGTTGCAGCTAATTGAGTTGTTCGGCACTTTCGACTTTGATTCTTTAATTTTCTTTTGGTTGTCCCGGTCCTAGGCCCGCGCCTACACCGGAAGCTGCTGCTGTGCTCCCCTTAGCTGCAACTGCGTCAAAACGCATCAAATGTGACCATGTGTTAGACAAATTAGACCATTTGGCTTTGACGGCCTCCGTTTTGCAAGCATCTCTTGAAATCCAAACTCATGCTGTTACCTGTCTGAAGTATCTATGCCGCACTGCGTGTATTCCATGTCTTTTTGCTGCTGAATGCACAGGCCTCATATGTGGTCACGCGCTCCCCGACCCCCCCTCACCCCCCATGCCCTGGTAATTCCTCACTCCTGTTCCTGTGGTGTGGTTGGGGGGCTTAGGGTTTAGGGTTTTGGGCCAGGGTTCCCCTTCTAGTGGTGTGGTTGCGGGCTGGTTGTCGGGATTTTTGGTCGAAATCCTGTGTCGGGTTGAAGGAACGCCAATGCGCTCTTGAAAGCACCCCGCCCGCCCCCCTTCTTACCGGACCACACTGGTGCGGATGGGGCTGGGGATTGGATTTGCGTGACGAAGATGAGTGGCAAAGAACTGAATGAGCTGTTTATGGACGAGGAGAAGCGCTTGTTTGGCGAGGCGATGCCATCAAGTCGATGAGAATTCCAGAATATCATTGCCAATCTTCCCCACAGAATGATGCCGGTCCTGACGTTTTCTCGATGTTTTCTCACCAAGACCAAGACGAGGCAGGAGTTGGGCCGAATTTCAAGGTTAGATTTCGCTGGGCCGCAAGGAGCCTGATGTGATGAGCATGGAGCGCTATGCTTCCACTCCCGCAAACACCTAACGGTTCACTTGGTGTGCCTTGGGCTTCGCGAGCCGCGAGCGGTGTTGGTGCCGGGTGTGCCAGGGCTGTTCCGGCCTCCAATCTTTTCGAGTCCCGCCCCTTAGCGGCCTTAGCGGCCGAGCGGATCCCCCAGTACAAGGGCCACGTCCATGTTGCCTAGGTCGTGGCAGTAAAGGCAGTACTTGCAGGAGGTAATCCCGATCGCAATTACAATAGTCGTCGTTGTAGCTGCGAGAGCAAGTACTTGTAGCAATGACTATGGTAGCGGTAGCAGCCGCAGCAGGTTTTCGAAGTTGTTGGCACTCATGTTCATAAATGTGCTATCATTGTTTCCGAGCTTTCGTTTGCGCAGTTTTGAAGTGTGTAGCCAAAATGCTAGTATGTACCGCAATCGTGTGTTGAGTTCTTTTCGCTTTCCCGGGGTTTCTCACAAAGCGCTGTTGCTTCCAAAGGGATTTCTATGCTCCCTACGCTTTTTGAAAGTGGCCAACGCACAGGTCAACCGCATCCATGATGCCCGAACGGTGATTGCCACACCCATGTCCGAACGATGATTAAGTCCGTGTCACAGCACAAAAGGAACCAACCGCACCCATGCAAAAACGATGATCACCTGAATGTCAGCTCAATGGTGCATGCGACTGCAGCTTCCTGTTTGCTTCTCTGCTTGTGCTGTAGTCATGAATTCCAGGTGCAGCCAGAGGACAGCGTGTCAGAAGGAGTGAAGGTGAAAGGAAAATACCGGAAGGCAGGTGCACACACACTTCAGATGTTGAAGGATCCTGTGAATGCGCGGCAGGTCATAGACGGCACGCCATTTGAATGCTATGGGGCCCACGCAGCTGCATCACCCGCACGTTTGCAAGCTTCAAGTCCTCCGAGCGAGTTTGTCGGCGTTTGCTGTCAGTCTTATCCCTTCTGCTACCTGACGGCGGCTTGTGCAATAGGCGCGCTCCTGATTTGAAGTGGAACATGTGCTTTTCAGACTTTGAGATTGTTGCCTGGTGCTGCAGCATGACGTGATGTGGTACAGGTGCTGAGAGGAAGGAGTCCCGCAGACCTGTTTGTGCATCTTTCAGGTCTTACGCGTTTGTGAATGTGTGCGCAGGTTTGTTCTGCCAGTATTTTTGAAGTCTGAATCCCTGGGATGTCGATGGCTGCCGGATTCCATGCAGAAAGCTGCCAGGATGGAATGCTTTCTCGAGCGTTTCGATGCCGCTGTTCAGGCCCGGGAGCGACGGCGCAACAATCGGCGACAGCTGCCGTTTTGGGAAAAACATGCACCAAGGATTACCGGAATGGTGCCGGCAGAAAAGACAAGCTCGCTGGCAAGAGCAAGCCTTAGATTCTTTGCATATTTGGTGTCGCCGTCTGCCACCCTGTCTGCAGCAAAGGCCCGTGCTTGGAAGCTGAGAGATTTCCACCAGCACCTGACTGTGCTGTGAGCTGATTGATTGAGCCGCAACCATGCCAAAGGAGAAACAAATCGCATGCTACGCTGCACTGATTTGCAAGGTCATGGACCTAGACTGCTGGCCTGCATGCAGGAGGCATTTGTCATGCTTTCGGCTCCAACAGGGCTGGGCTACAGTGGTAGCCCGCAAGCAGCCCAATGAGTGTGCTTCAACGAAGTCGACGCTGAGCAGTGACTTGGGCAAGTCTTCTGCATTGCCGCGGTTGTGGGACTGTTGCCACACCACAAGTGTCGTGTCACATGCGCAGAAGTGTGCAGACTAAGCTAAGGCCAAGCATGGGCGCAGATGGAGCATCTCCAGCGCGAAAGTCTCCAGCAGCCAAGGCATTGACTCCTGGTGAGCTGTGCTTTGCTGTGCTTTGCAAGTTCCTCCACAAGTTCCTCGGCTTCGTAGCACTTCGGGACCCCATTCGACGTACCCTTTCCGGAGTCCGGAGCATATCTCTGCTACGCAAGGCCGTCGCTGCAGCTGTGGAGGACTTGGGCTTTGGGCTGTATCAGCTCCTTGGCATAGAGTGTAGGTTCACAAAGCCAGCCAGTTATTGTGACTTCGGCTTCGGGTAGACATAAACGCTGCAAGATTCGACAGCTGAGGCTTGTCGCCAGCAGCTTAGTGACTTAGTGAGCCTCTATGCGCACCTAAACTACAGCTCGGCGTTGGTTGCTTTCTGAGCGCAAACCACGTGCTTAGCCGCTGTTCCTCACCGGCGGCATATTCCTGGCGGAGGGTGCTGAGATGCTGGTGATGGGCCAGCTCCTGTATATGTGGCAGAAACCTGTAGCACACGTCCGATTTCCCAGAGTGTCCAAAGCTTCCAGCCTCGCGAGGCTCCATCACGTCTTTGCTGCACCGCCATTGGGAGCTGAATCCGGCAATACGAGGTGGCATGGTCTCGATCGTTTCTCGGAGCACTAAGGTCAACACCATGTTTTTTCTTTTTTGGCACAAACTTGATGCTGAGATTGTTCGACATCTGAGGTGTTCATTGGCTTCTCAGTCCTATGCCCGGAGATAGCTGCAGCTTTGTTTTGCTTTCTTGCTTCATTTAGACTGAGGTCGGCAACTTTCTCTCAGGCCAGATCGGCGACCGGTTTGGCCGACGTGTGTCGATTCTGCTAGCGCCGGGTTCTTTTTTCATGATCGGCTCGGTCTTCGAAGAATGGCCGCTTTGTCATACTGAGGTACGCAATGATCGCCTTTTTTGGGTTTGCGACGGCGTGTTCACAAGGGTTGGGTCCTGAGCCATAGAGTATTAGATCAGAACTTCTGACGATGCATTGGGTTGTGTCAGGCCTGGCTTGATGATATTTCTTCGATTCTTTGTTGGGGCAGGCTGGTTTCAATCCGGGGAACTACTGGGATGGCTCCAGCGCCAGGCTGTGGTATCGGATTTCCTGCTGCCTACTCCCTCATGCCAGAGGCGGCGCAGGCGTATGCATGCGAACAGCGTCTGTGGACACGCGTGGGCAGGTTGCTCCCTCCAGCTGGCGAAGCAGTCTCAGCACCTTGATGATTGGCTTCATGCCGTTGGGTGAGCTTATTGGTGCCTTAGTGGTGCTTGCCCCAGACCATCCATGATCCCAGATCCTCGATGCCTGTGTCCCGCTGATGATCCTTTCAAGATTGGATGCTAGATTGGCACTGTCGACTGTTTCGTGACACACACACACACACACCCAGGTTCTCTTTGTTGATCCAGAGCTTGACAACTCGGCTCGAGGTGCCGAGCTTGGCCAAAGCATATCAAAGCACATCAACTTGTTTGCCTAAGTGCTGACTTGGCCCCGTTACAGGTTGCAGCATCGATCGCTACTTTCCTTCACGGGCGCTTCTAGAGCCCACAGCTGAGCGAGTGTAGCCGAAGCCGCGCGCAGATCACCCAAAGGCCACTTGAGCATGAGCAGTACACAACTGTTACAACTGTTACACAACCCAGGCCTGAGTTGTGCGCTTGGAAAACGCTTTGTGAGATGAGCGCAGGTTGCCAAGATTGGGATCCTTGTGTGTGTGTGTGTGTGCGTGCGCTCATGTTGTTTCCAAAAGTGCCTGCGCTGGAAAGGGAGCTTGCTTTTTGAATACTTTGAGGCGATCCCCGCCTTTCTATTTTTTATTCTGGCCCCTGCCTCATAATTACTTCCTATGCCGCAAGCAGCCATGCACGACACACACACACACAGAGACGAGAAGCCAGGACCAGGTGTGGTAAGCTGACAAAGTGTCATTCATCACGCAAGTTGAAGCAGAAGTTCGAGCCGCTGCCTCCAAGGCATGCAGATTCATGGACGAATCGCCACAGTTTCTGGCAAACTGCGGTCGATTTGACGAGTGCTTGGAGGCTGACTTGATCTGTGCTGAGACTTGACTGGCTTTTCTTGCTTGCGGACTTTGTGTTTTGGTTTTCTGGCATCAGGCACAATTCTTCCAGAGTCATGCAGCATGCTTTTGGCCAGAGCGACTTTGGAAACGTTTGGGGTCATGGATTTACTGGTGTCTTCCTGCATGCCAGAAACTTCTGAAACACAAGCTGACAGCATCAAAGCATCCCTCAACCTCAATCGCCGACGCTTAGACCATAGTTCACTCCAGGCGGTAGTCGCAGATGGCAGAGGTATGCGAGGTGCTTGTCCATGCGCCAAACCGTCCGTGCAGAACCAAAGCAAGGGAGGCTAAAGCGGCTAGAAGAGGGCTCAAGCGATACACCCCACGGCGTGCAACCCAAACGCAGCAGTGCCGCAAGAGAGAGTCGTAACACAAACGTCGCAAGTGCAAGCGCTCGTGTCAGGTCCTTCAACGCATTGCCTGAAACTTAGTCTGCAAACATCCCCGAGACCATCAAGTCGGGTCATGGACGCTGTCACAGGCCAAACTGAATGGCTCCGAGCTAGACGTCGAGAAGCTCCGCAGCTCGCCGGCTTTGCCACGTTCGTATCGTTTCGAAGTCTGAGCTGCAGAGATTGGAGCTCAGGTGTGGCCTTCAGTGCAAGTGCAGATGAAGACGAAGGTGCTTGCACTTTCGGAGACGCCAGCAGCTGAAATTGCCATGTGACCATATGATTCAAAGAGGTGAGCCTGGTGCTTTATCGCCCTCACGGTCGTATTCCTTTCGCAGCACCTTGGCAGAGCTGCCGGAGCCACAGACTGCGGGGAGCGCGTAGCGCGTTTGCATTGGGCAATCTCTTTCACGGCATGCTTGAAACCACCGAATTTAGAGTAGGGGGTTCGGCCCATCGCGTCCCGACGCCACCGAAGCTATAGCATCTAGCAACCTCATACGCAGAGGGTTTGTGTTCCAAGCTGAGGTCTTGGGAAGGTACCACCACCCCCACCCCTAACCAATTGGACATTTTGCGAATGTTTGTACTCCCTTTCTCGGTGCACCGCATTTGGGGGGCGCACGTTTGGAGGGGAGTGGGTTTCAGAAAATCCTCTTCCGTCTTCACCAAAAAGTCCTGCAAAGCCAGCGCTTTTTCCAGCATGACAGCAACAGCCAGGGAGTTGTGGTTATGACATCAAACACGTATAAAAACAGCTTGCGGTCTCTGTGTGTGTGTGTGTGTGTGTGTGTGAGCAGGGGGGTGAGAGGGTGTGCACTTCGGTGCAGGGGTGCATGTTTTCGCATCCCAATACCTACCGTACGGTTAAATCGTTTTTGTCCTTTGGTACATGGCCCATTATGCGGACGGCGCTAGATGTAAGTCGAATTGTGTCACGTGCTTGTACAAGCTTCGCATGGGAAAGGTGTTCTGGTGACTTTCTGCCGGTGGTGTCCTTCATGTGCTTGGCTCACGTGGCCAAGGAGATTTGCATCATGCATGGTGTCGCTTACGTTTTGAGTTGTGGACTTGGAGGACTTCAGCGTATTTGGTCTCTCCTACATGCTTCCTCAGTTGCTTGACCGCAAAAGAGTCTTGTACTTTGTCATTGAGCGCATCTCTTGCATGTCTTTGCCCAAGGTACTTCGTGTTTCTGAAGAACTTGGTTGCCAAAGACCAAGCAAGTGCGGACCATTTGTGTCTTTCCGGTAGCCGTTACGAATGTGAAAAAAACCTGTGTCTGCCGACTTCACCAGGCTGGACTCGAGTTGCTGGCGGCAACGGCCCCAGGATCCCTAGGAAGTCATTCAGTCCAGGTTAGGTGCAGTGGATGCTGTGCTGAGGTAGCCACCCTGGCACTGCCGGGCGTTGTTCTGACTTACTTCTGTTCCAGAATCCCAGGAGTACGCTGCGTAGAGAGAGTGCAGAATGCCAGCACGCTGCGTTTAGAGAACGCATGCAGCAGTAGGAAATGCGCTGACATCATAATTCTCTTGACAGCAGCAATTTCTTGAATCGCGTGCTTGCGATGAAGGTCGTGCAGTTCGCCATTCTGATATGCAGGTCTCCTTGGTGTACTGGATGTCGGGCAGCGGTGCTCTTTGTGCCTTGGTGCCAGTTTGCTGAGCATTGATGCCACTGAACCAAACTCAACAAAATCAGTAGGGTCTAGCATGCTTGGGTATTGATCCAAAGGTTCTTGACGGTGTCTGGGGGCTTTTAATTTAAAGTGGCCACATCCATGCCTGAAGATGAGTCCGTGCCAAGTGCCCGCGTCGCCTAGCTGTTTTCCAGCAGCGGCTGGGCGCCTCCCCGAAAAAGGTCATGACCAGATAGCAGGGCAAGTCAAGATCAATCGCGTGAAGAACCCAGCAGCGTAGGCAGCTTCTTTGGCCTTGGCATGCTGAAAGCAGCGCCGGACACTTCAGCCTAAGTCTCGGGCGAAATCAAGACTCTACAACGTCAGTGCATTTGTGGCCACAAGTGAGGCTGCGCCTGCGGCCTACATGGTGAAGCTGCTGGCAATGCCAGGGGCTAAACTTGAGGCTAAACTTTAGCAACAGCTCGACGTGTGAGATGTCCAGACGTCCATCGCTGCGAATCATGCGCATCATGAGCTTCATTGCGTCCAGGTCATACTTTGTCTTCACCGTTTCTTACACGACTGCCGCATTTCCCGCACGCATCCGCCAAACAGCTGCTGCGTGCTCGGAAGATCAGACTGCTTGCTGGTTCTGGCTTTCATGGAAATGCGATGGCTAAGGTGGGCCTTTGCACTGCAGCTGGTCGCATGGGATCCATCAGTGCTCCCAGTTCCATTTGCTGTGTCAGGGACGCCCGGGTTTTTTCCTTTTTGGTGTGCTCCCGAAAGGTGCCCCCCTGGTTTTCGAGCTTAGCAAAGAAGTTACTGGTGGCTTCGATTTCTTTCTAGGCCTGCTCTCCGCTTCGCTTGTGCAAGCTGACTTGAGACATGTGCATGTGCAGATTGTGCAGGGTGCCTCATGTCTCTCATGGCCACGGTGGCATTGCTGGCCCCCCTCTTTTTGCCACGATGGGGCCAAGCAGAGGAAGTGGGACTCTGAATTGCACTCGACACCATCATCGCGGACAGGGCCTGCTGCATGTATACTCGTTTCCTGGCTAAGGCGCAGCTCTTGCTGGACTTTGGCAAAGGCGCAGAGGAGCCATGCGTGCAGCCTGCCAGAAAATCGAAACGAAACTTGAGAACCTCGTGCCGCCATTGGCTGCCGCTTCTTAGCATGCTTCGTAGGACAAAGGACAAAGGAGGTCTTTTCGATCTAATCGAAGCGGTTCAAGTCAGAGGTTTTTGTCTGCCTTTGTCATGCTTCAGGGTCATGATTTGACCCCTTACAGGAAACCTACGCAGCGTGCAAAAGCTCTGCCTGAGACTGGCGACAGCTTCGCCGGCAGGTTGCATGCGGACCTGTGCAAAATCAATGTGCAATGTCGCAGATGCACCACGACAAGCTTTCTTTCCGGAAGTGTTTCAGTACCTGTCATTGCCTTTTGATTCTTGCAGATTGGCCCAAGGTGCCCCCATTAGGTAGAGGGCATCTTTTTTCGGACGTGGCGTTGTCCATGCCTGATCCCCTGAGATGCGCAAGGCCCACACAGCACGTGCGCCGTAGACGAGCTTTATGTCTCAGCGCGCTATGGCTATCAGCATGGCTGGCATCCGAAAGCTTGGCAGCTTTTGTTCCAGCAGGGGTTCGTATTCAAAAGGCTCGCAGCATGGGTGCCGCCCAAACAGCATTTTTCACAGCGCTTTGCTTCCAGAAGGCATCGGCTGAGGAAGCCGACACGGAGACAAGCTGGTCCTTCAATCCATTCTTGTTTCTAGTGCCTGCTGGAGTGATCTACCTGGTTCGATGGGTGTTCAGCCTCAAGCCCGAGATGGACACTGATGCGGATGGGTACAAGTCCACCACGCTGCGCGGGAGGGACTCGGAGGAAAACCTGCAACGACGGATTGCGGAAATGGAAGCTCGCCTGGCCTTGGAGGAGAAACAAAGGCAATTGCTTATGGCAGGGAAGGCGACGGCTACAAGAGAGGACGATTCGGAGGATGATTTGTTCAGCTCTGATCTGGATGCGCAGCTGCGAGCAGCGCAGAAGAAGTGACGAGAAAAGCAGGGCATTTGATTCAGAAGTTCCTGAAGGGAACTGAGATCATAGCAAAGCAGACGCAGCCGCTAAAAGATGCGTTGTGAAGGTGCTACCCTTTGTAGTTTTCCTGAGGCGAAGTGCAATGAGCTATCATGTGTCCTTGTTCGGTCCTTCATGCTGCAGAGGCAGGTCGGCATGTAGAGGAAAGTGCTAATCCGTGCGTGGCGACAGCATGGAAGGAAGCAAACCATCAAGTCTCTAGTGCCAATAGGATTCCTGCAGACGGCAGTTTGCTGTGCACCTGGCACAGCACCTGGCTCTCCACTTGCAGCTGCAGCAACAGCAGCTTCTTCTTCTTCTTCTTCTTCTTGTTCCGCTGTTGCCGCACCAACGCATTCGCATTCTGTTTCTGCTGGCAGGAAGGAGATTTCAATGTGCCAGCATGTATGTACACAGAGACACGTCATGCCATCGAGAGCAGTGCAGTCTTCTTCCGGTTTTGGCGCGGTTTCATTCGGGTAGTCGGAGATGGTCGACTAGCAGACTTGATGTGCCTCTCATCGTTGGGTTGGTAGACCTGAGCGGGTGCGCATGTAGCATAGCCATCCATAGCCTTCCACGGCAATGCCTTCCATCGAGCCCCAAAGTGAAGCAGGCATGGTCGCGAATCGTAGCTAGCTGTCTGAGATTTTGTGTGGGGTGACTCTGTGCTGTTGCAATATTCTGGGGATGTTTGAACACGTCGAGGCCTTCGCCGCAAGCCGAGGACTTGTCTCAAGGTCGCATTTCGCGGGTTGGTTTTGTGCTGTATTGAGAGAGCAGCTGTGCCATGAATGCGGGTCGCCAGGCGGTGCTCTTACCAATGGTGGCGTTTGTTCTGGCACCCTTTGGTCATGCAGGTGCGACCCAGGGGGCGGTTAGTGTTGGTTTTGACAGCCGTCTGACCTTCTCTGGCCACAGTTGCACAAGGACATAGGGAATACGGTGCGGGTTTCGGACTGTGTGGGAGCAAACCGGAAAGCCAAGCATCTGAGCACCGGTATTTGACATGAAGTGGACTGTACAGGTGCTGGGAAAGTAGCGTTGTGTGACATTGTACTGTAGGCTCCTGGCAAAGGGTAAGAATGGCAAGAACATGGTGTTAATGGTAAGAGGTTTGAGCGCATCAGGGTTTCCTCTGCACGAAAATGGATATACGCCGATTGCTTAGAGCAAAAAATTCTCCTTGCACTGCTGGCTAAAACGGCAAGCGAGGATTTTCCCCATTATGCTCCTGGACTCAGTTAACCCTCCAGGCGTGGGCATTTGCCTTGAGCAGCATTCCTTCCGAGGTGCTTTATCCTTCGTAGCATCTCCATCCATGGTGTTCGTCTGAGATACTTGTCATCACAGCGGGCAGTCCTGCTTGCAGAAATCCCCCGCTATGCTGAGGCCAGCCGAGTGGGGTCGAGAAGCCGCACGAAGCAGTTCTTGGAACTCAAGGCTGTCACATGCATCGCTTGTGTACAGCTTGCGCAACTTGCGATCTTGTTGGTGGCTTTTTGATCAGGCGGCTCGAGAGGAGCTAGATTTGAATGAGGAAGATGGGGATGAAGGACACATCTTGGGTCAAGCTGCAGGCAGTGCAGGAGGCTTCGCCTCTAGCATCACACTCTCTAGCATCCTATGCAGGAGATGAAGATTTCTTCGAAGGGGAAGAGGCTGAGTGGACTGCCTCCAGGTTTTTGCAGGGGGGGTGCTGCAGTTGCAACGCAAGGCAGGGCTGGCAAAGCTGGCTGCCGTCTGAGCCTGTCTGAAAAGACCACAGCATCTGCATGGAATAGTGGTGAGCAGCAAGGATCCTGGAGATGCTCTTTCTGAGAGGCAATCGCCGCATGCCTGCACAACATTCCCACATATTCTCACCATTCTGATCCCACACTATTCTCACCATTCTGAAGACAAAGCAGACAGTGCATGACACGTCTCTGGCCACGGCTGATGCCCTCTTGGCCATCACTCAGGAAGGCTGATGTTGCTCGCCAGAGATTGTGGAATATGCCCAAGGATGTCCGTAGCTCGAACCATTCGACCCTTGTCATATGAGCAGACATCGGCCACGCTTTGCAGTGCAGGTGACACCGTACATGCAGGTGGAAACCGTCCCACCCTAAGCACAACAAGAGAGCTGTTGTTGAACAAATCGTCCAGACTTGCGTGAGGTGCTGTGCAACAATTGAGGTCACCTATCAGAACAAAGAGAAGCTAGCTAGAACCCGGAACCTTGTCGTGCTGAAGGTCCACTGGGTCAGGTCATTGGGTGTTCAAAGCTTTCGCATTGGAAGCGGTGGGCTTCTTTACTTTATGTGGTTGGCATGGGCTTGTCGAAGGGGACGAATACGGTACGATCTTGCAAAATAATTTATGTAGATTTGCGGCCGGTGCTGCATTTGTGCTGCCCAGAGCGACTGCCACGGCATGCGGGTTCAGAGTCGAACTGGCAGGCCAAGAACTCGAAGGTGCCTTGCGCGGTGCAAGTTCAGAGGAGCTTTTGGCGGAGGATATTGCATGCAGTAAGCTGAAGACAATGCTGAAGGCCATGTTGCAGAAGTCGCAGAAAATCATCAAGCAGGGCACCTTGTCAAGCATTCGAATGAAGAGGCCAGGCTGGGCCACTTTCAGCACAGATATGAAGTGGACACTGCTCTGGTGGACGGAACACTAACCTCATACTAAACACCGGCTCCGCGGCGCCTGCGGCGCTTTGCGGAGCACAGAAAGCGCCATAGAAGGCCTACAGGATTACAGGATTCAGGTCACGAGTGTGATCAGAGGATCAGCACGCATTGGCCTTTTGGCCTTTTAAATGATACCAGATATTTTCTCCTAAGCACAAGCGCATGTTCAGCGCCCCAGCCCAGCCCTGCAGGCTGAAGAGGTACGGACGGGGTGAATTCGGAAGAGACAACGCCTTGCAGTGGAATCGCCCAGGCTGGGCTTTTGTGCTATCTGAGATTATCTGAGCATCAACACGCATTTCCTGGCATGTCCGCCGGCCTGTCCCCACCAAAGATGGAAGGCCGCCGAGCTTTCCGAATGCGTGACGCGCCCAGTTCAGCAGAGAGAGACAGAGAGAGAGAGGGAGCGGGACTGCGGGACAGATACGTGTTATGGCCGCGGTTGGGCAGTGGTTGGCTGATCTGACAGGAAGTGGCATGAAGGACCTGCGCTACGCAGATGACCTGGAGCGGTCTCAGCGTCGAAAGAAGGATCTGAGGCATCAAGTGTGCCACGCCATTCAACATCATGATTCCTGAGCATGAGCCGCAAGTATCCACAAATTGGTGCTGCGCCAGGCCCGTTGATTGGAAGAACAAGCGGAGGCGTCCAGGCCAAGGTGAACACAAAAAGAGATGGATCGGAAGCTCATTCAGATACGGCAGAGGAACGACGATCTCAAGGAGGCCGACAGTTTCCATGCCGATGACACGTTCGTTTTGCAACCATGCCTTGCGTCACCACTGTTCTTTTGCTTTCGTGGGAGGTGAAGCGATGCGAAGTGCTTGTATTCCGAAAGCTTTGAGCAGATGAGAGCTCTTTCCAAAAAGGCGATTGCATGTGGGCAGAGCCTGGCCGGGGGCCGTTGTGCTGTTTTTTGGCTACGCATTATGAAGGAGAACGTTGCGCTGGCTTTCTAAGGATTTTAAAGCTCATGATGTGAGCAGAGCTAGCAGTTAGTGCCTCTGAAGTTACCCCCACAATTGAGCTTTTTTCGTGGTCAAAGTACAAGTTTAAATCCGGAAATATGAGCGGGAACGGGAACGAGAAATTACGCGGGATCGGCATTGCGCAAGCATGTGGCAGGATGTTTCAGAATCGCACGAACCCCTTATAAGAAAGTGTATAAATATCCTTTCCACCGCACCCGGTTTATGACTTCCGACTTATACCTTACAGGGGGAAGCAAGCTTCGTGGACCAACAGAGTCAATATTCACGAAAGGACCGCGGAAGGGCTCCATGGAAGGAGTCTTTATTCCAATTTTCAATGACAATCAGAGAAAGAAAGAACGATTCAATCGGGTTTTTTCTTCCGATTATCCATAGGTTCTTCCAGTTGATATTTTGTCCGCCCAAGACGGTTTTACAATGTGTGGAGGGCGGCCGAGGCCCCAACGACCCTTCCTTGTCTCCAATTCGAGCGTCCATGACATCTAACTTTGAGAGGTTTGCCCTTTTGCCCAAGTATGTTTGCATGAAACTTAGATGTGTCCAATTGATTCAATACGTGCCGGGGGAGACTTGCAACTTGAGCAGCACAACCTTTGTGTCGTGTCTGCACCATGGCAAAGCGCCGCTTCAAGCTCCCTGCCGTCCTTGCGTTGGCCTTGTCCATTATGGTGGCTAGGTCTTTCGTTGCTCCGTTTGAGATATCGCGAATCACCCAAGTTAACAGGCACAAGGCCGCAAGAACCACGAGATGGGCGTTCGACGCTTCGATTGCTGCGCAGTATTTAGAGCCATTCGCCACTGTGCTTGGGTTATCACTGAAGGACATCGTACTGGGAGTTCAGGTTGCAAACAGCAACATCGACTCGCTTTCGAAGCAGGATACTTTGGTGAACTCCAATGATGCCCAAGACCACGCAGAAGGCCTTGCAAAAGCCTTGGTGAAGGAAAGCAGTGCATCACCTCAATTCCGCAACATCTTCTTGCCGAAGATTTCGTTGCCGCGGATCCCTGTGAACGGTACGAAG